ACACACACCTTCTCTCTCTCTATCTGGATCCGCCCCTGAAAGGTCTTTAACGGTGACATCGATACCATTGCTTGTTGGTTGGCGTGTTTCACGCCGCACTCACCAATCTCCCAGCCATATGGCGGCGGTGTGTAAATAATCGAGTCTGGACCAGACAATCCAGTGATCAACATCGATATCAAGTACTATTTGCATTATATATTTCCACTGTAAAATGTTTCTGTTTCTATATTGCATAATTTTTCAATTTGTTTCGGAATTTACAACGGTGGAAAAGTGGAGTTTGAAACTGACGAGCACAAATATGGAGTGACGGACCGAGGGCCAGTCATAGTACTAGCACGACTATAGCTCCTCAGCCCCACGTACTGTAACGAACTGCGACGTCTAAGTCGATAACCTCTCCAATCTCCCCGAAACCCTTCAGCATTTTACTTTGTTCTTAGCAGTTCACGGCTGAGGTTGTGTTAAATACATGTGTCGTCGACACATATTTACCAACAGTCAGGAGGAAGGTATAGACGTAACTCAGTCTAAAGTGAAATTGAGGCCCAGTATTATTCGTTACACTGCTATACACGAATAATACCGAGCCAAAGTAACGGAATATGTTAATAACTCAGTAAATAAAGCTGAGGCCCAGTATTATTCGTTACACTGCTATACACGAATAATACCGAGCCAAAGTAACGGAATATGTTAATAACTCAGTCTAAGTAAAGCTGAGGCCCAGTATTATTCGTTACACTGCTATACACGAATAATACCGAGCCAAAGTAACGGAATATGTTAATAACTCAGTCTAATAAACCGAGGCCCAGTATTATTCGTTACACTGCTATACACGAATAATACCGAGCCAAAGTAGCGGAATATGTTAATAACTCAGTCTAAGTAAAGCTGAGGCCCAGTATTATTCGTTACACTGCTATACACGAATAATACCGGAGCCAAAAGTAGCGGAATATGTTAATAACTCAGTCTAAGTAAACTGAGGCCCAGTATTATTCGTTACACTGCTATACACGAATACTACCGAGCCAAAGTAGCGGAATATGTTAATAACTCAGTCTAAGTAAACTGAGGCCCAGTATTATTCGTTACACTGCTATACACGAATACTACCGAGCCAAAGTAGCGGAATATGTTAATAACTCAGTCTAAGTAAACCGAGGCTTAGTATTATTCGTTACACTGCTATACACGAATACTACCGGAGCCAAAGTAGCGGAATATGTTAATAACTCAGTCTAAGTAACTGAGGCCCAGTATTATTCGTTACACTGCTATACACGAATACTACCGAGCCAAAGTAACGGAATATGTTAATAACTCAGTCTAAGTAAACTGAGGCCCAGTATTATTCATTACACTGCTATACACGAATAATACCGAGCCAAAGTAACGGAATATGTTAATAACTCAGTCTAAAGTGAGCTGAGGCCCAGTATTATTCGTTACACTGCTATACACGAATAATACCTAGCCAAAGTAACGGAATATGTTAATAACTCAGTCTAAGTAAACCGAGGCTTAGTATTATTCGTTACACTGCTATACACGAATAATACCGAGCCAAAGTAACGGAATATGTTAATAACTCAGTCTAAGTAAACTGAGGCCCAGTATTATTCGTTACACTGCTATACACGAATAATACCGAGCCAAAGTAGCGGAATATGTTAATAACTCAGTCTAAGTAAACTGAGGCCCAGTATTATTCGTTACACTGCTATACACGAATACTACCAGAGCCAAAGTAACGGAATATGTTAATAACTCAGTCTAAGTAAACTGAGGCTCAGTATTATTCGTTACACTGCTATACACGAATATATACCAAATGTATATCTAAAACAAAAGTAACGAGTTACGAAACATTTCGTATTTCTCCCACCACTGAGTATGCAGGATTTCAAGAGAAGCACCGATGCGGGGGATTATTTTTTCCCTGTTTGTAGTCGAACCGCTGGTTAGGTTGCGTAAAGAAAGGGACAGCCAGGTAGGAGAAAGGATGGAGACGGCACAACACAGGTCAATGAATCAATAACTTGGTCGGCACTTGTGCACGTGCTTTTCGAACACCTGGCTGTCCCTTTCTCCGCACTCCTCCCTCGTAACAAATAGTGAACTGTGTCAATATTAAATGATAGTTTGTTAAACAACTTGTGCATTTTTAGGACATAAATTCTGCAAAAACCTCACAGAGCTGGTCTGATGTTTTGATCATGATCAGCGTTTCATTGAGCATTTTATGTTTATTAGTTTTCGAGTTAGATTGCAATTCATCGGTCCGCTTTTGCGCCAAACGGACTGTAGTCTATCGTGACTATAGCATCACAATTTCATCTGGCGAACGAATATTATAGGACGGATATGATGGCATGAAATTAAAAAAGTAGCTGTCAGAGTACTACGAAATGAGACGAAAAACACCGTAAATTATAACTTTGTAGCTGTTTACTTGTATTAATGTTCATTGTCCCAGTGATAAAGGGTTAATGTAAAGTAACATAACTTCTTTGAGTGGCATTTTAGAAGTTGGGAAGTACAATATAGAACAAACTTTATGGATAACAACTTCTTTTATTCGTGAGCGCGACGTTTCGATACAGATTCTTGTACCGTTGTCAAGCATAATGGGACATGAAGAATGGGGAGTATATATATACTGGATGTAACAATGTAACAAAGAAAAACAACATAATTAACATAATTGGCTAGGCAGAAAGCTGATGAAGCCAGAGAGTAGACAAAGGATAGGCGTGGAAGCCAATAATATACAAATAATAATGAGATGTTTATACAGCTGTTGAAGTTTATACAGTAGATTGGGCTTGGTGGATGAGTGCATCATAACCAAATCAGCCATTTTCGACCACATCAAAGCAAGCCCTAATCATCAAATAGAGTGGTCTGACATCACCATTCTCTCTAACAAACAAACAGAATTCACTAAACGCAAGCTCACCGAAGCCATCCACATCAAACGCCAAAAGCCCACCATCAACCGAGACCAAGGATACTTCATTCCATCCGCTTATGATGCACTCATCCACCAAGCCCAATCTACTGTATAAACTCTGCTGTATAAACATCTCATTACCATTTGTACATTATTGGCTTCCACGCCTGCCCTTTGTCTACTCTCTGGCTTCATCAGCTTTCTGCCTAGCCAATTATGTTAATTATGTTGTTTTTCTTTGTTACATTGTTACATCCAGTATGGTCTACTCACATTTGTGAGAACTCCCAGTTGTGAGACTCCCAGTTATGAGACAGTGAAGTAGGTAATTAACAACGAAAACACACCATACTCCCCTGTCTGATAGAATGGATTCACCCTAGCTAATTACTGATTTGCAATGTAACTGATTCTTGTGGAGGTAACTTAATGAAACTTTATAAGATAAATTGATTAACATACTCAGGTAAATGTCTTTAATAATTAAACAACTTTGTGTAGGTAACTTCGTGATCGAAGAGAAATTAATTTACCTACTCAGGTTTACTCCGTCTCCAAAACTACAAGCTATAGTTTAAGAAATAACTCTGAAATTTACAGTCGAAATGCCCCTTATGCCAAACCCTTTCTACCCGACACAATAAATTTATGGAATGCCCTACCAAATTCCAAAGAGTCATGAAGTCTCAAAGAATTTTAAAACCTAACTACAAAACCGAAAACAAGATTTTATTGATCTTAATTATGGCTCTTGTTTTTGTCAAATCGTTCACTGCTGCCTCAGGCTCGGATGTAACGACCCAAACGCCGATAAGTATAACAGACATTTAATACACAGTGCATGTTGCTCTTGTGGATATCAACTACCCGTTATAACCTGGATAATTTTGTGAACGGAAACAAAGAATTCACTCCTTTGTGTACACCAAAAATAGTTGAATCCGTCCACGATTATATCATCAAGACACAACCTTCAAATTTTCACAGGGAAATACTGAAATTAACTCAACAACCTTCTCGTGATTGATTTATATTCCTACAATAGATTGTTAGACACACACAACTGTAACTCTCTAATTATGACTACTTAGGGAATAGTTGTATTTGATGTAATCTGTATATATTTATATGTACTTTAAAATATATTTCATTTTATATTTTATGTTGCATGGGAGCTGTGTTAACATAAGCAGTAATACTTCACCAATCCCAATTCATTTCCATAAATAATAATAAAATATGTTTAAACCAAAATGACTTTCAAACTTCATAATAGTCAATAAAATGCTTTATCATAATTACATATTCTTCTCAATAAATAAAATATTGAATGAACTATTTCTTCTGTGTAAAAATATAATCTTTGATAATCTATTTCATTAATCAACTCATCAATGAACTATGCCTCCTCTGGGTGATGTAAAGTAACATATCAAAATATATATGTATGACTAAATTAAAATGTCCAACAGTTTTGGAATGTTGTTTTACCCTTCAAATAACGCAATCACGAAATCGAATCTTATATCGACATAAACCGTTGGATAACACCAAGAGCAACACATTAAGCCATCACTATCCCAGAACACCTACTATGATTGTAATTATTCCAGAGTATAGCCTAGTGTAATTTCATATTTATACGGTTTTAACATAAATCTTTTCTTAAATGAGTTATGACATAAATTATACGCCTGCTGTATGTGAGATCATAAAATAAGCGTGTCGGAGGGTATTTGAAGACCTATGTATTGTGTCAAATCGTGTTCGTTCACTACATGCAATCTGGAAGTTTACACGTAGGGCGAGTACCGTTTTCTGGCATCAATAGACTTGATTAATCGATTTATATTGATCCTTAAATATAACAAAATACATATGAATACTGTCGTATTGTAATTTCAGTTGTTTCATATTTACAGTTGAATATAAAAAATAATTGCACGTGCATATAGTATAAATGCACGTCGAGGAATGTGAAAATGAATATAACAGTAAAAACGAAGTAAGGCTATACATTGCGGAAGTAGCAATGCGCATGACCGGAAATGACAACTTGGTGATGTGGGATATTGAGCCACGTTGATTAGCGAAACGACGTGGAATATGACAGGGAAATAACCACTATTTACACCTTATACTTGCACTATACGTACCAGAATTTATAGCAAAACATTAGAAGAGCACAACAGCTCGTTGGGACAGGAAACGGATTTCCACTAACACATAGGGTAAGTCTGTAAGTACCCGACCGGCATTCGTTGTGGCTAGATGCGATCATCTGTCAAAATATTGCATGAAGCCAAATTGGTACGGTATATTAAGATAAGCATTTGGTTGGTGTTATTACTACGCCAAACTTGGATTATTACCTATAAGATTTAAGCGCATGTTCTGTAACCAATGATATGAATTCCTATTTAGAAAGCTTGCAACCAGCTGGGATGTTTTGACCCGGCGTGGATCCGATTGAGAGTGAATAAGATAGGCCTAGAGATAGTTCTAATCACTGCCAAGTGTAGAGTACAACATATATCAGGGCCATATCTAGTTGTGTTTTTCATGATTTTAGAAATAAACAAAGTGATAGTTATTCATGATCTATCATATGTTATGCCACTTAATTATAGTCATTGTTCTAGACTGTGGTGATCACTGCTTATTAATCACTTTGTAACATTACAGCCATGGTAGATCTGTACAACTGCATACATGACACTAATGCAGGAATGTTGTCAGGAATTATATGCAGTCATCATACAATGCCATAATAAAAGTATCCCCACATGGGTACAATGTGTGAAGCCCATTTCTGGTGTCTTCCACCATGATATTGCCAGAATATTGCTAAAAGCGGCCCAAACCATACCATACTCACTTCCTCGTACAAGTATTCTTAGGGTTATGTTCACAGAGATGCAGCATAGACAGCGACTAGTTTAAAGGGACAGTATGTCCACGTTTCTCATTCTTTTTAATCATGCATCATGTAATTTCTGAGTGTGTCATGCCTATAATTCATGGATGATTCAATATTCTCAAACCAAAACAATAGAACTCCACACAGTGAAGCTGACAACGCAAGTTCTGTGCAGAGTTAACTGGCTTCAATAAAAAAATATATGAGGGTTGATTTGAACAAAAAAAGAGATGTATTTTAAGGGATGGTTACAATAAAGTTATTACCAGCATGATTAGTAGTCTGCATGTATCAAAGCCTAGATTACTATATGATTATTCCTCAGTCGTATGAACAATGATGAAAGCTATCCCACCCATGGTTCCTCCAAGTCTGACTACTCAGTCAAGAATTGCTCTTCAACAGCCCACACTTATTGTAACCTATGTAAGAGGCAACTAACACGATTGTTTGGTCAGGTTTGCTAACTTGGTTGACACATTATCATGATTATTGTGTATGACTGAGTTGCAGAGATCGCTGCTTGTGATGTCAATCACTGGGTGGCCTGGTCCAGGCTTGATTATTTACACTACAGACCATGATCATACAGATCAAATATTGCAGAGTGCAGCATTAAACATGGTTAAACAACAAAGAACCTCTGTCACATCTTACAAAGTCCATTCATGAGTTTTTGTTTCTTTTCGGATGAGTCTACACATTTAAATAAACATTGTCATGAAATGTGGAACTTTCATTGAGAAATAATCTTAAAATGTGAAGAAGCTATTTTCTCTGTGTGTCATATGTTATGGAAAGCAAGGGGATATGGGTTTCTTTGATGTGTAAACCTATATTGCCTTGTACCTCATTGTCGCAGTTGAAGTATTAATCTATATTATCAGATGAAACAATGTAATTATGTATTAATAGTACTCACTGGCATTACGTCATGTGTTCATGTTTTTGTGAGTTAGTTTACAAACATGAGAAAAGTCTGGACAGGCGATGAACCCACACCAGTGGTAACTTGAGCAGAGACTTCTGTAACAGATTCTGAGTGAGTTTAGTTTTACGCCGCACTCAGCAATATCCCAGCTATATGGCGGCGGTCTGTATATAATCGAGTCTGGACCAGACAATCCAGTAATCAACAGCATGAGCATCGATCTGTGCAATTTGGAACCGATGACATGTGTCAACCAAGTCAGCGAAACTGACCACCCGATCCCGTTAGTCGCCTCTTACGACAAGCATAGTCGCCTTTTATGGCAAGCACATAGGTTGCTGAAGACCTATTCTACCCCGAATCTTCATGGGTAACACAGATTCTGAGGCACAAAGAGGGGTTAACAGCTGTTTAAAGGCTTTAAAACAATTGATGTACTGTCAGGAATTTGTTTCATGCTGAGATTAGATTTGGAATGGTTAGACTCCGAGATATGGTTGAATGTGGGAGATTGCAGTATTCAGACGTCTACAACAAACTCTACCCTCAGTATTACCAGGGATTTATCCCTGTTTTTATTTAAACTTTGCAATAATGTAAAACTAAAACATTAAAACCTCACTTTGTATTTAAAAGTTCTTAGCCCTCTGTCAACTTTGTGATGTTCTTGCTGGTGAAATATTATTCACACGCTCCTTTCGTTGATCTTCCGTACAGATATCTCAAGATGAGGATTAAAGAAATTGATCGAACGGCTAATGTGTCGTGGTCACCAGTTGACCAATATCCAATCTACATGGTAACAGGAACAGCAGCCCAGCAACTGGATGCCACATTCAGGTAAGTTGGGATGTACAGTGACACATGCGTCTTTAATTTTGTAATGATAAAAGAACTGAGTAATCTTATCGATTACTATGCCTCTTATGATACGATGAATGTGCCTCCTGTGAAACAGTAACTATGAACCCAAATCCAATGTATCCAAATTCAATAGAAAAATCATTTTATAATATTCTCAGCATGATCCCAAAAGGGTACAAAGGGGTATACAAATTACAATGATGAGAGAAAAAGTTGATGTTAAATATTGCAATGCATGCAGTTGCAACTGGCAATTTATAACCCAATCTTTACTGTGTCTAGCATGCTAATATATCTGACACAGAGACTAATACTAATAGCGGATCACTTTTAGTTTTAAAGATGTAGGTGGGTTAAGGGAGACAACTCTATTGTTTTTACATATACTGCCATTTCCTCAATGTTTGTCAGCATGTCTCTTTAGCTATTTGAACTTTGGATAACCTAAATGGAACAATTAAAGAATATCAGCCTCATTGTTTTTACCTCATACTGTTACTCCTGTTAATACTATGGAGAGTGTTGATCCATTTACAAAGTGAACTGATGTTTATGTAACATATTGTTTGTATATATTGCAATTGAGCCTTGGACAATTGTCATACATCAATAATTGGATGCATATGTAACTAAACGAGCTCAATTGTAAATATCATCCCACTGTTGTGTTTGTATGATCATAGTGATATCAGGCACTGTATGTAACATGTAATAATCTCCATTTGCAGCACAAGTTCTGCACTAGAAGTGTACAGTCTGAATCTTGCTGAGGCCACACTGGACATGCCGCTTGTGGCTTCCTTACAGTCAGAATGCAGGTACCTGTCCACCACAAGCAACTTGCACAGAAATTTGAAGATCTGGTCAATCAGTAAAGAGAAAACTTAGAATATCAAAAACTTTGATGAGTATCCAATTGTTGACCCTTTAGGCACACAGTGAGAAGGAGGATGATCCAGATGGGAAATATAGTTGCAAATTGAACTCGTAACCCATAGTATTTGATCAAGATCTGACAAGCTGACTTACTGGTCCTGGGACCGTGGGTATCTGAGACAAGATTGGCGATGGAAAATATTTGTACTTAGACTTGGTTATTAAGCTTGCTTTGTTTAAGTGGGCAAATTCTTCAGAAATTATTTAAGTTAACAAATTGATGTATAGGGATAAAATGTGACACCATGGCCTCAGGGTTTGACTGTTAATCATGATAAACTTTCAGGTAGGTTGTATACTTACCAGGCACCGGAGAAAGCGAATGCAGTGCACACTAAGCACATCTAATTGTGTGGATGTAGTGCAGTATGCATGATATTAATATGCATTTTTACTCTGAATGCAAAATGTGAAAGAAAATATGTTTGTGTCCTGTCATGTCTGTGACAGTTATTGATACTGTTTCTCTGGTATTTTCAGATTCCACAAAGTGTTATGGGGATCTTATGGTATGAATGGTAGTACAACGTCGGCTGGGGTGATTGTAGCGGGTACAGACAATGGTCTCGTCCAAGCATTTGATGCAGCAGCTCTCTTGCAAGGGAACCAGGACTGTCAGCTGTTTGAAAAGTCAAAGCACACTGGTGCTGTCAAGGCTCTGGATTTTAACCCTTTCCAGGTGGGTGTGGATTTTGGCACTAGTTTTGAAACCCTGTATTTATTTTCTGTAATGTATTCTGTCATGTCAGTTCTGACTTTATATGATGTTGTAAACCTTTCATCCCATGGCAGTAGGCATTAATCTTCATGGCTACCTGGAATGGAGATCTGGGTGGGAATTGATTTTCAGCAACCCATGCTTGTTATAAGAGGCAAGGTGGTCATTGATCCTATAAATGTTGACTTCTTCACAAGGTGATTGATTTGATGTAGGAATTATTATTGTGTAATAACCTTTTGGATTCACGATATAAAATGTTGAATGGTTTTATCATTTCATTTCCAGCAAAACCTGCTTGCGTCAGGAGCAGGTGAATCTGAGATCTACATATGGGACATGTCAAAGCCTGACAACCCTATGACACCTGGACAGAAGTCATTGGTAAACCTTCTGTAGTGATTCATGTTCTTTTAGTTCTTTGGATAAAATGATAAATCGTTTGTGTAATGTGAGATTTTAAATAGGTTTTCAAACTGTAACATGCAATATACATTTGAGTTGTCTGTGCTTAACACCTGCCTCCCTTTATGCATGTCTGTTTGTGTGATGAAAAGGTTTTCTTAAAAATAATTCATAATAGAAGATGAATTCTGTGACATATTAATAATTACTCTTGGGTCAATAATGTTAGAATTCTTCTTTTTATGTTTTACCTTCCCATGGCTATTATGATCAGTTGTCTACACACATAGACCCTGTTGCTTGCATGTCTTACTACCCTGTGCATGTGGGTGTGTGTTCATGATATAAACCACTGGTTTATGCTGAGTGTATCAGCGACTATGCTTGTCGTAAGAGGCAACTAACGGGATCGGGTGGTCAGGCTTGCTGACTTGGTTGACACATGTCATCGGTTCCCAATTGCGCAGATTGATGCTCATGCTGTTGATCACTGGATTGTCTGCTCCAGGCTCGATTATTTACAGACCGCCGCCGTATGGCTGAAATATTGCTGCGTGCAGCGTAAAACTAAACTCGCTCACTCTCTCACTGAGTGGATCAACAACAGGTTGACTATTGTTGACTCAGTATAGAACAGACCAACAAAATCCTTTCTGATCATTTGTATTAACCCTGTATGTTTCAGCCTCCTGAGGAAGTAGCATGTGTCGCCTGGAACAGGCAGGTTCAGCACATCTTGGGTTCCACATTCGGGACGCGCTGTGTTGTGTGGGACTTGCGGAAGAATGAACCAATCATCAAAATAAGTGACAGTATGTCTCGGGTGAGTGGAGACTGGGGGGGTGTCCAGCATATGTGTGTACGTGGATTTATTGCATCCAACACAAGCTCCCTAATGTTTGAACAAACCAAAATTTGGGGTGTGTCCTAGTCAGACATATTGTTACAATTACCCTTCTTGGTTTCATAGGCCCCTCAACAAATGCTTAAGGAATAGATTCCCAGCACTCAGCTGTTGCTTGTTACCAGCAAGGGTTGGGTCTTGTCATATTGATTGTTTTCATTTGTACTTTGGCAGCATTGTATGTTGCGAATAACATCAACCACCTATTTCTGTGACCCATACTTTGATCTGAAACCAGTTAATTACATTTGAAATAATGTATTGTTCAGAAGTTAGTTTGTCTTATAGTGCGTTAAAGTTTTAATGATGTTAATTCTTCATTGCGCTAACTTGATTAATGTCTCCAATTTCAGATAAAGTGTAAACATGTAGCCTGGCACCCTGATGTAGCCACCCAGCTGATGATCTCGTCCGAGGACGACCACACACCCGTCATACAGCTGTGGGATCTCAGATATGCCACATCACCACTCAAAGTTCTGGAGAATCATCAAAGGTATAACTTTGGCTCTTTCTTGTCAGCCTAGACATCACTGTGTGTTACTATTAGCGTGATTAGTGACTTCTTTGTTCAAAAGGTGCATTATGAATAGTTAAATACAAAAGGCTATCATCCACTGTTACACCAGGAATATTTTATCATTGTTTTGTGACTAGACTGGATTATCAGCTGTATGGACTAACATTCTCTCAGTGTCTCTGGGGCAGTGGGGTAGCCTAATGGTTAAAGTGTTCACCCAGACTGGGTTCCAGACATGAGTACAATGTGTGAAGCCCATTTCTTTCCTCCCCAAGATATTTCTGGACCTTTGCTGAAAGCGGCGTAAAACCCAACTCACTTACCACCCAGATGTGTGAATACACTGAAGTTGCCTCTCACGTGGGAGTTTCGATTACTCTGGAGAATTCTATGAACCTCACTTTTGTGCCACTGAGATGTGATTCTCTCCCATCCTCTCTCAATTTCTCCAGGGCTTCTGGTCATATATTGTATATTCACAAGTTAAAGATTTGGACATCCCTTGATTCAAATACTTAAGGAACGAACCTCAGGGACAACTTGGTTTTAAAAAATGCATTGTGTAGTTTCAGGCCTAATGGTAAATACTAATGATGTATATTTCTTTCAGAGGAATATTGTCAATGTCATGGTGCCCACGAGACCCTGACCTGCTATTGTCGTGTGGGAAAGACAACCGCATCCTGTGCTGGAACCCTAACTCCAATGTTCAGGGTGGAGAGGTGATGTGATATTATTGTGAACATCTCCATAGTCATTTGCAATCTGCAAAGGATTTTTTAAATATAGCATGAAGTACAAACCAAATTTTAGACTCTGAAACGTCATGTTAAAAACCCATGCAATTCAGTTTTGAGCAAAATATTTGGTTTCTGACGTAAGAATACATCCTTATGATTGTTTGCAGATTCCAAGTCTTTTCTTGATGAGGTTTAATTGTTTTGGATATATTTAAGGAACTTGTGTTACTAGTTCTTGCCTTTTATATTGTGTTGTAGTAGTGTCATTAGGTTTTATGTTCCAGGTGGTATACGAGTTACCGACAAGGAATCAGTGGAGTTTTGATGTAGAGTGGTGTCCACGCAATCCCTCCCTTATCTCCAGCTCATCATTTGATGGTCATGTGACTGTGTATTCTCTCATGGGAGGAGGGCACCCCATCCAGCCCAGCAACAAAGTAAGTATGTGACAGTGTGCTAAGGGCAGACCAGCTAGGGGCGGTGGGGTAGCCTAGTGCTTAAGTGTTCGCTAGTCACGCTGAAGGCCCGGGTTCGATTCCCACATGGGTACAATGTGTGCAGTGCATTTCTGGTGTTCCCCTTGATGATATTGCTGGGGCAGTGGGGTAGCCTAGTGGTAAAAGTGTTCGCTCGTCACGCTGAAGGTCCAGGTTCGATTCCCCACATTGGTACATTGTGTGAAGTCCTTTTCTGGTGTTCTGATGATATTGCTGGAATGTTGCTAAAAGTGGCATAAAACTAAACTTACTCACTCACTATGATATTGCTAAAAGCGGTGTAAAACTGAACTCACTCACTATCCAGCTGATCAGGGGCGGTGGGGTAGCCTAGTGGTTAAAGCGTTGGCTCGTCACACCGAAGACCCGGGTTCGATTCCCCACATGGGTACAATGTGTGAAGCCCATTTCTAGTGTCCCCTGCTGTGATATTGCTGGAATATTGCTAAAAGCGACGTAAAACCAAACTCAGTCAGTCAGTCCAGCTGATCATGTGGATTGCTGCTCACATTATCAATCACCTGAATTGTGTGGTCCTGACTAAATTATTTACAGGCTGTTATCATCCTGCCTAATGTTAAGCCTCAGACAAACATTTTCAGATATCCTCCAATAGCTCCTAGTTGACTTCCTCATTTGTTTTGAAGACAAATAGTTTGTTTAACAGGTATGGTGAGCATGAGCATGTGTAATAATGAAGTGAAAGCTGTTGTCTATGATGAAAATGCAGGGGTCCAGAACAGCTGGAATGTGGGCTGTCACGCTCTGTTGTTGTTGCATGTGGCAGACTGACAGCAGGGCACAGAAACTGCAGATCACTGAGACACATCTTCACATTTACAAACCAGTTTGATTACTATGAACACCAGGGTTTTCCACAGCTGACTGCTCAACTAGACTCGCCAGATGGTGGTGGAATTATCAGTATTGATTGCAGGGGTGTTCACTAATGAAGTGATCTCTTTCATACACCTGAGTAAAGTTGTTTCAAGGACAGGTACAAGATCACCATGTTCTGATTCCAGGTAGCCGAGTCATTCAGTGGACTGGAGCCATTCTCCCAGGCCCCTGTCCATGTGACCCAGGAGGAGGAGAAGGTCGTCCCACTACAGAAGCCCCCGAAGTGGCTCCGTAAACCTGTCGGTGCTTCCTTTGCTGTGAGTAGTGTGTTTCCATGATTCATCCCATTAGCATTACTGTAGTAATGATCGATTATGTTGATTGATCTATGTTCTTACTATATGATTCTGGTATGAACATTGGTATGTGGAATGGTGCTGCAGTGATACACATATGATCAGATTCACTTTGTTATTTGCTATTCTTTGTTTTGAAGTTTCTCTGTATCTTTTTTACCAAAACTTTTTTATTTTTATCCCCCGCCGCGCGTTTATCGCGAAGCGGGGGATATAGTATTAGGCTCTGTCCGTCGACGTACGTACGAATTGGAGTATCTTAAGAACCGTTCTCTAGATTCTTTTCATATTTGGTACCTAGGTTCATCACAGTATAAGAAAGGTCCAAGTCAGGTTTGGTGACCTTGACCTTCATTTCAAGGTCACAAGGGGACTTTCACGTTTTACCTGCATGTTAAGCTATCTCAAGAACCGTTCACTGGATTTTCTTCATATTCAATACAAAGCTTTATCTAGGAAAGGTGCAGGGCCCAGTCTATTCAGTGACCTTGACATAATTTTCAAGGTCATGGCGACACTTTGAAGATTTCAGCATGTAAACCTGCATGTTAAGCTATCTCAAGAACCGTTCACTGGATTGTCTTCATATTTGAAACCAAGCTTTATGTAGGGAAGGTGCAGGGCCCAGTCAATTTCACTTAATTTTCAAGGTCACAGCGACACTTTGAAGATTTCAGCATGTTAATCTGAATTGTCAGCAGGATATTTCAAGAACGGTTCACTGGATTTTCTTCAGACTTTCAAGACTTCCCTTAAATGTTTTTCAATAAGCAATTTCTTTAGTACTATTTTTGCATATTTCATACACTATGACATTCATGTCAAGGTCAAAGTCAGTCTTGAAAATATGTGTGTGTTTAAACACCTAAAGAGCAAGATATCAAGAGAGGTTGACTTGTCATGTTTTTGTTGACATTTAACTTCATCTTAAACTACGACCTTCACTTTCATTACTCTCTAAGTTTGATAATTTGCGGCGGGGGGTTATGTCACCTTAGCTTGTTACTCTTAATACCTCATCATATTGTTGGTTAATATTTCCATGTGTATTCCATTTATCATGTTTTTTCTACATTTAACAGACTCATTACAATGCCCAAAAATATTTACCAGTCTTATCACTATTTGTATGGGGCAGTAGGGTAACCTAGTGGTTAAAGTGTTTGCTCATCACATCGAAGGCCCGGCTTCGATTCCCTACATGGGTACAATGTGTGAAGCACATTTCTGGTGTCCCCCGCAGTGAATATTGCTGGAATATTGCTAAAAGGGGCGTATAACTAGACTCACTCACTCGCTATTTGTACTGTGATTTGAGTGTATATCTCAATACTATTATTCTTTTTTCAGTTTGGTGGCAAGCTAGTCAGTTTTGATCATCTGAAACCTCAGAACCCTCAACAGTCCATCCCGAAACAGGTGTTCATCAGCCAGGTTGTGACAGAGACGGAACTGTTGACACGGTCTGGCCAGCTGGAGACAGCACTGAACAACAACCAGTTTCTCGAGTTCTGTGCCATGAAGGCTGCCAATGCTGGAGACGGCATGCAGGAGAATCTGTGGAACTTCCTCAGGGTAAGCAACACTATCCTCTGAAGTGTGGATGGCTTTCTAGCTCATGATTTATGTATTGGACCCGTGAAGATCCAGGGTAGAATAGGTCTTTGGCAACCCATGCTTGCTACAAAAGGCAACTATGCTTGTCGTAAGAGGTGACTAACGGGATCGGGTGGTCAGGCTCGCTGACTTGGTTGCCACATGTCATCGGTTCCCAACTGCGCAGATCAATGCTCATGCTGTTGATCACTGGAATGTCTGGTCCAGACTCGATTATTTACAGACCGCCGCCATATAGCTGGAATATTGCTGAGTGTCGGCGTAAAACTAAACTCACTCACTCACTCACTTTATGTATTGACTTGCCAAGCCAAAGACCAGAGTTTTTGTTTGCCTTGGTACAATGTGTGGGGCTTGAAGTTCTCTGTCACACTATGGCTGGAGTAAAGTCATATCCATACTGTTTCCTTTACTGCTAACATGTAATAAGATTTTGTGAAACAAATGATCTGGGGATTGTTTTGAAAGCTAATTCCAGCAAAACTGTCATTTAAAAGGTGAAAGTATGTATTACAGCTCTAAACAAAACCAAAACAACACTTAATCAAAAAGACAAAGTAAGATAATACAATAAATGTTCTTTAGCTATTATTTTCCTTTTATTTCTAGGTAAACTTTGAAAAGGAGCCAAGAGCAAGATTCCTGCAGCTTTTAGGATATGATCAAAATGAACTTGCCAAAAGGTAAGGAACCAAACATGATTAACTGCCTATGCGAAGTCCTGAAAACTGCATGTGTAGCTTTATCAACCGTCTTAACTCACATCTTTCCAGGCCAAGGCTTCAGTTGCAAAATATTCCAGGAGGCTATTGCTGTGATAATTGTACTGTAACTGTGTTTACCTAAACTTTGACTTGTCTGATTTGTCATGCAATAGCCATGATTAGCTGTACACAGATTGAAGCACACATTCTGAAAAGGAATATCTTGAAAAAGGAAACATGATTTCTTCAGATTCGTATCATTTTTGGTAGCTAATGTAAACATGGTGCATGGCTGTTGAATGTCAAACCATGATGTAATTGACCTGTATTGGTGTATGTGGAAGCTCATTCTTTGCATCTCCTGTGTCTACTTTTCAGGTTGTTGAACACACAGGCACAGATGCTGCACTGTCACGGAACCAGGGTATAGATGCCTCCGAACTTGCCCAGAAAATGTCTATGCTGGATGCAGGGGTATGTTTCATAATCCCGCCTTGCTTTGTCTTTGTTTCGTTTTTGCCAAGTGTCCTGTTACTAAGATGTATATGTTACAGTTGGCTGGGTTAGAATTGGTCTTCAGTAACCCATGCTTGTCGTAAGAGGCAACTAACGGGATTGGGTGGTCCGGCTCGCTGACTTGGTTCACACATGTCATCGTATCCCAGCCGATTGATGCTCATGGTGTTTGATCACTGGATTGTCTGGTCCTGACTTATTTACAGACCGCCGTCACATAGCTGGAATAATGCTGAGTGTGGCTTTAAACAACCAACCAACCAACTACAGTTGGCCTGCCCCATAACTATATATATGCATTAGATTATTCCTTTCCCGAATATACTGTATTACTCAACTCCTACAGGGGTGGAAATAACCCATTGCCCGACGTCCCAGTCCAGTGTTTATTTCTGTCGGGCAAGCAAATTTGTATATCATGCTGTACCGGTCTCCAGTTCATTTTCCAATGTTAATTATGTTGTTTATTTAAAAAATGAATAAGAAAATCGGTCAGTATAGTGGAAAAATTATCACGGCAAGTGATTTTACATGTGCCACTGTACTGGAGAACACTAGCAAGTTTAAAGTTATTTCCACCCCTGTCCTAATAGGGATTATATGTATATTTGACATAAGAAAACATCTATCCCTATCAGTAGTGGAGTAGTATACTTTCTTATTCTTTGCTTGAATACCGCTTCTTCTTTTTAGTATTTATATATCAGTAAATATCAAACAAGTATTTATGTACAGTGGCTTTATGCCATTTTGAATGTGTAATGTATTTTCTTCTGCCTTAATGATTAATTTGGTAGCACATGAAATTTAATTGCTTTAACCATTGTTAACAGCATGTGCCAGCTTTGATTTATGTTTGAAAATGTTTCCTCTGAAGAGCAATTACATCCTCTAGTAGGTCTTAAACTAAAGATAAAACTGTAATATTTGTTGGTCTTTTCCATAAGCATGATATAGTTTCATCTTATCAGTAAACAGCTACGGCTTAAATCGTAAAATGGCCCACTCATGTTTATGTTAACAGAAGAAGCATTTGATAAATTGTTTATCTTTTGTAGTGATTTTGCTCTTCCCAGTATATATTGCTGTGCAAATTCACCCCATTATCATTTCATCACATTTATTAGAATTTTAATTGTCAGAATTGACGTTTGCAAATGGGGATATTTAGAATCACCTAAGGCTGTCTTTGTTAAGCTTCTGTGTCAGGTCCGCCATATAGCTGGAATTTTGCTGAGTGCGGCGTAAAACAAAGCTCACTCTGTGTCAGGTACTCTTTGATTCCATACTGATTATTGTTCCTATGGGGGATTACAGGTTAGAATAGGTCCAAAGCACCCTGGTATTAAGTCACCATTTAGATTTGGAACATTGCACTCTGACCATAATATCAACCACTAGAATATGTGCTCCAGGCCCAGTTATTCACAGACTGCCACTATATAGCTAGGATATTGCTGAGAGCCATGTAAAACAACATGCAACTGCTTGCTGATTAGACTGGGTTCCTCTGTTAGCTACGTTTTGGTTCAGTACTGATTACAGACTAGACTGGGTTCCTGTGTTTGCTACTTCTTGGTTCCGCACTGATTTCTGACTAGACTGGGTTTCTGTGTTTGCTACTTCTTGGTTCAGTGCTGATTACTGAGTAGACTGGGTTTCTGTGTTTGCTACTTCTTGGTTCAGAACTGATTTCTGAGTAGACTGGTTTTTTCCGGGGTTAGCTATATTTTGGTTTAGTACTGATTAAACTGGGTTCCTGTGTTAGCTACTTCTTGGTTCAGAACTGATTTCTGATAAAACTGGGTTTCTGTGTTAGCTACTTCTTGGTTCAATACTGGTAATTGATAAAACTGGGTTCCTGTGTTACCTAGCGGGTACTTCTTGGTTCTGCTAACTCATTAGACTGGGTTCCTGTCTTCTCCAGGATTCTCTAACAGTACCTGGACCAATGGCTAGTGGACAGGCATCTCCTAGTGTGGGGTCAAAGGTAGGACGTGTCCATTCACACTACACTTCTCTACACATTTTAGTTTTAGTGTAGTTGTATTATTGTTATTAAAAATTTCATGCTCATTGTGTTATGTGATACCATGCATGTATTCTCAAGCTTCCTCCTGCAGTTACTGCTTTTTCATTACTTGTATCAAAGGCCACTATAAATTGATTAGGGTTTTTCAGTAACTGTTACAGAACTGATTAATGTGAAGCTTGAATGCTTCTCAAGACTTGGTGTGTGTTTTTTTAACTTAAGTTTTAAGAATAAAAGCATGACAGTGCTGTTATCAGTAGTCATTTGTGATAGCATGATTTATGACATGGAAAGGGGTGATATTGTAATGTAATAATTTATTATGGCCTTATTCATCTACATAGTTTTGAGAAGATGTATATATTATTTTTCCTTATCCTGACTCATGCTCTTTTGCTTGTCTCCTTCCTCTTGCGAACATAGTGGAACACTTGTATCTCCCTAATTGAAGTTCCCTTCAATGTAAAATCACTAATTAGTACACCACGAGTTACCTCCCTTCCACAAGCGCGGGAACGAGGGCGCCACCTCTACCCATGTGCCTCACTCTCTCCTTCTTCGCCCAGTGAGCTGGACGTGAGAGCGCCTGTGTCTCCGACACACTATATCCTTTGATTATATTTAGTTAGTTACCCTCGTGATAGAGATCTATAGAGGTTTAGCTAGTATCTTTCAACAATTATATATTGATATTTAGTCGTGTTTCTACTGTTTATGCACGGGACGCCGTAAGCTGTTGCAGTGGGATTACGTTGATAAAAATTCTGTACTGTTGCACATTACGCTTTTATTCTGCTGCTGATCCGCATTTAATATGCCCTAGCTGTACTGGCCATGTTTCATGTGATTCACGTTGCAGTTGCGATACTAATTTATCCAATTCTACCTTTAATAAATAATTACTTTGGCGTTTGAGACGCGCAGCAGATAGGTCACGATGCAGAGTCTAGCATGACTGATACACCTGAACCCCTCGCCAGTCTACTGCTGTTGGTTTCCCCCTCCCGCCTGGGTTTCGCTAGAATGGTGGAGAGGCGTGGACGAGTCCGCCGCCTCCAAGAAGCGCCCTGCTTCCCCAGACATCCCTTCGTCAGCACTGAGGGGTATTCAACTAAGTCTACTAGAACTTTCTCAGCCGAGATTGTTCTCATCGCAGATTTGGGCCTGTATGATGATCAGCCGATCATCATTCCTGATGTACATCAAAGAATGACTGATGTCGGGCAACAGTGATGTCAGCGCTAGATCAACATTCGATGATCTTCCTGAGGGTCCCGCCGCTACCAACACTCAACGCAGAGACTTCGCGACCCCCAGGGCAGCGCCGACCTCTGAGGGGAATTCAACGAAGTCTACTAGGACTTTCAACCGAGATTGTTCCAGCCGCTGAACTTGGCCTCTACGATGATCAGCCCATCATCATCCTCGACGATGAGACAAGTAGCCACCGGTGACAGCTACAATGACATCAGCAGAGATCGCCATGCAGCCTGATGTCTCTACACTGATGTCAGACGACTTACCTGAGGGCCCCACCACTAACAGCGCAGAGATGGCACCGACTACTTCGTCGCAGACCATCCCAGACGAAGCTACTCACGGGCAAATCATGGTCGTGATGGAGGGTCACTACAGACTGGAGAAGCAGCCAGCCCAGAGTAACGAGCCTTCGCGAAGGCTCCAACTTAGACAACACTCTAGAGGCACCTCCAGTCAACGAGCAGCCAAGACGATGCAGCCTTCGCGAAGGAAGTCGCAGACCACCTTGGACGGCGACCCAGATGTACAGCCTTTCGCGAAGGCCTTCGCTGGGCGGATAGATCATCACATTCCTCGCTTCATCCTTAGATGCAGACTCAGCCACCAGACCTCACGGAAGCCTTCGCTAAGCTCAAATCGCCGTTCCCCAGCAATCAACGCAGAGGAAGCTTCATGGCGTCGCTGGCGCTCGGTGAAGGCGTTCATGAAGGCATTCGCGAAGGCACTCGAAGGACACCAATATAGATCGCCATTTAACAGAGTCAAGGGACTACTCAAGAGCTTCATGGGCTGTCAATAGTCTCCCGATCTCCTCGTCGCACATCACCACATCGACGCTTCACAGGTTACCACACAAGTCTGCACAAGTCTACATCACCTTCTTAGAGTGGCAGTACGACGCAGACATACCTGATGAAGGAAGACGACGCGAGATGCTATCACCCTACCTCCGACGAACCCGATTGCGCGCGGTAGCACAGAATCTAGACATAGCATCCCATAAAGCCACAAAAGTTCAGACACCATAATTGCCGAACTTTTTCACTTCAGAAGTTTTCCACGCTACAACATGGACCCCTTCTTCAAGGCTTAAGACATCGATGAAAACTACAAGTTGATCATCGATATCAACAATAAGAACTACAATCGTAAATTGGTTCAGTTGAATCCATGACGAGACGTATGTTCGTTGGCCTAAATAGATCTAGAACGATCATTGAGACACTTATCACCAGATTTCGTGAACACTCCACTTCTGAAAATGATAAGATGATCCACTCGCCCTACTTATGCAGAACCAGCAAGTCCCAGGCAGCCTCAAGTGAAGGAGCTAGAGCCTCACCAGCTACAAGGGGACGCCGCTGAGGAGTAAGGCCGACCCCCACATCCTGTTAAACACAGAGGCCATTCAAGCAAAGCCTTATATATATATATATATATATATATATATATATATATATATATATATATATATATTCTAATCGGACTTTGATTCTCGATACCTTCGGCGAGGGTCAAGGCTAAGTGGCTCCAAGTCTACTTCACCAGTAGATCTAGAAGGGATACTTCGAGAGCTTCGCGGAAGTCTCGGCGCTCACCGAGGAAGTCTCTCCAAGGTCTCCATATACCAGCCACTGGCCATATATAGCTACTCCTCAGTCCGTTCAAGACATCGCATAAGTTGTCTATCAACTGTATGCCAGATGTCGCCTATAAGCCCACGCGAAGACAATTGCACAGGCTATTTACAACACAGAACGCCGCTGTATTAATTTGTCAACGACGTTTCATAGATCTTCACAGAAATCAACTATTCCGTATAAATTGCTAGTATATGCAATCCCGACGACGATTACGATTATTATCTACATGCGACTATTACGCGATATCTGCAGACAATTCAATATCGAATTGAACAGCAGCCTTGTTACAGCGTAGTATAACTCATAATCGCCAACATTTCTGAGAAGAAATATGTACAACAAATTCAGCTTTAATTCTACAATTATGACTTATACATTCATGTATACAGTCTACAAGCTGACAACTTACAAGTTATTGTACCTTTATATATAAAGAAGTCGGAATTATATTCAAAACTGAAGTACTTTCACGACAGCCAGGAAAATAACCTACCCAGCATTTAATATTACAGAGCAAGGTATTTTCAGCCGAAGCTTTCGCTACAAGCTTACCATTAATCTCAAACACGTGGTCACGTTTCGGGTAACTGGGAAGTTACGATGAAGACCGATGATTGTTCTAATATCAACGACGGCACTATATTATACAAGGTTCTTTTCCTGCTACACGGTGACATCACAGCTGGCAATTCTACAGAATCAAAATGCCTTATTCTGATTGGACCCCGATGAACAACGCCTCTACACAGAGGTCGAGCATAGTTCACAGTTCAAGACATAGGTTGCAAGTGACAACTTTATATCAATGAACGAGCAAGCCTCCTTACAGCCCAGTTAACCTGAACCTTCATGATTAGGCTGCTTTCTTCAGGTTAGAGACCTCCCCTGTCAAGTTTAGACAAGGGCACAGCAGTCATGCATTTTACATAAAGTTCATCGAGGACACAAACTCCCGGTTGTAGACATACATCGCCAAGGACACGCGAACGATTTACCTAGACGACGTGATACAAGTGGATCAAATCCACAGCGCTTCAGACTACACCTGAATTTCATCATCAAGCTACTAACACAACTAGATGGTTAGTAAACCTACTAAGTTTCTGTTTGGAGAATAAACGGAAGTTTCAATGCACTCAACTTGGGGATATGAATATAGTGCTACAACACCTCACAAGTGAGGTTTATGAACATGCCTGGATGACATACTTGGACTCCATGATACGATGATGCTATCACGCTGGCCAGCAAGAGCACTGTAAATTTATCTCCACCAAACCAAACAGGAAGAAAAATACAACAGATTTTTTTCCTCTATCATCAACTTACTTAGAGTGTAGTCTCAATGCACTATATCTCCGCTTGGATCAGAACTGTCATACTACGTGCATACAAGACAGATGGACCTAATCCTGACCCTCCATGAGCTTTTAATACTCTTGATATTAGAGCCCTAACTTCTACAATTTCATCTACACAAATGTTATTTGAAATAATGGAGGGTTTATTACTGTAGATCCGATATGGTGGTTGCCAACCATTATCTGAGAGATATCACCACCGAGGACATCTCAGGTATCCACCAATTCTGATCCCATGGTCCTTGCACAACAGTTGACAGTTCTCGGAGAAGATAAGTCAATCTTACAGATTTTACTTATCTTATAACAGTACTAAATAGCTTCATGCTATATATAATTTGTTTAAGCTCGCTTTTTTATCATCACAGTGGTTACATGATAAATGCATTAGCTAACAAACTCTACAGAGTTTTTTTTTTTGGCTATTATATACGTAGCTTAAGTCAAGTATATTTTAAGCATAGTACTATACTCATATTGTAAAAAATACATTAGCTAACAAACTCTAATGGAGTTTTGCTATTATATAGGTAGCTTAAGCTCATTCATATCTTAAGCTCAGTACTATGTTTATATCATATAACTATATTAGCTAACAAACTCTAAAGAGCTTTTTGCTATTTGGCTTAAGTTTCATCATATCTTAAGCAATATGGTTACATTATAACATGTATTAGCTAACAAACTCTATGGAGTTTTTTTGCTATTATATATGTAACTTAAGCTTATTCATATCTTAAGCGCAGTACTATGTTTATAGCATATAGGTATATTAGCTATCAAAACTCTAAAAGAGTTTTTTGCTATTATATATTGGGCTTAAGTTTTCATCATATTTTAAGCTTTATGGTTACATTATATCATGTATTAGCTAACAAACTCTACGGAGTTTTTGCTATACATATGTAGCTTAAGGTTTCTTCATATCTTAAGCTCAATACTATGTTGATACCATATAAGTATATTAGCTATTAAAACTCTAAAAGGTTTTTGTTATTATATATTTAGCTTAAGGTTTACTTCATATCTTAAGCTCAATACTAGGTCTAAATCAACATAATAAAATGTATTAGCTATCAAACTCTAATGGAGTTTTACTATTATATATATATAGCTTAAGTTTAATCATATCTTAAGCTCAGTACTATGTTTATAACATAAAAGTATATTAGTTAATAAACTCTAAGGAGTTTTTGCTATATACATTTAGCTTAAGTCTAATCATATCTTAAGCTTAGTACTATGGTTACATTATAAATCTATTAGCTAATAAGCTCTACAGAGTTTTTGGCTATTGTATATGTAGCTTAAGTTAATTATATCTTAAGCACAGTACTATACTCATATTGTAAAAATATATTAGCTAACAAACTTTACTAAGTTTGGCTATTATATATGTAGCTTAAGTTAATTATATCTTAAGCACAGTACTATACTCATATTGTAAAAATATATTAGCTAACAAACTTTACTAAGTTTGGCTATTATATATGTAGCTTAAGTTAATTATATCTTAAGCACAGTACTATACTCATATTGTAAAAATATATTAGCTAACAAACTATACTAAGTTTCATTATTATATATGTAGCTTAAGTTAATTATATCTTAAGCACAGTATTATACTCATATTGTAAAAAATATATTAGCTAACAAACTCTACTAAGTTTATTATTATATATGTAGCTTAAGATAATTATATCTTAAGCACAATACTATACTCATATTGTAAAATGTATTAGCTAACAAACTCTACAAAGTTTGCTGTTATATATATAGCTAAGCTTATTCATATCTTAAGCTCAGCACTGTCTATATCATATAAATATTTTAACTAACAAACCCTAAAGAGGTTTGTTATTATATAATTAGCTTAAAATTAATCATATTTTAAGCTTAGTGCTATGTTTATATCTTAAAGTATTTTAGCTAACAAACTCTAAGGAGTTTATACTAAGATATTAACAAGCTTAAGTCTATTAGTCTTAAGCATTGTATTAATATTATATATACTTATCATAATAAGTACATTGTAATAACTCTATATGGCAGCTGATAAGCTGGCAGCAGGAATTCATCAGTTCAATGCCTTTATGAAGTTCTCATAGGGTTATTACAATCATCACAGTTCAAATCACTAATTATTAAAATCCAAAGTATTATATATTCCCACCTCCGCCTGTTGGATTCTACAAGTAAAGAGAGATGAGTCAGGATAAGGAAAAATATGTAATTTTTTGAGTAAAATTGATATTTTATACTTATCCTGACTCATGAGGTCAGCCCTCCCATCCTCCCCAAATAACACTTTGGATTTCCTGTAAATTCAAAATGTTGGGCCCAGTATATGAGGAGAGAGTGAGGCACATGGGTAGAGGTGGGCTACTGCTCCCGTTCATAAGAGCTTGTGGAAGGGAGGTAACTCGTGGTGTACTAATTAGTGATTTTACATTGAAGGAACTTCAATTAGGGAGATACAAGTGTTCCACTATGTTCGCAAGAGGAAGGAGACAAGCAAAAGAGCATGAGTCAGGATAAGTATAAAATATCAATTTTACTCAAAAATTACATTAATGCTCATGTTGTTGATCACTGGATTGTCAGGTCCAGACTTGATTCATTCAGTGGTAGTTTTGGATTTAGCTAACATGGAATCCCCATGTCACACAACAGGGTATAAGTATTAACATGGTTCTTGTTGGCTCTTTTGTTGATTTTCTGAAGAGCGGAAGGTCGCGGGTTCGATCCCCGACCGCGTCATACCAGAAAGACGTTAAAATATGGTACTTGGTCCCTGCCTGGCGCTCGGCATTAATGGGTACAACAACGACTGGTCGGCTTGGAGTCAGTATAATGTGTTTGAGTGGGGTATTCATGCTTCACCGCGGAATGGTATCTCAGTGGGCTAGCACTATATAACCAGCTTCAGTCTGGGCTAGTACAAGCATCCGCACATACACATACACATGCATGCACATCGTCATATGAGCGAAATATTCTCAAGCACGACGTAAAACCCAATTTCACCTCACCTTTGTTGATTTTCTGGATTATGCATATTGATGGCATTTTGAGCATGCCAGTAAGTGGTGAACATGCAATCAAGTTTTATAACTGCCAAGCAGAATTAATATTATGTCTCTTGTTTCTAACTCTCTCAGATGAAGTATATAATGTAGAAGTGGATATTGATGACTGTTTTATTTCTGTCAATTTGTTCAGATGCGGATGGTCTAATGACTCAGGCCCTGCTGACAGGCAACTTTGAGGCGGCCGTCGAGATGTGTCTCAGTGAGAACAAGATGGCCGAGGCAATTTTACTCGCCATTGCAGGCGGACCTGAGCTCCTCAGTCGAACACAGAAGAAATACTTTCAGAAAAATAAGAGTAATCTTGGAAGGGTAAGTGAATGTTTTCAACATTTGTCACTTCAGGTGTAAGAAGTATTAGATATGTGAGAGAATAAAATTATTTATGTGATCTAATGGTTCACTTTAAGTGACATTGAGTGTAGTCAACTTTCTTCACTTCATCCTATTGTGTCAAGTCAGTGATAATGTCAGCTTTTCTTCTTTCTTTGTTCCATGTGCATATAATGATGTATTCAAAGAAAGCAAGATTCTTGTATCCGTCCAGGCGCGGTGGGGTAGCCCAATGGTTAAAGCATTCACACCGATTACCCAATTTGTACAATGTGTGAAGCCCATTTCTGATGTTCCCCATCTTCATATTGCTGAACCCGGGTTCGAGTTCCCACATGGGCACAATGTGTGAAGCCCATTTCTGTTGTCCCACGCCGTGATATTGCTGGAATATTGCTAAAAGCGGCGTAAAACCATACTCACTCACTCATATTGCTGAAATAATGCTAAAAGTGATGTAAAACCATACTCACTCGACGTGAGCACTCTTGCTTGACAACGGTACAAGAATCTGTATCGAAACGTCGCACTCATGAAATAAAGAAGTTGTTATCCTTAAAAACTTGTTCCATATTGTACGTCTCAACTTCTAAAATGCCACTCAAACAAGTCATACTCACTCACTCATATTGCTGAAATAATGCTAAAAGTGATGTAAAACCATACTCACTCACTCATATTGCTGAAATAATGCTAAAAGTGATGTAAAACTATACTTCCTCACTCACTGTATCCATCCATGATGTACTGATAACTGAATCTGTTGGTTTTCTGTATGGTCGTGTTGTTTTGCAGCTTATATCCTCGATAGTCACACACGATTGGGCACATATAGTAGAGACCTGCGACCTAGACAACTGGAAGCAGGCGTTGGCAATCATCCTCACATACTCCTCTGCTGAAGAATTTGCTGCCCTGTGTGGTAAGTCATGAACGTGTTCAGGAAACTGACATATCACCCTACAGCTGTGATTGATAAATCAGGTATTGGGAATAGCCACCAACAGACAGAAATGCCAGTAAAGGAGGATTCTGACCTCATTGTTTTGCTGGGTTCAGTGGCTTCCTTGAGATGAAGTTCTGTTTGAGGCCTAATTGTTTCTGAAAACTCACAATGCCTTTGTTTCTCGATTAAAAAAATGTAAGTTCTCCCTAGATTTCAAGGGTTTGGTAAAGTGCCAGTGCACAAATTTGTAAATGTTTAAGAAATTCTATTCAAAACTCTGTTCAACCCAACCAACTCAAACAGTGTGTGGCACATGCTGGTAGTCTGTCTTTATGCAAAGTAGACTTTGATGGATTAAGATATTCCAGATCAATTATATAGCTTTTAGTAACATTTGCAAATGGTCCCCTAAGATGAAGTATAGTGGACTTTGATGACATGCATCAAGGCAGATTCATCTCTTTCACCCTTAAGATGAGTCTTAACCATGGTGTCCTCATTGTTTTAGAGTTGGAATGCCATTTTAGTCATTAAAATACCAAAGACATTGTGCAGTTTCTTTTTCCACACGTATCTGTTGATCATATGCTTTTATTGGCTGTACAGTTTTGCCAGCTTTCCCATGTTAGTGTGTATTGTTCAGATTCCCTGGCCACGCGGCTGGAGGTTGAGAGGGAGGGAGAGCTGTCTCTGTACGCCAGTCTGTGCTATGTGTGTTCGGGGAACGTGGAGAGGCTGGTGGATAACTGGGTGCGGAACACTGAGAACAACAATGCTCCGCTCGCACTACAGGTATTCTGCTTCACTTTGTGGGGATTCCCTTGGGCAGTTATGGGTCCTTAGCATCTATGCAGTCCTATATGCTAGCTTTTAAGAGGATGCTTTGGTTACTGTATAAGAACTGGCAGATTGCTTTGTGACCAATACCCGTGAAGGTCTGGGTTAGAATATTGATCTTCAGTAACCCATGTTTGTCGTAAGAGGCGACTAACGGGATCGGGTGGTCAGGCTCGCTGACTTGGTTGACACAATCATGTCACCGGTTCCCAATTGCGCAGATTGATGCTCATGCTGTTGATCACTGGATTGTCTGGTCCAGAATCGAAAAGTGACAGACTGCCGCCATATAGCTGGAATATTGCTGAGTTTGGTGTAAAACTAAACTCACACACTCACTATGTGACCAAGGTTACTGTGTACAGAGCCGGGATGAAGGTAAACCTAATGTACACTGATGTGCTCCATTGGTGTCTCCTTTGGCAAAGCCACTTTGTTCAGAATAAGGTCTGTGTTCACGTCTTAGGATGAGATGCATATGTGACTACTTAACGATCTAATGAAATTAGAGGGCACACAACGTCACTGCCTGGGGTTTTGAGTGGCACCATTGTGTAGATATCAAAGTTATTATCCAGGCTTGATACCCTCAAACACAGATAAAAGTGGATTTGTGTTTTCATTGTTTCAACTCATTTAAGTATGATTTTGTATGAATTGTGACCTTCTTTGCTGTTCTGTGAAGGATGACCTGCTTGTGTTTCAGGACCTGGTGGAGAAGATCATGACGCTGCGGAAGGCTGTTGAGGTGTCGCGAGGCAAGGCGCCGGAGATCCCCAGTGGCCCTCTGGCAGAGAGGCTGAGTCAGTACTCAGACATGCTGGCGGCCCAGGGCAGTATCTTCACTGCTATAGGCTACCTCCGCAATGCTAATGAGGTTCGTCACCTTTTATCATCAAGATAGGGCATCTTCTTCTTGAAACATCGCTGCGAATAGCTGCAAAATTGCTGATGCAGTTTTAACCGATAGTCACTTGCTCACTCACTCACTCATGCACTCACTCATTCCTAAGAGATTTCTTAATTTAGTGACAGACTTAGACAAGCATGCTCTTTGTTCCAGCCTTCCCTCCAAGTCCTCCAAGACAGGCTGTTTAAAGCATTTGGACAGAACATCCCCGGGATCCAGGCACCAGCATTCCCCTTTGCTAAGGTGAATATCCTCCCCGAGGGCAGCCGGCAGCCCCAGGCAGCTCAACCAGCCAGCATGCAGCAGCAGCAGCAGCAGCAGCAGCGTGGTGGACAGCGGCAGGCCTCATCGTACCAGGCCCAGGCTCGCAGTAACTTCCAGACAACGACCACCCCCAGCAGCAACTACTACCAGAACCAGGGACAGTATGCCTCCGTCAACGGCCCCATGTCCACACAGAGCACATACACACCACAGCCGGCAGTCAGCGCAGCTGCAGCACCAGCCTCTAAAGGTACAACTTGTAGTGCCAGTTTGAAGATTGTCGTGTTTCATGTTGATTTGGGATGAGATTGAAATGATGGAAGAGGGAAGTTGAAGTTGGACATGAGACTTTTGTCCTTCTATTATGGTTTTCTAGTTTATATATAAGATCCTACACTGACAAGTTTATCTTATCTAATATATGTATTGTTTATGAAGAATGTTGTTACAGTTACAAGGTGGCTGAAATATTGCTGATGTGCCTAAAATTTTACTGCATTCAAACACTCACTCATTGATTCAAAGCAAATGAGAATGAATGCATCTTAAGAATGGCAGTGATAAGCAATACCATCAAATGATGACCAGTATTGTGTGATTTCTTTATTCCAGGCCCACTGTCTCACAAGTACCCAGCTTACCCATCATCTGCCGGAGCCTATGGCATAGAAAGCTACCAACAGAGCAACTACATGCAGCCTAACTTCTCACAGGCTCAGCAGTTCAACCAGGGAGGGTTCAGTCAACCGTAAGTAATACAGTGATACTTAACCCCATGTGTTCTTAGTAGGATTGGAAATCAAGTAGTTTGATTCATTGACGTTTATTGATGGCACTGAGTTTCTCTAGTAAGAGCTATTAGAATCATCACTGTATACTAAAAGATGGTACTGAGAGGTGAGACCTTGGGGAGGGATCATTTCAAAGGCCTGATGGGACTTGTTTTGTGTCCTTGCCCCCCCCATGGTGAATATTGACGACTGCATCAACCATCAGAAGTGGGGGATCCACTCATCTAATCAGCTAATGTTGATACATTGGTAACCATGGTAACTGTTACATGACACTTCATCTGTAATTCATGAACTAGCTGCTAGTATTGCTGAAGTAAGGTATTAGACATATTTCGCCACTGAGTCTGCGATAGAAGAAGGTGGTGTTGTTAGTAATCTAGTAATTTTCTGACATGTCTTCAGTGAGTATTATTGTCTAATACTGTCCCTTCTCTTTGCCTCAGGAGCCAGTTTGGAGGGGCTGCCTCTCAGCCCAGCACAGTGCAACCAACCAACTACTACAATCCCACATCAACCCCAGGTGCGCAACTCAGGCCTGATAGTCTCTAACTCTTACCAAACAGATGTCAACATTTGATGTAACAAATCACATAGGTTGAGATTGTTTTTCTGTAATTTCTTACCATGGTTTAGGCAAATAGTTTTGTACAATTTTTCAGTTTCTTCAGTGTGGTTTGCTTGCTGTTTACAGGTGCTCCATATGCTCCACCCTCTAACCCTGCCCCCCAGTCAATACCCAAGATGCCCTCCTACCAGGATGTAAAGTCTGATACAGCCTGGAACGACCCCCCTCTTATCACCTCCAAGAAGCAGGTAGGTACCCTCTGAGAGGTGTATAGAACAAGATGGTTGAATGTCTGCATCATATGTGTACTACCGAAAAGACATTAAGAACAGCCGATTCTTAGGAAATATGAAGGAATAGGGTTTTCAACCTGTTTTGAGTAGTATATTCTTGGAATGGTTGGAAAGAATATGTTAAGAGATCAAAAGTTAAAATATAAATGCCTACCCAAAATCTGAAATTATGTTTATCAACATTGTGTCACTGTTATACAAAAGTTGTTGGTAAGCTTTCTTACTCCTTTCTGTCAGTCTGTTTATTCTTGTATTTGTACATGCAGAGAGATCATGTAATCATGTAAAATCCTGCCCATTTCTGTGATCCAATCCGACCGATCATATTGGAGGCCACACTCCAGTTGATTTCATTGATGTGCTTGTGTGGTCACGTGACTTCCTTGAGTAAATATCAAAATCATTTGAACAGTTTGCCTACATGAAACTGGAGCCTCTTCTGAAACCATCTTGGGCAGTAACTCTTATTATGTAACTAGGACACAAATCTTGTAGGATAAAAATTCTCTCTTAGCAAGGATTAACTTTTGCCTGGCAAATTGAAGGTTATTGATTTGAAATAGTTTTGATCAAATTAACAATGTCGTGTAAAACATGACCCTCTGATGTTGCCAGCCCACTGCCCAGTATGACCCTCAGTCTGCTATCACCTCCCCCCTGTATGGGGGCCCTGCCGGTAATGAGCAGCCCCCACCCGGTGCCCCCATGAACTTCAACTTCTACAACCCACAGGAGTACCAGCCTCCTCCAGAGGTGAGTGGATTATGCAACATGCCTGCTCTTGTATATGAGAAGTAAAAGATTCTTCAGCTTTGTGATGTAATTTCAATGACATTTTAGATCTGTGCAGATTGATATTGTAAACTCCTCTCATACAGTTCTCTCTTAGATGTGCTTCACACTGGAGTTGTTTTGTAACTTTCTCTGATGTTGTCGTTATCTGTTTTGAGAACCATTGGTTAAAGTGACCATCATAACCACCCATGGCAGTCACATGCTTGAAATGTGTATCTGTTAACTAATTTTACTAATAGCTCACAAAAGATGTAATGTTTATGCATGAATTTTCCTCAGAATAACAGATTCTAACATGTTCATTATATTACTACCATGACTGCAAGCAGTAACAATGATAATTACAGATCACTCCATCATACAGCTTGAGCAATGTTAATGGTATTTTGAAGTAATTGACGTGGTCTTTGGTCACCAGTCTCTTTTTGTTTTTCTCTATGGTGAACCTGTATGCATACTGTTAATTAATGGTAACCATGGTAACATAACTGGACCATTTGGCATTTTATCATATTTTCAAAATTAAAGAAAATGACACTAAGGCTGAAAACAGATGATTCAGCTTTTGACTTGAGGTTAAAGAAAGAATAATCATGCGTCAATTATAAGAAATATGTTTCCTTGGTGTATGTAGTTGGTAGGACAGATTTTGCATGTTGCTCTTACTCCATACTAATAATCACATTCCTTGATGTGAAAGAATTTCCATTTTAATCCATTTTAGCCATAAGAAATATATTCTTCTAAAGGCTTTTGCAAATTATTGTTGCCATGGTTACTGACGACAAAATGCACCCCCTCAAGACATTGAGTTGTAGAATTGGTCTTCATCAACCAATACTGGTTGTACAGGGGGGATTAAATTGCTGAAATTCATAACCTAACAACGTTAAACAGCAAACTTGATGCCAATGCTAGCGTTTTGGAAGCAGCAAATCAGAGAAGCATTACCTACAGGAAGGTCTGGTGGACTGACAGTATGCATGGAGTAGTTCTCCCTATTTATGTTGTTAACTCATCCTGTTTTCTCCCACGCTTGCCGCCTTTAGCAACAATATACTGCCATGACTCCTCCCAACATGCCCGCTTCCCAGGCCCCTCAGAAGTCCAAGGTGAGACACACCCACTGTGTGCCAGGGGCAAACTTTTAACACCAGCATCTCGCGTTAGGTCCACAAGATCTATTGCTTGTTGTAAGAGGCGACAATATTCTATCATATGATCAGACTTGGCCGATCGAGCATCAATTTACCCTAAAGGCGTTGGACATTGCTTATGATTTACAGGTAGTTGATGCAGCTGGAATATTGCTGTAAAACAAGAAGTAGATCTTAACCCCCTTGGTCATGGTGGTGATTCCAGGACCATATTGGTACCCCATGGTGTCTTAAGGGCCAACTGCTGAGGATCAAGTGGTTACGTTTCTTTCACATGCTATCAAACACTCATGTGCCTTATGCTTTAACCATTTACAGACCTTTGTGCTATATAACATGAAGCAATGCTTTAACCATTTACAGACCTTTGTGCTATATAACAGGAAGCAATGCTTTAACCATTTACAGACCTTTGTGCTATATAACATGAAGCTATGCTGACTGGGGCGTAAAACAACATCCACCCACTCAGAATTCTTTATCTTCTGTAACAGGTTCAAATAGTCAGATTTTTGTGGAACACTGATATAGTGTACATGAAATGCATTTTTATCTAATTTACTTACTGATATTTACAAATTGAACTAACCTGTGAAGATCCGGGGTAGAATAGGTCTTCAGCAACCCATTCTTGTCTTATAAGGCGACTATGCTTGTCATAAGAGGCAACTAACGGGATTGGGAGGTCAGGCCCGCTGACTTGGTTGACACATGTCATCGGTTCCCAATTGCGCAGATCGATGCTCATGCTGTTGATCACTGGATTGTCTGGTCCAGACTCGATTATTTACAGACCGTCGCCATGTAGCTAGACTATTGCTGAGTGCGGCGTAAAACTAAACTCACTTACTCACTCAGATAGTATCGTATCCTAATTGCGTAGATAGATGCTCATGTTGTTGATCACTGGATTGTGTGGTCAGGACACGATTATTTAATTATCGCTGCCAAATAACTGGAATATTGCCGAGTGAAGCTTAAACTAAACTCTGTCATTACATATTGAACTTAATTGCATATTTTGGGTTTTAAAGTAAACAATGGTTGGATAGGCCCAAAATATGGGTGTAAGAGGAAACCAGAAGGAGTATCATTCAGTGACATCAGTTGGTACCACTCATGGCTGCTTCAGGCCAAAGGACATTGAGAGATGGTACTAGTTGTTCCCCTGTCTGGCGCTGAACATATCGGCTCGGAGTCCTTATGCTGTGTCTCAGTTGGTTAACTGATTAAACTGGTGCATTGATCTATAAGAGAGAAGCTTAAACCCAATCCATGTATATGTTGACTCTGGGTTAAGTAGTTCATTACGGGTTACATAGGTTACATTAACCAATGTCTGTCCGACAAGGTGAATGTTACATCATTGTGCCCTGGTGGCATGGGTGTGGCCAGTGTCATTGTATGGTTAGCCTGATCACTGGTCTTGTGACTGGGACACATAGTCAAGGTACTTTGTCCAAGTTTTACTGCACGTTGCTGTACCCGCAACTAGGTGTATGCACATATTCATGTGGCCACCATCTGGTCATATACCAACGGATTCGTGGGTTCTTTTAAATGCACAGGGTTGTGTAGTGTACACTAGGGGTTACAGACTCCACAATCCAAACCCCTCATGCCCACTGATAGCATTATGAGGGTTCTAGTTTTCTTTTCCAAAAATCCAATTGAAAACAAATGTAAATTCCTCAAATTTAATTCCTCATGATTATATGGTGAATATGAAGATTGGTAGATTGAAGTTTGAAGTTTGAAGATTTACTGAAATAACAAAACAAGGGATCACAAGTTTCAGTACACAGTGAACACACAGTAAATGGCTGACATTCATTCACTGACAAAGCTACACAATTACCAAATTAACATAATGCTACCCAAATAAATAGATATAAGAATAAGTTAGAGTACATACCATTTTGTTTGACCTTCCAAATCAGTCCAGTCATTCAATCTAGTTTGTGAGACACTCTCACTGCACAGCTGCCTCTCACCTATGTGCTTCTCAGTCACCCATCTAGAGTTACCCGACTTGCCTTAGCCTAATCAACTGAATCCCCTCATAAAATCTCTCCGTTAGTTTCACACTGTCATAACCAAAAATTCTCATTCTTACTTTTAAACATATACATGCACATTTTTATACACATATTAAATACTCAAAAACGTACACACTTTGCATACAAACCCAGAACACATATTTTCTGCACTTAATACTTATACACTCACTCTTGCTACCTAAATACAAACGTGCTCCTATTTTTTGCAGTATAACTGCTCTCACTGATGCTACTTGTGATGTTCATGTCATCAGTGGGTGTTATATGACTGTTATATGACTGAATATAATGCCAGTGAGATGTTAAATGTTAACCAATATCTTCAGTAAAGGGAGTGTCTTTTATAATGTCATCTTATGATCTTTTCCTGCTGGAAAAAGATTCTTCACAATGTCCCATTGTCACTTTTATGAATGACTAAGCCCAAGGCCATATTGTTTTGCTGATGAGCATGAAAGAGACCTGTTCTTCACAGTGGTGACTGAATTATTTACATTACTGTTACTGCATGCTACAAATACTTCTGGAGACCTGACCTGTTCTGCATGCTATGTTTCAGTTGTCTGGGAATGTGATCATGGGCCTGCACCAGATCATCCAGTCTGTACAACAGTACGACTACAATGCCAGCCTCGGCGTCTACACCCAGATGATCAGCCAGGGCAACTTCTCTGAGATCAGCAGCTTCATGCCCGGAATCAAGGTTCTCATCCAGTCTGCTGCACAGCTGCAGGTCTACGTCCAGGGTTAAGATATGATGAACAGAGTACCTGGTGTGTGATTAGTAGGTGGAGGTGGTTTTGTATATAGTAGCCACCCACAGTTCCAGGGTCAAGATTGTACTATAGTAGCCCTCCTCAGTATCAGGATCTGGGTGGTTCTGTATATAGTAGCCTGCTTCATTACCAGGATCTGGATGGTACTGTATATAGTAGCCCTCCTCAGTACCAGGATCTGGATGGTACTGTATATAGTAGCCACCCACAGTACCAGGATCTGGATGGTACTGTATATAGTAGCCCTCCTCAGTACCAGGATCTGGATGGTACTGTATATAGTAGCCACCCTCAGTACCAGGATCTGGATGGTACTGTATATAGTAGCCCTCCTCAGTACCAGGATCTGGATGGTACTGTATATAGTACACGCCAGTATCAGGATCTAGAGTGGCACTCTATATGTTGATATCAGCACACGATGCAGTGCTTGGGATCAAGCACAAAGAGTTCCTGTTCATACACCTAGTCTAATAATCCAAGCTGTTGGGGATCCTGAGATTCACTTACTGCCAGAGCACCTTCCAGGATCCAAGTGTGCTGCTCAAACCCTGCAGACTCAACAGGGTACAGGACTGATGACATAAAGTGTTGAAAGCAATCCAGTTCTAGTTAACGAAATGTTTTTGTCTGTTATTTTAAAGCTACACCTCCCAATGATTCTAATAGGCAATGTCAGTCCTGTATTCATCTTAGACCAAGCTGCAGTTTGAACACCGATTGTTGATTGTAAAAATCAAGGTTGATGTGGTGATGGGTGCACACTGTGGATGGTCCACTACCTTAAGTAGCATCTCTTCACTGTTCCTTTGCGTAACACTACTGACAATGTTATGTTATAATATTCCAAGAGTATGATGTATAAGGATGTACTGTTAAGTTGCATTTATTGTTCCTAGTGGTATCCTCAGTGTTGTATTAGGATGGAGGACTGGTCGAGCACATCCTTTAGATATCAGTTATCCCCCTTGTCTGGCTATACCACAACCTGTAAGTGAAGGTTCTGGAAATAATGTTATTCAGGTTAAGATGTATGTTACCAGTATGTGACGTTTCAAGGTGCCCTGTACCAATAGAATGAGAGGATTTTGTAAACATTGTATATATGTACAAAGCACAGTCAGCTTGTTTTCAGTGATTGCTTGAATGTTGTAGTGAACTTGCCTTGTTTGGTACAAGAACGACCCCATTCTGTACATCCCTAGTGATAGACACAAGAGTACATATAGACCATGCTTATTGGGGTTGCCGTGATGCATCTATCTCTACCTCTACCACCAACCTCTGAATCCACTTGGAGCTGACACGCAGTGATACAACTGGAATACTGTTAAGAGCGTTGTTGAACCCAACTCACTGACTTACCTTTGAATCCTAATAGATACAGTGTGTGATATTTCATTTGTATGTTTTATGAAATTCTCCATGCGTCTGTGCATCCTGGTCTGTGAGAGGTTGTTGCCATCTTACAATTTGAGTTTTACAATCATGATAATGTATTTGGGCTTGTTCTGTCAGTATTATGCTCTCAGATCGATATTTTGTGATCAGCATAAAGTAAAGATTGCCAGTGGAACTCATGGCTGGTTTACTCATGATGTGAATGGATACATGGGTAGATATGTGTGGTATGGTGTTAAGTCATAATACATCAGTACATCAGTGAACCCTCATGTATGTAACATTCTTCAAGAGTCATAGGTAGATAATTAAATGCAGTCACATGGAACCCTCTCTTTTGAATATGGGTGTGCATTCCCGCTTAGTCATGAGTGTCTGAACTACCTTTCTGTATGGTGTTCTGTGAATGGAAGTTGTAGAGTCTGTGAAATCGGTCATCAAAATCTTGATACGTTGCAAATGATTAGTAAAACAGTATTGTTTTTGTTTTAGTTTTAGTTTGTTATGCTAGTAGTTTGTTCATTTGCCTTCAGCCCAAAGAAAACTGTTTTGAAGTTTGTTTTGTTTGACTTTCATTTTGAAACACTGTTTCATGGAAGAAATAATCAAGTGTTGAGATTATGACTGAGATTGTGAGAGATATATTATGATTCATTTATCCTGTGCCACTATAGCATATCTCATCAGAGAGAATATATTTTTCAACCTCACTTCACATTTTCTTCTGGCGCACTTAGAGTTAAATTAGTATATCTTTGTATTTTCTGGCAGTGGGTGCACTGAGATTGGCACTGTCACCAATATTTACACAATCTTTGGATTCTTGAATATTGAGATGATATTACTGTTCTTCAATATATATTGATTATGAATTGTAATTTCGCATTCAAAATTATGTCATGTGAAATATGGTGCAAAATTTATCATCATGATGATGTTTATATGTACATGTTATCATTGGAATACCTTGTTTTCATGCATTAAATCATTAAGTCATCATTGTGTTGGTGATAGTACTTGAGTTTCAATATTTAATGTATCAATTGTTTTCAAGCTAAAACATATTCAACTCTCTTAACCTTAAAAATCAAAACTTTCAGTGCAATTGCCAAAAAAGATTACATGACTTGATCTCTTTTGCAACATTTCAACTGTTTCTTAATTCTTTAAATCAACATCCATTAGCTAGCTTGGGATCCTGTTCTCAACTGTGGCTCTTTAGTATTTCGTGTCATCAAGGATTATATTAAGTGAGAGTGGTTGCTTAAAGTTCATGTAAAGAGTTTTGGCAAGTGCCCGAGACCTGCATCAGTGATATCCCAGCACATGAAGCTGACACACACTGTTATGACTGGGATACTGTCTAGACTGGAGTTAAAACACCATCTCGGTCTCAGACACTCCAGAAAATTAATAATAGAACAATATTTGGAACATTTTGATTCCTTCAGACCTATTGTGCATATTGGAGTATGGTATACTGCCACTGACTTGACAAATTCTACTCGGAATGTTTACAATTTTGCAACCAAATCATTCATTACATGTTCTAAAATTTCAATAACATGGTCTGTTTTGTATACTATCAGGACATACTCATATGCGGACATTAATTTGAAATCATGTTATATATCTGTAATGACTGTCATGATAAATCATGATCAGAATCACAAGGTACTGCCTCCCTACATGGTTACACCCCTTTTCTATAACATACTCATTTAATCCAGCATTATCATGGTGCTATGTGGAACTATGTTCATCAAATTGAATGAAGTCCTTTCCTCCTCTTGTAACCAATAATCCAGATGTACACCAGTTTTGCAGTACCTTAATTGCACAGACAATATTTGAATACTGCACTAGTCCAAAATGCCCAAGTATAGTACCCCCTTTAAAGATATTGAGAAGTATGTTGAGTCTATTTGATAGGCACATGCACTGGTTTTCCTGCAGCTAGCCAAGGTCTTATTTATGTGTAGCTGTGTACTTCAGCTTTGTTTTATCATCTCTTCATCATCATATTCTGCATGATCTTGTTATTTAATTATGTATAGCTTATATCTGAATGTAAAGTGTTATGATATATGGCATGTAAGCCGGTTCTAGTGTACAAAACTTTCCAAGAAATTAAATAAATCACTGCTTGCGATTTCATCAACTGGATTGTGTTTTGTGTGTTAAAGTGAATGGGCACACCAGATGTGGATGCGGAATGGTTTGGGATAGTGGACCTTGCTTGAAAAGTCCTCCTTGGGGTAGGGGCGGTGGGGTAGCCTAGTGGATAAAGTGTTGGCTCGTCACGCCACCAAGGTTCAATTCCTCATATGGGTACAATGTGTGAAGCCCAAATCTGGTGTTCCCGCTGTGATATTGGTGGAATATTGCTAAAAGCGGCGTAAAGCCATACTCACTCACTCACCCCTTCTTAGGGTGGCGATGTGCTTCAAGAAATACCACACACTGTAAAGATGATTGCTACTGATACAGAGAGAAGAAAAGCTTCGGATGCTACAAAAACAAAATTAAAACATCGCGTTTGCAAAAAGACCCTGCATGCCTCCTGTTCGAGACTAGTCTTATGTAGTTCATCCCAGCAACACCTGTGATTCATTAAAACCGACAACCCCTTTGCACCCAGGCCCTAGATTTTCGAAGCTCTCTTTGCGCTAAGATAGTCGTAAGTGCCATACATTAACATTAACTTACGATTATCTTAGCGCTAAGAGAGCTTCGAAAATCTAGGCCCTGCAACCCTTACACAAATGAACTTGTAAGAGGTGACTGAACGGATCCGTGGTCAGACTTGGTGACACAGTAGATTGTGTGTCATAGTTGCTTACAATATCGATCACTGCATTTTCTGGTCCTGACTGGATTGTTTACTCGCAACCATTATTCTGCAGGAATATTGGAGGCATCCTCGATATAATCTCCAGGGCATATACGTTCCGATAAATCTCCAGTATACTAGTGGAGATTTATCGGAGCGTATACCCTGGAGATCATCGAGGATGGTGCTAAGAAACTGGAGAGGAAGCTGTTTGCTCAGAATTGCGGGAGATTTCCACCCAGATCATTGCGGTTCCGGTAATGCGGTTCTCGTCACGCCAGTCAATGCGATGTCAGTAAACTGTCGGTCACTGTGTAACACATTAAATACCATGGCTCCACCGACTGCGATTATCCTGGTCGAAAACCGCGACAGTGTCCTTTTTAGAATTCCATAGCTGCTTCCAAAAGTCCGATGTATTTCCGCTGTGATGTGATTTCGAAATATTCATGTATCATATTCTAAATGTCATTCATGTATATAATTCATTTCTTATTTAGAAGTATACATTCACATTGGTAGATAAGTAGGTAGATAACATATCTTTGATGCTGATTACACCCACTTACATTCTATACTTACCTGTTTCAAAGTACAACACTATACACCTGCAGTTACAGGTAGGTTTGTTATTACTAGCTCGCATTCATGTATTGGTAAAGACTCCACTTGAACTGTCTGTGACGTCAGTACCTCTACGGATGTCTTATGTGAAAAGGGAACCATTCGTCTCTTCAGTCAACTTTGATAACGGCTGGGTCATTGACCGACATTAACGCTGAAGAAAACTTGCTTTCATAGCTAGAGAATAGTCCCCCGTCTCGACAACGTCAGGTTTTCATTCTTTTTATTTTTCCCATACAATTGTCAGATTGTAAGTTCTTTTTTATATACGTCTGAGTGATGCTATCACTGTGTCTCTATTTAGTCCAATCATATGCCAGATCATCTACCATCTCGTGTATACATGAAGTGTTCCTTGGTATTGCTTTGACAAATACAGGGGACATCGTCGTCGTATTACAGGTTTTCGTACATGAGTGGCTGCTGTTGGTTTAACGCTGCTTTGCACTGTACAGCAGTTGAAGGACGACGTTTCAACTTTATGTGGGAGGAATTCCTGAAGTAATGCAGACCTCCTTCCTGAAACATGCATGTATTGCTCTCACAACATTACAAATATGCAGATTCATTGGATTGGGGCACAGGGTCGCACAGCGGACTGGTCCGCCTTCATGTAGACGAATTGCCAGTCGGTTCCCCCATGTTAAGTCATTCAAAACATGAACTGATAATCAGCAGTTGACGATGAACCAGATAGTGTGATAATATGTTCAAGTAGTAATATGTTCTCGCGTTCGCGACGACGGATAGATCCATCTTAGCGAGGTATAACATATTTGTAGTTTGTTGGTATGTTCAGCTTGACCTGAGCTACTCTACATATGGATGACCCGGGAGGTCAAATGGCACAAACGGCAGGTGGAGTTAACTTCATCAAATAGGGGAGCAGGCAATGTTGTTAATGTTGCTGAAGCTGCTCACTGCCTAAAAGCCCGAATCGGAAATATCAAATCATCTGTAGCTTATTTTTTAAAGAAAGTTAGGACATTGCTGACGGTTTCTCGACACAGATGTTGAACGGCGACCTTGTCTCGGCTGTTCAATAATGTGTAAGCCCGGGCTATTATTATAATGGTACCTACGCCCCTGGCAATCTTGGCCTTCATATATCTTTTATACAGTAATTTCTTCACATAGTCCAACTCACTCACTCCTCTCGAAGCCTGACTTTCAAGAAACCATATTGTCCTTAACCAGTTAGCATGGAGCCCGATGTGAATATGGTGTCCAACTCGTACAAAATGGACCACGAGAGACGAGGTCTCGCCGTCATCATCAACAACACCCTGGGAGGGATGGGGAAGGATGGGGAGAGTATGGTGGATTGTCTGACGCAGCTGGGGTTTGATGTGACAATGTATTCACGTCAGACGATGAAGCAGATGAAAGAACTGATGAGAGCAGGTAGGTTGACAGGTAATACAGACGCACACATAGTTGGCCATGAAACATAACAGTGAAACAGTAGAAATCACGATTCGCAATTGGTAACTTCATTCTACAAAACAAATAATGTTAGTTTTACATGCGTTCGTCTGAGTGGATTGTATCATCACTGAGCAACCACCAAAGGGTTCCGCTATATGAATCATCCCCCTAGTGATATACCTCGTTTTACGACGTCTCCACGCGCGACAACGTCCGTCGGTAACGTGCAGGAGACAACTATTTTCAGCGGTTTTCTCGGAGCCAGCACCTTTACCCACAGGCCCGTGTGTCTTTGAGAGGATTAAAGATTTTTTTTAAATATACAAAAATTTGAGATGACCCCCGACTCGAAATGCTTCACAGTACAATATATCATGACAAGGTCATGATGTAGTGTACTGTGAAGCGTTTCGAATTGGGGTCATCTCAAAAACAATAATGTTTTAATAATTAATCTTCGCAAAGACACGAGGGCCTGTGCCTTTACCTGCCAGTGCCTATCTGTGGGGAAGGAAGAGGGTCCCAGGAGACCCTTCGGTTGGTACTGTTGGAGGTTCGGACTCTCACTCTCTTTTGCCGGGAATACCCGTGAAGATCCGGACTAGAATTGGTCTTCAGCAACCGATTCTGTCGTAAAAAGCGACTAACGGGATAGGGTGGTGAGGCTTGCTGACTTGGTTATCACACGTCATCGTATGCCAGTTTCGTAGATCAATGATCATGTTGATCACTGGATTGCCTGGTCCAGACTAGATTAAATACAGACCGCCACCATATAGCTGTTATATTGAGTGAGGCGTTAAACAACCAACCAACCAACCAACCAACCAACCAACATTTGCCAGGGTCTCCTTGGCAAGGGTCTTGGGATTGCGTCTTGCGAGACGAATTATGACTCGATCATCGCTGCCATCGACCCTCCTCTGACTTCTGTGCCATGGGCGACCTTGTACACCACCAGTAGACACATGCATCTCACAAGTCGACTGACAGCCGTGTGGTTAATGTTCAAGTCCAGGATATCCTTGTGTCATGCATATCAATACCTTGCCATCCTGTATTTCTGAAAGTCAGCGTTATGAAATGTTTATTTTCTTAAATCAGTTCCGGAAACTGTAGTTCACATACTTCGCAGCACGTGAACACGTGACCCATAGCTTTTGAGATATTGTGTGAAACACGTGCTTTTTCTGTGCATTCCAGTATACTTGGGTCTTATCGTTTGTTTGGACCAAAATTTAGATATTGACCCTTGAATCAGGTGGTGCTTGAATAATGCCCATGTGTATAGTTTTCATCGCTATTTTGTCTATTACTCTTGATGGAAATTCGAGAGTAAAGTCTTGCATTGACATTTAGTATTTGATATGCAAACGTATCATAATCATACCACCGATGGTGTTGCTGCAGCCGGAAGATGATGTTCATGATGACGATGACGATGGTTATGATGAATAATTTATACATAGCGCTATTTCCACTTAATGCACGCCCACAGTGCGTACATCATTACTGCGATGATGATGATGATGATGATGATGATGACGATGATGATGACGTAAGATGACATCTGTCTCCACAGCCGCAGCGTCCGACCACAGTGGATGTGACTGCTTCGTCTGTGTCATACTCGCCGACGGCGGGGACGACAACGTGAAAGCAACCGACGGCACTGTCAAAATATCATCACTGGTGGCACCATTCAAAGGTCATATCTGCAAATCTCTGGCTGGAAAACCTAAATTATTTTTTATGCAGGTATAATATCGTGCTAAATATATTTCAATCTGAAACTCCTTACATTTCAAATAAATAGCCATAAAATACCAGAATCATTTTGTTCCCATTTCACGTTCAGCCATTCCTCCATAGCAGCCATAGCTATTGAATTTCACAAACAATATTGTCATCCTGTTTCTGAAACATATACAATGAACCCCCGGTACTCCGGGCGCTACAGTTTTCAGTGAAATTTGTCCGGATTATCATATTTCCGGATTATTTGTTGGTTTGTTGCTTAACGCTACACTCGCAATATGCCAGCTGATGAAGGAGCAAGCATACACTCGGAAACGTCGTGTTATTCACAATAAAAACGTTGACATCCATAAAATCTTGCTTTTCCTATATGGCGGCGGTCTGTAAATAATCTGGACCTGATAATCGAGTGATCAACATCATGAATATCAATCTTCGTAAGAGGGATACAATAACCGCTAGCCCGATCTTAACGGGTCATTTTCCGGATTCACCCGAGGAGATCCGGGTTAGAACCGATCTTCAGTAACCCATGCTTGTCGTAAGAGGCGACTAATGGGATCGGATGGTCAGACTCGCTGACTTCTTTTGAGTAGTATAGGCCACATGCAGCAGCACATGTAAGTCCATGAACAAATATGGAAATATCTGTTGGTTCACAGGGATGTCGTGGCAGGGACCTTGACCACGGTGTTACTGTTGGTGCTGCCCTGAGCGTAGTTGGGGATGACGCAGATGATGATGACTACGATGAAGTTGACGGCATGCCTATGACGTACAAAATCCCATCAGGTGCCGACTTCCTCCTGGCGTATTCCACCGTTGCAGGTAGTTGCATCCATTTCACATCACTGATCCTTCCAGGGCTGTATTCAATATATTATATATTTGTTATATGTTATTTTCATTAATGTTGGTAGCAGCTGGCGATGTTGTAATTGTATATGTCAGAATTGTTTGTGGCCGGAAATGACCGAAACACCATCGTCCAAAATGGGGAATGATTTAGCTTCCAGATTGTAACCGGAAGTGGTTGGAGTTACTGGTCCTGGTTACGAGCATGATTGTTGATGTTTTGAGAAGGTTTAGAATTGGACAGTTTTTAGAAGACTGGATGTACCGATGTAAGGACGACATGATCGAGGTCTATTTCAACCTGATATGCCCGTGACCGCCTCCGTGGTGTAGTCGTTAGAGCGTCCGCCGGAGAGCGGAAGGTCGCGGGTTCGATCCCCGACCGCGTCATATTAAAATACGTTAAAATATGGTACTTGTTGGTCCCTGTCTGGCGCTCGGCATTAATGGGTACAACAAGGACTGGTCGGCTCGGAGTCAGTATAATGTGTCTGAGTGGGGTATTCATGCTTCACTGCGGCATGGTATCTCAGTGGGCTAGCACTATAAAAAAAACAGCTTAAGTCTGGGCTAGTACAAGCAGCCGCACCTACACATACACACGCATGCACGTCGTCATATGAGCGAAATATTCTCCAGCGCGACGTTAATTTACGTCACCTCACATATGCCCGTGAAATTCCGGGCTAGAATTGGTCACCGTGTTTGTAGTCAAAGGTGACTATGGGATCGGGTAGTCAGGTTTGCTGACTTGGTTGACGCATGTCATCGTATCCCAATTGCGTAGGCCGATGCTCATGCTGTTTGACTGGTTAAGACTCGTTTTTACAGACGGACACCATATTGCCGGAATATTGCTTAGTGCGGGGTTAAACAAAACTTATATACATACCAAGCACAGCTTGAATGGCTAATTGCATAGCTGGCATGATTTCAGATGCAATAACTTAACAGTTTCAAGACATTCCACAGTGATAGTATTCTGGACATACAGAGCACGGTACGTACTGCTGCTGCCGCTATCTCACCCATTGTATTGCCTTGTTTGACCATAAACCTAAAACCGCGTATTGCAATGTTATCTATTGAATATAGACTGATTTTGTCCGATCATTTAATGACATCACAATTCTGAGGGTACCGATTTCTTGGTTTTCTTAGTTTGCATTTCAATTTGGAATTCACCTCGTATCAACCCACGACGCTTGGCATGTAAGAGACAGATAGGTGTTGCCTCTCTTGGCACTATTCCAACTAAATGACGCCTACCAGTAAGCCGTGGAGTCACCAGACAAACCACAGATTGATATTGTCAGCACCGAACGTGAATTACTCGATCCTTGAAATCGCCTTTTCACAACGCAGGGTTGCCGGGGAACCGTTCTAACTAGGAGTGAGTGAGTGAGTGTAGTTTTACGCCGCACTCAGCAATATTCCAGCTATATGGCGGCGGTCTGTAAATAATCGAGTCTGGACCAGACAATCCAGTGATCAATAGCATGAGCATCGATCTGTGCAATTGGGAACCGATGACATGTGTCAACCAAGTCAGCGAGTCTGACCACCCGATCCCGTTAGTCGCCTCTTACGACAAGCATGGGTTACTGAATACATGTATCAATATTATAACCCGGACCTTCACGGGTCGTTCTAACTAGGAATCCTGGCTGGGGATAAGCAAACGGGAAGCGACAAAATTGTTTAGCCTCGTTGACAGTATTTGGTTCATTTCTATTTGGTTGGACATGCCCAGCCTGCAGTCAAGCATTCAGAACAGCACATTTGATTTCTGTATCTCGAACACAATTTTAAGAGGACCTGTTCCGAATGTAAATAGATAATGATAATGGCATATTACATACACTGCCCTATTGAGCTCCATGTTCAACAACCAAAGTAATCTTTACTAAAGGAAAATATGTACATTTTCTGCGAGGACATTTCTACTCATCTCTGTCTGAGGAATAATGTAGGTAATGAAATAAGCCCAGTGGCCCTGACTTGACCTCAGTGCATAACATGTAACGCCTGATCCCATGACATATACTTAAAGCATAACTAATTACATATTCTGTCCAGGGGCGGTGGGGTAGCCCAGTGATTAACGCGTTCGCTCGTCACGCCAAAGACCCGGGTTCGATTCCCCACATGGGTACAATGTGTGAAGCCCATTTCTGGTGTCCCCCGCAGTGATATTGCTGGAATATTGCTACCAGCGGTGTAAACCCAACTCACTCACATATTCTGTTCCAGGTTACCAGGCTTCACAAAACCCGATGGCGGGATCATATTACATTAACGCCCTGTGTAGCGCCCTGAAGAAATACAGCACGACCATGGACCTTTTGAGAATTTTGATTCTAGTCAACAAAATGGTGGCTCGGGGATTCCAATCCAGTACTGGTCGCCCTAACAACAAGAGTCCTGTGAAGCAGATGCCATCGTTTGTCTCCATGCTGACCAAAGACCTCATCTTCACTCCAAAGGAGGAAGTAGTTTGGGTTAGACGCAAGATAGAACCTTCTTAATATTGGGACTTATAAAAGTGAAAAATACGAATATTCAAGCATGAAGTTTTGCCCCAGTGTCATTATATACTGAGAGTAAAACGTTAGTCACCTGGATATCCAAGATGGCCGCCAAATTCCAAGATGGCCTCCATTTGTCACAGCGAGTGACAAATTTTGAAACCTCTTGGATTTCACATGTCATCATTTTCTGAAGACTGTCACTGAAACAAAGACCACCAGAGACTTGTATGGATGTGCATGCCTAACTATAATTAACCGTATTAATACAAGCGACAAATCCACTTTTGGAATTTCACAAATTCGCTCTTCCATGCAACACAGAATTTGAATGATACCAAAGGCTGCAAATCCAGGCATTTGTGTGACAGGGCCTTGTGCTCAGTCTATGAAATACATTATATACATAAGAATTGTGATCGATACCACTGATACCTCTGATTTTGGATATAAATTTATGAAATATTTTATGAGTAACAATATATTTTCTATGTGATAAAAAATGTAATGTGATATCGAGATCGATATACATTCAAACTGAAGAAGAGCCCAAGTTGATGAGATTTCCTGAACTCGCGAAAATCTGGACTCGCTTCATACATATCCATAACAATACAAATGACATAGTTTGGGGCCTTTAGACAGCCTAGATCAGACCCGAAAACCTAGGACCAATCCGGGATTCGAACCAACACTCTCAGAGTGCGGCACCTAATCTCCTTATCTAACCCACTCAGCCACTGCGGCTTCTTCAAAGAGAAAGGTCTGACAACTGGTACTCTGCATCACGTACTTTGTACCTCTGACAAGTTTATATTAGCGCGGCTCCCATGCTGAACCTATGAATACACTTCAAGTCCGCCTTTCTTTCAAGGGACTGATGTTTGCTTGAGTGCTGTAGGTGGACATGCCACTTCACCTTTCACAGGTATTCATTTATCTAATACCCGTGTTACAAAGATCCAAATTCTACTAATTTTATGGTCTTGTATGCAATTATCTCCAAAGACATCAAGTGGGCATTGTCTCCATTCAAAGTCTCTGTACATCCTCAGATATTAATATCATTAACAACTCTGTGAAATTTTTTGAAATACGTTTATTCTGTGAAACATTGTTAGCAAACATGTTTCTTCGATCCATACTATGAACTCATTTGGTAACTCCACAACTATATTATGTACTATATTTTAGGTCGTATGGCCTCATATGCAAATAAACTCGCTCTCTCTCGCTCAATACTACTAATTCTTTGTTGAGATAATCTGAAATATTCTTCAAACCTTATTCTCAAGAATGTTTCAATCTACTGTTGTCGAACTAGAGCGTCGAACCTAATGCGGCCGGGAAAAGGTATCTTTAAAGTCAAAATGAAATCTAAAGATCGAATTTCAATCATACCTTTGAAGGCCTCATCAGTGGTGTCACATCAAACCTATGATGTACAGACTTACCTCGACGAGATGATGTCTAAATCAGATGAGCGGGGCGATATTTGGAGAGTCAGTGCCTCCGTGAGATAATATTTTACAAAACATAAACTATAAATCCTGCAAACTGAATTTCCTCAGGCAAAGAGTTTTCTCAAATGGGAAGTACACAAATTACCCTGACGCTGTGCTGACCAAGAGGTAAGATGTTGGACAAGGTAAAGTGGTTGTATTTCATGGAGACTAGTCACCGTGAGAGTTCATACCGTTAATCTCTTTATGTTTCCATGAACACATATTCACAAAGGACCCGTATGCTTTGCCTAATGTAGCCTTATCGTTACATGGTGTCGACATGATGCAGGTGTTCGCTTGAGACCTACTCGGGTATTATCTGGAGGTCAAATTCCATACAAGGGGTTTGTAAGGTAATTATCAGTCACCAACACAATAGTGTCCGGGCGTAGTGACCCGCCTACAGTCGACCATGTATACATGTACTTAGTATGACACAACACTTGGACAGCTTAGTGTGATGCTCGGGGAGAGTGTCATAACTTTTGTCGTCATTCTGTATTCTATATCGGAGCGAGGGCCGATTATACTGTTTGCACATTTATAACGTTTTATTAAAAAGATATAACTATGCTTTATGTGTTCTTCGTATATATACAATCGTCAGAATAGAAGCTGAGAAATGGAAATGAACTTTAATTTGCCTTGTCTATACACGTGTCGGTTGGTAATCGTTGTACTGACTGCTAACATACTCGTAAATAAAACGTTCCTTTTGAGATGACCCCTTAGAGGTGGGTGTATAAATAAGTTTCACGATCTGGTTGTTGAAACGTGAGGTTACAATAATTCAAACGGTCAGTTGCTTAATGTAAGTATATCTATATATTTGTTTATAGTTTATATGGTTTTCAAATGCAAAGATTGACATCAATAAACAACAATAAACATAGTAAAAATAGCATTTGTTGGTGGTCATTAGAATCAAGTTTCTTAATGTATCATGGACTCTTTTAGTTATTTTTTTTCTAGAATATATGTAGGTTCATATCTGTGATATGTGTATATAGAGACTATTATCCTCGCGATGATTATGACAATACCTTTCAGCACAACGATGAGTATGCACGTAAATTACGTGGATTAAACCTGTATAAAGCACCACGTAGATTACGATTACACCTGTATAAAGCACCACGTGGATTACGATTACACGTGGATTACAATTACACTGTTTAAAGCACCACGTAGATTACGATTACACCTGTATAAAGCACCACGTGGATTACGATTACACCTGTATAAAGCACCACGTGGATTACGATTACACCTGTATAAAGCACCACGTGGATTACGATTACACCTGTATAAAGCACCACGTAGATTACGATTACACCTGTATAAAGCACCACGTGGATTACGATTACACCTGTTTAAAGCACCACGTAGATTACGATTACACCTGTATAAAGCACCACGTGGATTACGATTACACCTGTATAAAGCACCACGTGGATTACGATTACACCTGTATAAAGCACCACTTGAGATTTTACACCTGTATAAAGCACCACGTGGGTTACGATTACATTACGCACCACGTAGATTACGATTACACCTGTATAAAGCACTACGTAGATTACAATTACACTTGTTTAAAGCACCACGTGGATTACGATTACACCTGTATAAAAGGACCACGTAGATGATGATCACACTTGTTTAAAGCACCATGTAGATTACGATAAAGCACCATGTAGATTACGATTACGCCTGTATAAAGCACCGCGTGTATTACGATTACACCTGTATAAAAGGACCACGTAGATTACGATCACACCTGGATAAAGCACCACATAGACTATGGTTGTACATTATGCAAGATTTAGATTAGGACTGCATCTTCATTAGAACCGAGTAGGTTCTGATTGCTTTGTTATAAAGCACCACGCGATTTCAATTTTTATGAAGCACAAATAAATGCTGCAATACATGCATTACATTCAAGTCTTTGTTTTCAGATTTTGTAAAATATATCGACATAACGGTATGGAAGATTCTTATCTGGCGCCTTCTCAAAGGTTAGTCACCCGCCTTTGTCAAAAGTTAAAATTATATCCTAGTCCTCTCAGTTCATTCGGACAAATTCCCACCAATCACCGAGATAACTGGATATTTAATAAATATATAATGTTTGTCAGACATTATTGGAAATATATGCATGTCACATTGTGAATGTCCTGATAAAAATAAGTGACCCAAATAGAACGCATACGCACAAACGCACATTAAGAGAGGCAGTGCATTTCGTACTTCAATCGTCAGGCGGGGCAAAGTGACGATAGTGAGATGCGACATGTCCAACGTTCCCGACGTGTACAACATGGATCACTGTAACCGTGGTGTCGCTGTCGTCATCAACAACAGAGACTTCACCACCCTGGGGGTGGGATGTCGAGGAGGTACAGACCAGGATGGGAGGGAGGTGGCAGAACGCTGGGAGGAGCTGGGGTTTGATGTGAGGATGTATATCAATCAGACCAAGAAACAGATGCAGGAGGTGATGACTCAAGGTAAGTAAACTGTCCTCTCTCGTGTTCATCCCTGATTGTGTGTCAACGTATCTGTGGCATTGACTGTTTTTAACCTGAAAACTGTATTTCCCGGAAAATACTCAACTGATTAATTGCTGGCTTCATATAACTGTAATATTACTGATTGCACCTTGACATCAAAACAATAAAAACATTGATCACATGACTTCCTGTAAATGTCCCAAAATTATTTGGCCCCTCGTGTCAACATTCCTGATATAACATAAAATAATTCGACAGTATGGGACGTTACTACTGATGTCATTCACCAGTGTATAAAATAAGGCTCGTCCGAAACGGGCTAGATTTCTGACGGACTGACTATATTTACAGCTAGCCAGCCCGATGGTCTGGTAACAAAAATAGATAACATGTTCCATACATCTGAGTAAATGACTGTTTTCAATAGACTGTTAGACAGGAAATACATGTCACAGGTTCATTAAATTATTCATAGTAACTAAAAATGGAGTTATTTTGTTTGGATTTTTTGGTCTGGTTAAATCCATTTTGGGCTGGTAACATTTTGAAGTTACCAGCCCTAATGGTTGGCTGAGTTTTTGGCTTATTTCATACACTGCATTCACTGAGGTGTTTGATGCAGGTAACTTATAGATTGTCGCCATATAGCTGGACTATTGCTGAATTTCTTCTGAGTAAGTTAAATGTTATTAATACATGTGATGAGGTTGATTAACGGATGTCAGTCAATCTAACCGGTACTGCAGCATCTAAAGACGACCACAGTGACAGCGACTGCTTCGTGTGCGTGATTCTGTCTCACGGGGAGGAGGACAAGATCTACGGCACGGATGGTCCAGTGGAGGTCACCAGACTCTTGGACCCATTCAAAGGTCACCGTTGTCCAACGCTGACTGGTAAACCAAAACTATTCTTCATCCAGGTGAGTTGAAAACACTAACAACTTAGCATGCACACGTCCTTCCTTCCAAGCACAGACCAAGGCGATGTTAACCCTCTTGGACGTTACAAGAGTTAAACTGGTTTTAGCACTAAGATAGATCGGCGAAAGTGGTTACTCATCTTTATGTAACACGCTTGGAACGGGTGTCCCTGTGATCTGTAATGATCTAAGGCCCCGATATTCGCTGTGCAGAGTTGGGTTGTATAATTGTGCCAGGATCCTTTAAGGGTGAACTCTTATCCCAGACTGTCCTTGGTAAAAGCATGACCGAATATAGTTATCAAGCGACTGTGCGAAGCTATACAGGTTGGTTTGGCTTGAAAACTGTATCTTGCATAGACTATAAGTGTGACGTCACAATTTTAAAAGCATTTGAATTTGAAAACACAGATAAATAGAGGTCCTGGAACGTTAACTTCGGTGAAATAAAACATCCAAGACCAGCGTAACTTTGGGCTTTATTGACAAAACAAGAACACTGCCCCTGGTCACTTACTCAGACCGTACCCGTGAAAATCCTGGTTGGAATTGATCTTCAGTAACTCATGCTTGTCATAAGAGGCGACTAACGGGATCGGGTGGTCAGGCTCGCTGACTTGGTTGACACATGTCATCGTATACCATTTGCGTAGATTGATGTTCATGCTGTTGATCCCTGGTTGCCTGGTCCAGATCCGATTATTTACAGACCGCCGCCCTATAGGTGAAATATTGCTGAGTGCGGCGTAAAACTAACCTCACTCACCTACTCAGAGCCTTTTCATCTCACAATCAGTCTATTCAGGATGGATATATACGACTTTAAGAACTTTTCAGGCATGCAGAGGAAAGGCGACTGACTTTGGAGCCGACGTCACTGACGCCGTGAACATGGTTGGTGGGGACGAGGACGACGATGGAGATGACACGGAGGAGCCGGTGACGTACAGGATCCCAACAGAGGCAGACTTCCTCATCGCGTACTCCGTTGTTTCAGGTAGTTACTATACTCGTCATTTTATATCATTTATACTATCATGTATCATATATTAATAAGAGTGGTGGCCTAGAGGTAAAGCGCCAGTGATCGCCTCGTCGAAGTAAGGGTTCAGTTCTCCAAATGGGTAGAATGTGATAATCCCATAATCTCGAACACAAAGTTAAAACCCAATTAACCTGTCTACCTGAAGTGGTAGATAAAACACATCCAAGGGTTTTACATCAAATTGAAACAACCTTAACAGGGTATGTGTTTTATAAGGGGCGGTGGGGTAGCCAAGTGGTTATGAACCATTGCGAACAACGTTAATTAACACGTGTATGTAATGTTATTTTATGTTAAATAGACTTCAGGTGACCCGAAGGAAACGGGCGTAAAATATATATTGCTACCGTAAATGTACTTGAAAAAACTTCCGTCCCAAGTAAATCATAAATATTACATTTGGCGTTTGATTTGAAATCATTCCTGACATTAACTTAAGTAGATTGTCTCCCTAAAAATATATCTCTATCCAGAGACATTCCCACGTTACATCATCATCGAAACTTGTACAGATACAATTAAAAACACAGGGGATATCCATCTTGGGGTGACATCATTTACGAACCAAGTTGCATGATTGTATATGCGGTTACAACATGACTATTCCAGTCACAGTACTTCATTCATGAGAAAAGCATGAAATGATTTCATTCATTGTTCATGACGTCACAGGTTGATGACATGACGTTACCTGTACACTCGGCTGTCTTCTGTGAGATTTATCTGTGGAATGATATTGCCTATACTCTTCTTATTTTTCTCTCTGAAAATGTCGGTGAGAAATTCACAGAAAAACCTAGTCTCTAGTGAATGAATCATGTTAACCCCCTCACCAAAGGTAGTATTAACACGGTGTATTCGTTCGAGACAGATTCCTCCTAGTTCGTTGGCTGTTCTCTAAATATCCCTGTCTAAATCATGTTCCCGTGAAGATCTGGGTTTGAATTGGTCTTCAGCAACCCATGCTTGTCGTAAGAGGTGTCTAACGGTATCGGGTGGTCAGGCTCGCTGACTTGGTTGACTTCAGATTTGGTTGACACATGTCATCGTATCCCAATTGCGTAGATCGATGTGCATGTTACTGATCACTGGATTGTCTTGTCCAGACCGCCACCATATAATTGTCATATTGCGTGCTGCGTTAAACAACAAACAAACAAACATGTTCATGACATCTGTTGTTACAGGGTACTACTCGTGGCGTGACAACATACAGGGTTCGGTGTTCATACAGGCGCTGTGTGAAGTTCTGAAGGAACATGGCGCAAGACTTGACCTCATGACCTTGATGACAAGAGTCAACAAGATGGTGGCATACGGATTCGAAGTTCAAGAGATACGAGATGTTAAAAGACCGTATGTTTACAAGATGAAACAGATACCTAGTGTGGTGTCCATGCTGACCAAGGACGTATACTTCCGCCCTAAAGAGTAGCATTTATTGTATATGTATTGGGTATAAATGACTTCTACGCTTGATTTAGAAAGGCAAAGGGCAAAGGCACGCACACACGCACGCACGCACGCACGCACACACACACTTTTTTGGTTATTTTAAAGTACAGAAGCTTTCACCGGAAACACATCGGCTCCCACTCCGATCAATCCAGGGGACACAGGAGGCCAAACGGTCTGAAGACTTTCGAAATATGTAGTACCCATGCCCTTGTGAAATCATCTATCAAAGACGGGTTTCGTCCCTTGGATAAAATTAACTTTCTCTCTCACGTTTTGTTTCATGAATGCGTTACAGGACAAACGTGTCCTTTGATGTGTGTGTCTTTAAAGCGTCTTTAGAAAACACGATGTGTCTGAGAAGTAAATGAGAATTATGACGTGGTTTGATATTTCATACTAGTAACTTCAAATATTTAATGGAGACTGTGTTCCCGGTCAGGAGCCAAGACGATGTGATCATTTGTGTGTTGTTTATTGCTGCACTCAGCAATATTCCAGCAATATGGCGGCGGCCTGTAAATAACCCAGTGATGAAAAGCAAGAGCATTAATCTACGCAACTGGGATATGATGACGTGTGTCAACCAACCCGCCTCTTACGACAAGCATGGGTTGCTGAAAGATGTAACTGTGTTTCACTTTCTTTCTTCTGAATTTAAGAAAACATTTCAATACACTTCGACTTTAAGTACATGATTCATGCACAAGTTGTATGTTGCGTGTTTGTTGAGAGCATTAAACGCACAAAAGTGCTGTTTTTTACATGTGAAAAGCACGTAATGATTGCCAGGTTCTCATAAGAAACTTTTAAACCGGAAATCACGCATACGTTACAAGCAGCGGCTTGTTGAAAATCAACGTCAACGCGCCTTCTTTAAGCTGCAAACAGGAATGGCGCAAAACAATGTTGCCAGGCATTTGATCTTCATCAAAACAAAATATCATCTGTTTGGAGACTTTATATACAGTCGGACAACGGGTGACGTCACGGCAACAAAGCAATCACATTCGGGTGATAAATCTACCGAACCGACACCAAACTGCCACATTATAACAGCTGGGACATTCCTGGGATGAGACCAGTTAGAGGCACAACATTCGGAACTCGCGTCCAGCGCCACACTAACGTTTGCTTCCATGTTACCCTTATGGCCATGGGTGCCCTTGTACAGAGCATCTTAGCTCTAAGACTACCTTAAGTCTGTGTTAAGGTATGGGAGTTACAGTCACCTTAGCCCTGAGATCGCTTTGTACAACGGCACTCAGAACAGTAAACTTCACAGAGCAGGGATCTCCTGATAAGCTCTTGTGGTCGTGCTGGGGTTTAAACCGTTGTAGCGACGCTTACGATGCTCGACGTCGTCAGTATGGGATGAAATGGAATGCCAATTTGTCGCTACCGGGACGACGTCGTTCGAGATCATGTTGTACCCTTTGAGAAAATGCAGAGACGTAACGGCCACGGCTGTTTGTTTCTCCTTATCGGTCTCCCATAGATTATGAATATTAGGGATATATGTGATGAGAATGGTTTACTATCAATAGAATCTTTAAAAGAAAATTATCATATCAAAGGCACTTTTTTAGATTTCAGATATTTACTGAACATATTACCTGAATCTTGGAAATATACTTTAAAGCACTGTCTCTCTATTCCAGTCAGTAATTTGAATGTTAACCAATGCCAGATACATTTAGTAAAAGCATCCAAAGGCTGCAGAACTTTTTACGATAAACTTATTTGTAATGATAAATATCCAAACATTTGTAATAAATGGCAGCTTTTATTTCCTGAATCTGACTTTGATTGGAAAAATATATTTACAGTATATAGAAAGGGATTGCAAGACACAAAGCTTATAGACTTTCAATATAGATTTCTACAAGGTATTATTTACACAAAAAAGGAATTGGTCAAAATGAAAAAAATTGACAACAGTTTGTGTTGTTTTTGCAAAGATGTAAATGAGAGTGTGTGTCATGTGTACTGGGAATGTCAGGAGACTCAAACATTTTGGATAAACCTACAAATTTGGCTTAACAATTATAATCCACATCCATTGAAATTATCAAAAAACATGATTTGGTTTGGTACTCAACATGAAAATAGATTACTAAATCACATCATCATTGCTGCAAAGAGACATATTCACTTATGCTGTATTAAAAATATGCTTCCAAATCTAACTTTCTATATAAAAACTCTAAAAGAAATATTCTTTGTGGAAAAACATATATCAGCCAAAATGATAAAATAAATAATTTCCATCATAAATGGAGCCTTCTCTCCCGAGTACTTAGATGACTTGAACTGTATTGACTTGTACCTGACATTATCTGTACATTATCTATTTAATGAATTATGCATGTTTATAAATATATTAATACAAATATATCTCACCTGTACATCATGTAGCCATATTACTTTAAGCCGTACGGCTTGGTATATCTGCAATATTGTAATCTTGGGAACCAATTAAAAAAAACAACTAAAAAAAACTAAAAAATCTATGTTAAGGTATAGGAGTTACGGTCACCTTAGCCCTGAGATCGCTTTGTACAACGGCACTCAGAACAGTACACTTCACAGAGAAGGGATCTCCTGATAAGCTCTTGTGGTCGTGCTGGGGTTTAAACCGTTGTAGCGACGCTTACGATGTTCGACGTCGTCAGTATGGGATGGAAGTGTAATAGTATGGTATGACATCGCTACACTTGATAAAACACAGTTCATCAATAGAATGCCAATTTGTCGCTACCGGGACGACGTCGTTCGAGATCATATTGTACCCTTTGAGAAAATGCAGGGACGTAACGGCCACGGCTATTTGTTTCTCCTTATCGGTCTCCCATAGAAAATGGGATGCGTAGACACCTACGACAGGACCAGAACCTTCCGACAACGCACGTTAAGTTGGGTTATCTTGGGCTAGCCTCAGGATCATGGGATTGGATTGTTGTTTAACGCCGCACTCAGCACTATTGCAGCTATATGGCGGCGGTCTGTAAAATATCGAGTCTGGATCAGACAATCCAGTGATCAGCATCATGAGCATCTATGTACGCAATTGGGATACCAGGACATGTGTCAACCAAGTCAGCGAGCCTGACCACCCGATTCCGTTAGTCGCCTCTTACGACAAGTATGAGTTACTGAAGACCAGACCGCCTCCGTGGTGTAGTGGTTAGAGCGTCCGCCCGGAGAGCGGAAGGTCGCGGGTTCGATCCCCGACCGCGTCATACCAAAAGACGTTAAAATATGGTACTTGTTGGTCCCTGCCTGGCGCTCGGCATTACTGGGTACAACAATGACTGGTCGGCTCGGACTCAGTATAATGTGTCTGAGTGGGGTATTCATGCTTCACTGTGTCATGGTATCTCAGTGGGCTAGCACTATAAAACCAGCTTCAGTCTGGGCTAGTACAAGCAGCCGCACCTACACATACACACGCATGCACGTCATCATATGAGCGAAATATTCTCAAGCACGACGTTAAACCCAACTTCACCTCACCTCACTGAAGACCAATTCTAACCCGGATCTTCACGGGAAGCCACAGGACCAATATCCCTGAGACTGTCTCAATCAACACTGACATGTTTAAGTGACTTGTTACACCTCCTCACTCTGAGGGCGTTTCACCCTGTAAGGGTTTTGTCAATGGATATCTGTGATATCTACGATAAAATAATGATCACAAAAGACCAAACATTCTGTTATTATTTTCTTATATGAAGGACAGCTACGTTTTCCGTCAGTATACAATGTGGGAAAATGAGACATTGTATCTGAGTAATCTCAATATCTATTTGGATGATAATTTGATTGCATTTACAAACTACAAAGGGGTATTTGAGCGGCCGACAATGCGTTCATCATACATGTATATTTGATCTGTATCTGTACAAACTATACTTATAAGCTCGTGCAGTTTCCAGACCATATGCCCCCATGTTGAACGTCTAAACTGAGGATCGGGTGGTCTCAATGTGTACACCTGTTGCCTGTCGTCGTATTCGGACAGAAACAATGTCCTGTCCTGGATATTCATATGCTGCATTGATGAAGGTGGAATATTAGTGTCTGTGGAATAAAAAGGACCCTTTTTCCTGTATCCTTACTTACACGATATGTTTAAACCAATACCATATATCAATATAATATTTGTGAAAATACCATATAGCAACATGCAGCTAGTTTAATACTAAGTACTTCCTGTAATAAATGTTACATTCACTCTATTGTGTTATTACCCGTTAAGATCTGGGATAGAATTGTAACCCATAATTGTCGTAAGAGGCGACTAACAAGATCGAGTGGTCAAGATCGCTGGCTTGGTTGACCCATGTCATCGTACCCCAATTGCGTAGATTGATGCTCATGCTGTTGATCACTGGATTGTCTGGTCCAGACTCAATTATTTACAGACCGCCGCTATATAGCTGAAATATTGAGGCGTAAAACTAAACTCACTCACTAATAATAATTACTTCCTGTAACAAATGTTACATTCACTCTATTGCGTTGTTGTCTCTTCTCGGTGTTTTCTTAACTGTATGACGTCAGTCTGGAGGAGACGGTCCAGTGATTGATGTCATGAACATAGATCAACGGAAACTGCATACGATGACCATCAACCAATCAGCCAACCTGACCACCACATGCCTTTCTTCATGCTTAACATATATTATATATGGCAAGAGGCCCAGATAAGCTGCGTATCCGGGTAAAATACGCATAGAAAATTTCAATTACGCCGCATTGAAAAAATAATTGCTGCGTACTAATTACGCATTTAAAATGTTAGATACGCAAAAAGTTTAAAACAAATGCGTACGGAATATATTTATAAAAATCGCTTCGTAATGAAAAAGACATCGATTGCTATCAAGTTGTACTGTTAGTATAGGACAAGTGTTGTACTGTCAGTATGGGATGAGTGATTTTTATGAAATCATTTCCATTATATTTAAATTGGTTTTGATTAGGTATGACCTAAGGCAGAACATACCTGCTTAGTAAACTTACTCAATGACATATACTTAGTTGAGTAAAATGACTGAAATACGCACATATTTGAAAACAGTGGGTAACGGAAAATGAAATACCCACTCAACATTCATAATACCCACTCCAAAAAATACAGTGGGTACAGTACCCACATGAGCTAAATCTTATCTGGAGCTCTGTATGGGTCTCATAGCAAAGAGACACACCTGGAGAAACTGTAGAATCTTATAGATCATGGTACATTCAAACTAACCTGAAGCATTCTGATAACCTAACAAAATATTTGTTTATGTTCAATATAAATAAGATTTTCATCTTGAAAGTCATTTTGCAAGTGCCCACCGTTATAGACATCTCACGTTACGCATTGTCAAAGTAAATAGCCTTATATTAATAACTCTTTTCTTGTGGGTGGGTGTTATGAGTTATCGTTGTGTCATGGTTTTCGGACGCCTAAAAACATCTGTTGTTTCTATTATCGCGTGAACAATTGTAGAACTGTGGCTAACTTATAAAAGATACCCTATCCTAAACACAAGCCATCATTCAAGAGTTGAGAATGTCTGTGGGGATCAACAGCCCTCTTTACAGCCAGAGCAAGGACTGTCGACAGAAGACCTATGATCGGACGAAAAATGACTTGTATTGATATCATATCATAGCGTGAAGGCTGACCGTGGGAGGAACACCCAAGGTTATTCAGGTCTTAGGTCCACTTTGGTGAACCTACCACTGACAAACCACGAGTTATGCGTCTCGTGAAGACTAAAAAGTTAGAACTGTTCTTCAGCAACGCAGAGAAATAAGCCCAGTGATTCTAAAGAACTTGATTTATAACTGCGGCCATAAGATTATTAAACAGCGAATTGACTCTCCTGGCTGTTGGGGTCGTCTAACATGGAGATTCTCAATGAGTGCCATTGATTGATGAAACTGACTGACTGAGTTTTGGTTTTACGCCGCTTTTAGCAATATTCCAGCAACATCACGGCAGGGGACACCAGAAATGGGCTTCACACATTGTACCCATGTGGGGATTCGAACCCGGTTCTTCGGCGTGACGAGCCAACGCTTTAACCACTAGGCTACCCCACGACCCCGATTAATGAAACAGGTAACAAGACAAAACAACAACAACTAAACAAAAACAACTCAGTTATGTATGTTTCGGCGTGAAAGGGATACGGGCGGTGGAGTAGCCTAGTGGTTAAAGCTTTCCCTCGTCACCCCGAAACCCGAGTTCCATTCTTCACATGGGTACAATGTGTGAAGCCAATTTCTGGTGTCTCCCGCCGTTTTACTGATGGAATATTGCTCAAATCGGCGTAAAATTACACTCCTTTACTCCCTTAAATGGCAGGGGCGGATACAGCTTTTTGAGAAAGGGGGCTTGTACACTATTGAGAAAAGGGGGGTGCACACTTCATTTCCACCCGAGTTTCAATGGTCATATAACAAACTTTCTGAACAAAAGGAGGGGTGCGCCCCCCTGCACCTCCCCTCTGAATGGGATGAGAAAGAACATGTCGTTTTGGATTCTGTGTATGAGTTTGGTATGCTTGTTAAAATATCGCACATCCGGGTTAGATTTGGTCTTCAGCAACCCATGCTTGTCGTAAGAGACAACTAACAGGATTGGGTTGTCAGGCTCGCTGACTTGATTGCCCAATACATGTCATCGTAGCCCAAATGCGTAGATTGATGCTCATACTGTTGGTCACTGGATTATCTGGCCCAAACTCAATATTTTACAGACCCAAGCCATTTTGTTGGAATATTGTAGTGGTTGGATTTAGCGCTATATACATTTTTTAGCATTATTATTATCATTATTATAACGCTATTGGTAAGTACATTAAGTTACCATAAAATAGGTTAAAACAGGTTAGTAATCCATTATGCATGAACACATAAATGGCTGCAAGTGTAAGATTAGAAATATTATCCTGTCAATATATACACAATTAATATAGTTATTACTTTTTTAATTATTTATTAAAACTACTGAAGCACGTATTCTCAGCAAAAGTCATTACATATTGTATATCCGCAGCTGTCTTCTGTTTAGATGTTCAAACTTTGATAACATCAGCTTACATGTGACATGATATTTAGGAAAGATGAAGATGCAGGTGGATTTATAATCACTCACATTCCAGATAATCCTGAACTGCTCTTTCATTAATCCTGTTTTTTTAGAAATAATAACGAACAAGCGCTCAAAACTATACAAAACGTATTTGATCTTTACTTTAAATTTGTATAATTATAGCTTAGTGGTTAAAGTGTTTGCTCAGCATAACGAAGACTTTGGTTGGATTTCCCACCTGAGTACAATGCGTTAAGGCAATTTCTGGTGTCCTCTGACTTTAATATACTAATCCTACACACTCACTACTATGTAAGATGGAGATCTACCAGAACCAATTCTCATGCGTGAGTTGCTGTCTAATATTTTTCTTTATCACATTTGTAAACATTTTCTTTCTTCTACCTTCCACTTTAACTTCAACCAATAAACAACCTTTCCCAATCGATATTGACATGTTCAATTGTCCCTTGAAAACATGACATGGGAAAGACTCAAGCGTCTCACAGACAGATGCACGAGCAGTCCGTGCAATGTGACGTCATAGCTTCCACTGTCTGGTTCAGTTGAGCGACGCGCTGTGTTGAGGGAAGTCGGGTGATCAGTCACTGCTCGTGCACGTTAGCATGGCTTCTACACGTGCATGCATTTTAGTGTTTCTGTGTTTTTTATCATCGGTAAATACCTTCTGGTTCTCATCTGGTAAGTATTTTTTGTAATCTAATTTATTATATAATACTGTTGCAAAGCTTACCTTTGATTGATGTTGTATTTCTCTATGATACCATTTCATGGCGCTTTTCACTGTCGGTGATTATGTGACACTTATCAATGAAGTATCATCACTTGAGTGTTGTTATCTTATCAAAGATCCCCCTTAAGGGGTGGTTAAAATTCAAGTCTTTACACATTACGATATCAGTAATAAAACTTATGTTCATTGGCGTGAGATATTTGGGAGGAGTAGGATGGGGCGGGGTGTGGTCCAGATCTGACCTGGTCGTCCGGTATCCGTTTTGTCTGATTACTTACAGACAAATCATGTGGTTTGCCCGTGCTGTTAGAGCTGTTATTCCGAGACAGTGTTTAATTTCTTGTGGTAATGAAAAGGAATCAAGAATGATTGTTTTCGAGTATCGAAGCTGCAGTCAAAAGAATCCTACCTTCATTTTTTTTTCACGAATTCTACTTTATACAAAATTATTATTAATGTTTTGGTTGTTTGAACCGAACAGATTGAATCAAAATATGCGCTACCTGCGTGTTCGGTGCTTTGATGTGGTTCAGTGTGTAACACTCGTGTCTGATTACCCGTGGGCCGAGAATCCTTACAAGACTTCGATATTATGACGAGTGATCTTAACCATTCGCGGAGTTCAGTCACTTGGCAATCCAGAAACCTGTGATCGTGGGTTCTTCGCCCCAATCAAGGGAAAGATTTCCGCCGGTAACCCCCGTCTTTTTTTTATCATTCTATGCCAAAGAATCGATTTTTTTTTACAGAAAGCCTACCCTAGCCCTAACATAATCCTAAATCTAAACCCTAAACCCTAGAAATCATCATAATGAATAGAATACATTTCAAGCGGGGGTTAGGGGCGGAACTCTTATCCGATGCTGTGGGGTTTCGCCGCGGTGGTAAACGCGTGGGGCCTGTTTCACCTTGGGCTTTCCTTCCATAGTAAGCCGACACGCCCTGATACAAGTGAGTGAGTTTAGTTTTACGCCGCTTTAGCAATATTCCAGCAATATCACGGCAGGGACAAACATACATGGGATTCACACATTGTACCCATGTGGGGAATGGAACCCGGGTCTTGGGCGTGACAAGCGAACGCTTTAACCACTGGGCTAGCCCACCGCCTCTGATACAAGTACTTTTTAAAGGGGCGTTAAACAAATCCTCACTCTGTTTTGTTAGCCGGAAGACTAACGAAGACTGTCATCAGTTCATTGGCGGAAATCACAAACCTATTCCTCTCCATGCTTAGAGCCAGGGCGGTGGGGTAGCCTAGTGGTTAAAGCGTTCGCTCGTCATGCCGAAGACCCGGGTTCGATTGCCCACATGGGAACAATGGGAGCCCCCCCCTATTGTCCAGAGCTTTCATCGGATTCCAACAGAAAGGCGACGACGCTCAGATAATATTTGGCCTTTCATGAACAACGCTCAACTCAACAAATACCCCCGACTGTCTGTTATCAGGGGTTAGACGGTGATCAGATAGTTCCCCCAACCATCGCGTTTTTCACAATCATTGTAATGCACTGCACTGCACACTTTATTTTTCTCTGTTCTTGAACATCTTGTCACGTCATGACTTGTATATTTACTCTTTACCGGATATCTCGTTTTCGAGACTGTTGCGCAAGCATGTACAGACAACTGATATTTTGAAATATGAATACTTTGTGTATGTTGTTCGCTAGTATTTTTTTCCCTTGTTGGTAGGTTTGTCTCTTAACGCCGCACTCGGCAATATTCCAGCTATATGACAGCGGTCTGTAAATAAAGGAGTTTGGACCTAAAAATTCAGTGATCAACAGCATCAGCATCGATCTACACAATTGGGATACGATGACATGTGTCAACCAAGTCAGCGAGCCTGACCACCCGATCCCGTTGTTGCCCCTTAAGACAAGCATGGGTTACTGAAGACCATACAATTCTATCCCGACTCATTATGGGTATTCTCACGTAATTCTAATTAAAAACATTAGAATTTAAATTGTTTGAGTACAATGTATACTTCAGGTGTGATATTTATTTAATTGCATGGAAAGTCTACCGAGTTTTTGTCGTTGCCAAATATCTATTGCAAAGTAGGCCTTTCAGATTTCGTACCCCCTCAACACACACACGCAAGCCATTTTTTCGTTTATACACACAACTTGTTAAAGATTCGTAAATGAGTTACATGTACATAACTGTCGAGTCCGTGAGAGATCCGTGGGTAGGATGAAGCTTAGGTCTCAGTTGAGGCCGTACAGAGTTGCATCCCTTCGCCGCGTCAGGATCAGCTCAGCTTGTTGATTTCTAATGAATAAAAGCGTTTTCTATTTACTTCACCTCTATCTTTTATTGACGACATTATGGTACCAGCTCTCTTAGCCAAACTTAGATCCTTAAATAAATATAATCAACCCGCAAGCCAGAAGTATAAATTGGATCTAGTCTTTATGAAGAAAACTAAACCATTAGGAACAATATCACAGTGGCGTGACATTTTGCAGTATACCCGTGAAGGTCCGGGTTAGAATATTGACCTTTAGTAACCCATGCTTGTCGTAAGAGGCGACTAACGGGATCGGGTGGTCAGGCTCGCTGACTTGGTTGACACATGTCATCAGTCCCAATTGCACAGATCGATGCTCATGCTGTTGATCACTGGATTGTTTGGTCCAGACTCGATTATTTACAGACCGCCGCCATATAGCTGGAATATAGCCGAGTGCGGCGTAAAACTAAACTCACTCACACACTATTCTACGGTATCGGCGTTCAGACACGTTTGTATGGAAACAAAAGCAGAGTACTCGAATGTTAAGTATTGCTTAAGCATATAAGTTTTTATATTGATCTAATATGGGATGTTTATCAGTCGACTGTTACAGTATAAGGCAATAGTCACACAGTATCTGACAAACAGATGCTTGAATGCTAATAATTTGAGAGACACGCTATTAACTATAACTACAAATCTTTGGAAAGGGATTATCAAATGTCATTCTATTGAAACATGCTATTGCAATATTATGAGGATATACTTTTCCTTATTCTGACTCATGCTAATTATGCTTGTCTCCTTCCTCTTGCGAATGATAGTGGAACACTTGAAATCCCTTGAAGTTCCCTTTAAAAAGCGGACGTAAAAACACTCACCCAGAGTAGCGTCCCTTCCTCCCTTTGATGCCCTTTTGGTCACCTGACCGACCATGCCTTGTCACTCTCTCCTCCTTCGCCCTTAAGGACGGTTGTGAGAGCACCTGGGTCCATATACGGCACATATCCTTTTATATTTTCGGACCTCACATCAAAATTATTGCTGTATACGGTTTTTAGGATTATATTCTACATTAGGGTTTGAAATTTGTTCTAAAATTTCCGTTGTTTGACATGTGTTTTCTTCATGTTGACAATTGATGAAAACTTGTATTCGTTGTAGGTACCGAGTGTCTGCGGCTGACCCTCATTTATTATGTCCTAATTGCACTGTTTCATGTTTTTCAGCTCTCGCTGTAAGTATTGTGTAAAATTAAATTCGGTTGAATTTAATAATTACCTTTTTTCCATCCATAGAGGTGCTAAGGACTGGGTACGTAGGTATTCACAAGTCATGTCTAAATTGAGTGATTGTGCTGATAACCGTGTGTTAACCACTGCTGCAGATATTCATAATTCTAGTGAATCGCTGAACGTTTCTCAGGAGCGGGTCGATGTACCAGAGGTGAACGCCGGAGGCCATAAGAGATCATCGTCTACTGAGCTGACCTCATCGCAGATGAAGAAGGCCAAATCTTCATCTTCGCAGAAGAAGAAGGCTACTACTATGAAGACTTCAGCGAAGTCGAAGATCAGCTCAACACAGAAGAAGAGGTCTTTCTCAGTCGATATTGTTCGTCCGGAAGCAGCAGACGTTTATGATGATCCTCCCTTCCTCATACCTGAAGTCACCATCGTCAGCAAGAAGACGAAACCTGCTTCTACAGCTACATCGACATTGATATCAGCGCAGACATTGACAGAAGACCTATCAACTCAGACAGCGGGCACCAGAGATAGCAGCAGCATCAACTCTTCACGAGTGCAGTGAGCCTTAGATGATGTCTCTTCAGTATCAGATGCATCATCCCTGCAGCAGTCTCTTCAGACAACGCGGGACTGTTCATGCAACAGTTCACAGACCAGATGATGTCGATGATGGAACGAGGACACGACAATCTTCCCCATCTGAAGTAGACGCCCCAGAGAGTGCGGCTAAGAAGTCTCCACCCAGGAAGGAATCAAGGCGTTCTCCCGAACCCTACAGACGTCGCAGATATGAATCGTCATCTCCATCGGACTCTGACGCCCATGAAGAGCCTGCGCGAAGGCACTCCTACAGAGGGGAAGCTACGTCCGGGCCACCATCGCGAAGGTCTAGAGAATTATCTCAAACCTCCAGGAAAGATTCAAGATCACATCGGGATTGATCGCCTGCACGAAGCTCATCTTATAGAGACTCAAGTCGTCGTGCATCCTTAGAGCGAGAGATGTCTAAATCAGAGGAGGAAGGTTTAGGCGTCTTCTCCGATACGGAAATTAACTCCTGGATCGCCAATGGCTTGGACTTATCATCACCTTCTGAGGACACAGATGAGGCGTTTACCTACAAGATGTCCAAAGATGATTTCGACACGCTCACTTTTCCACCGACCAACCCGATCTCTCAAGTCTCAGACAACCTCAATGCAGCTTTTGATAAAGCCACCCAGTTGCAGAGTCAGCACATCCCGACATTCAACCCCAGGAAATTCCCTCTACATAAGATGGAACCCTTCCTGAAGGCTCCAGAGGTTGATGATGACTATAAGATTATCACCGATTCCCGTCAAAGAACTTACAAGATTGAGGATAAGAAGTTAGCACAGCTGGATACAACCACCAGACGTACGTTCTTCGGAATAACCAGATCGAGGGCTATCAACGAAGCACTCATCTCGAAATTCAAGAATTCCTCGGCCGAAGAAGACCGGATGATATACTCCGCTCTTCTTGTGCAGAAGAGAGACCATCAATTTATGTCGGAGCACTTAGCATCCACCTCAGCGGGCTTGACTCTCCTGAGAAGACAAGGGTTATTGTCAGCATGCTCTTGGAGTGAACGCTACTCTGGGTGAGTGATTTTACGTCCGATTTTTTAAAGGGAACTTCAAGGGATTTCAAGTGTTCCACTATCATTCGCAAGAGGAAGGAGACAAGCATAATTAGCATGAGTCAGGATAAGTATAAAATATCATTTTTAGTCAGAAAATTACATATTTTTATGTAATGAAAGGATACAATATCCCTATCAAAAGTGGACTGGACTAATATTTTCCTTTTAAAATATTTAATTCCTTGCCTGTCCGCCAAGAGTAGACAACCTAATGCATGTGTCCTGTTCACTGGTAGTATAGGTAAACTCAGCTAGCAACAACCTGTCTAACATTGAGATTCCTGCTCTGGGCATATCTTCCGGTGCAAATAGGGCAACGATACTAGTGGAGGCCGGCTGCAATGTACTCGTCTCCAGTACTTGAACAGTAGTAGTTTACCTCCATCCAGCACTTTCTGCAATACAAAAACTCTAAATGAAGAAAGTCTAGATTTAAATAGGTTTTTCTAAGCTCAATAGGGCTCTATTTTCAATGTGAAAGGAGTTATGTTTCCACCGAAATAACGTTTTCAGAGAATAAGCGACAGTCTAGCTGCAATGATAACATGTTGTTGGTATGTCATGGTGCCCTGGCTCATTGGTCAAGTTACCCCGGGTAGATTGTTAATCAACAAATTGTTTACAGGTCCAGACTAGATAACCGACAGGCTGTCTTGTAGTATTGCTGACTGGGCAGTGGCGTAAAACTATCTGCATTCCTTGGATATAAGTTAGCAATGAAAAGAAATTAGTTAAAAAGACAAATGTATTTCTCTTGTATTGGGTTGCGATTGCTTTGATACGGAGTTTGGGCGTGGTGGGTTATGTATTTACTAAAAATTGTCAAGAGAGTATTCACTTAAAGTGTTTTCAATATAAAAAAATGCAGTAGTAATTTGTGTGCAACTTGTATACTTTACAACCAGTCTAATTAAACTTAGGCTCAGTATTATTCGTTATACTCAGTATAGCAGTGTAACGAATAATACTGAGCCTAAGTTTACTTAGACTGGTTTACAACGTGACTGATTTCACATGTTATTTTTGTGAGATCCCGTTAACTGCTCCAAGTCTGAACGACGATGCGACGAGGACAATATCTGCCTGGCAGCCAAGCTCTGGTGTGACGGAATAGAGCACTGCAACAATGGAGAGGATGAGAGAGAGTGCCCTCAAAGAGGTGAGATACTTAAATGGTCCGGGGCGGTGGGGTAGCCTAGTTGTTAAAGCGTTGGCTCGTCACACCGAAGACCCGGGTTCGAATCCCCACATGGGTACATTGTGTGAAGCCCATTTCTGGTGTCCCCCGCCGTGATATTGCTGAAATATTGCTAAAAGCGGCGTAAAACCAAACTCACTCACTCACTCACCACTTAAATGGTCCAATCCTGTATTAGATAGAGCGGAGGGTGGGTTGTTCGATCTTGTCCTACATGGCACTCGGCATTACGTGGATAAAAGGCCTTGTTCAGTATCAACACATGTCAACATCGAATTAATACCAGATCAACGTTTGCAGATAAGCATGTTGAAAGCCAACGCCCCTGGTCACGTCGTATTTTGTCCTCTCCAAGTTCACTTGAACATGATTCATTGGGGTCAGTGGGGTAGCCTAGTGATTAAAGTGTCCGGTCGTGAAGACCCGGGTTCGATTCCCCACATCGGTACAATGTGTGAAGCCCATTTCTGGTGTCCCCCGCCGTGATATTGCTAGAATTTTGCTAAACGCGGCGTAATACCATACTCACCATCTGACATGTGTCCAAAATGTTAGCACGAATTTAATGACGTACAGGTTTCTTACATGGTGAAACTTTTGAAATATGCTAAACGTGTGAACTCCCCCTAACAAATGTGTATAAATGTAAAGTACATCAATAAATTCTCCAAAGACTTTCTTCCTGTTGACAGTATTCAGTGAGTAGATGTTCAGGTATACTATCAGTGTTGTGAACCTATTTATAACACCGTCTGTGTAGAGCTTGCGGAAACGAGTGATAGTGTTCTTCGTCATTGAAAATCTTGAACCAGGAATCTGAGAACATGCTCAAACTTGTTCGGTCAGCATGTGCTTCAGTGTATCTGTGTATCTGTCATTTGACAATGATGCGTGCAATATTTATAACTGACGTCAAAGGGGCATGGTCATTTCGAACACTCTACTGACGACCGGTGCTTGACACTGATTTCCTCGTCTACGGTAGAAGTACTGGCACACGATGTACGAGAGTCTGCCTCCATGACACGCTTGCTTGAAAGAATAACAATGAACCAAGCGTTTTAAAAACAATAGCTGGGGCGCTGGGGTAGCCTAGTGGAGGAAGCGTTCGCGCGTCACGCCCAACCCACCGCCGTGATATTGCTGGAATATTGCTGAAAGCGGCGTATAACTAAATTCACTCACTCCTGAATTTATTGATCTTTATTATAAGACTAAATGTGATATGTTTACTGTGAATGGTTTTTGTCAACTTCTTATACCACTGGGGGCGGTTTGGTAGCCTAGTGGTTAAAGGTTTCTCGGCGGTAGCCAGTACTTCCTGTTGCTAACGTTGACCATCGAATGTCCCAGGTACTGTAATGAAACCCAACTTGCAGTCATGCGAACCACAAAAAGGTCCAGCTGCATGGATAATCTCCTCAGAGCTACAGATAACTTTTTGGGCCATTGAGTTATGGACGCGCTTGTGTTAAGTCATTTCGGTATCCTAATTTTCCTGCTTTTACCCACCTCACTGGGCCAACTTCACAATAGCCAGTATTATAACTACTGTATAAGAAACGATACTGACCTATCAAAAATACATACCCATTGCCTCAATGACACCTTCAGGTACCCGGGAGTGTATGGACCAGAGTCGCTGGTTCCTGTGTAACAACAAGCGGTGTGTAAGCAGAGTATTCTGGTGTGACGGCAAGGATGATTGTATGGACCACTCTGACGAGGACCACTGCCCACATCACGGTGAGTTGTCCGGACTATCATGGCACTGAAAAATTCCCAGATGTTCATTAGCTGGTCTCGACCCTGTACACAGCCATCACGAACCACTATCACCATCTGCAGATGATTCTTTGTAATATGGTTGTGCCCCTTGTTCACGGAGTCACTGGTAAAGATGTTGACTCAAGTTGTTGGAAGTACTAAAATGAGGACTTTATTACCACTATTTGTGGGGTGACCTATGGCTATCTCAGCCCTTGGAGTGAGTGAGTGAGTTTAGTTTTACGCCGCACTCAGCAATATTCCAGCTATATGGCGGCGGTATGTAAATAATCGAGTCTGGTCCAGACAATCCAGTGATGAACAGCATGAGCATCGATCTGCGCAATTGACATGTGTCAACCAAGTCAGCGAGCCTGACCACCCGATCCCGTTAGTCGCCTCTTACGACAGGCATAGTAGCCTTTTATGACAAGAATGGGTTGCTGAAGACCTATTCTACCCCGGATCTTCACGGGTCCTCAGCCCTTGGACTGTTAGCAATGTCAGGCGGTGTACAAGATGGTTGACAATATAAGCAGCGAGTCGCGTCGGTTACTCACACAAAGGCTAGATACGTTTACTGCATATATATTTTCTTTATACTTAACCCACGAACTTAAATATTTAAAGACAAATCTTCCAACATTGTATTTTGGGCATATGTTTGCCAATGGTCAGAAGCATTTCATTGGACAATGCATGTTATACGTCCTAGACCCTCCCCAAGGGATAGACCCAGACCCTCGAAAAGAATTCGAACTGATTGATTTGGGTTTAGAATTGGTACCAATTATCCGTGCTTGTTGGGAACGACATGGATCTGTTGGTCAGGTTTGTTGACACGTGATCATAGTTCCCGATCATGTCGGAGTTTGCTTGCGAGTCATTACCTAGCCAGACTCTATTATACAAAGGTTGGCATGACACAACTGGATATAACCGCCGATCCGTGCAATGATTGGATGTTGTTTTTCATTCCAGACGCGACGCCCAAGAACTGCAGCTCGACCGAGTTCCGGTGTGACAACGGAAGTAGCTGTATTCCCCTAGACTGGCGTTGTGACGGATCTGCGGACTGCATGGACGAAACCGACGAGAGCAACTGTACGTTACCGATATACTACACCTATCATGCCGGCACCTTTGTTACGTTCAAATAGTCGGACCATGAGTTCCGCGTGAAATTTCAAAGAAGCACTCAGTACTCTTTCACGGGACCTAAGCTTCTGTGACTTGGTTGATTATCTGTGACATTACTCAATATGTCAGTCAGTCGTTTGTCTGGTCTGATGTATCGTAGATGCACTGTTTATACACTTCTCCACGAAACATGCATGACAACTGATTTGTTGAAAGACAAGTGTTCCATGTGTTCTTAGGTGTGTATCTTGGTAGTCTCGGTGGGGAAACACTTTTTCTCCCACACAACTTTTGTTCTGCCATTACCAAAACGGGGCTGGGGGGGTGTCATTTAACTGTTTTATACACCATAACACAATCCCAACTGACCGCCTCCGTGGTGTAGTGGTTAGAGCGTCCGCCCGGACAGCGGAAGGTCGCGGGTTCGATCCCCGACCGCGTCATACCAAAAGACGTTAAAATATGGTACTTGTTGGTCCCTGCCTGGCGCTCGGCATTAATGGGTACAACAAGGACTGGTCAGCTCGAAGTCAGTATAATGTGTCTGAGTGGGGTATTCATGCTTTACTGCGGCATGGTATCTCAGTGGGCTAGCACTATAAAACCAGCTTCAGTCTGGACTAGTACAAGCAGCCGCACATACACATACACACGCATGCACGTCGTCATATGAACGAAATATTCTCAAGCACGACGTAAAACCCAATTTCACCTCACCTCACCTCACAATCCCAACTATACACTATAAATACAATCACAAACAATGCTGAGAGTCTAGACCTTCCCCCCGGTATTCTCTTCCCAGGCTCCTGTCCACCAGACCTGTATCAGTGCCCCAACAGCACGCGGCTAGTTTGTCTGGCCCAGTCTCAGAGGTGTGACAAGAAGCCAGACTGTGACGACGGCGCGGACGAGACCGGTCCTGAGTGTGGTAAGTTGTACACATGTCCCTTCATACTTCATAACATCTATAGCAAATGTACCACGTTCAGCTGGACTTCCGGACAAGTTCACCTCATTATCTTGTAGCATCGGCCTTGACAAAGTACATGTGCCACCTTACTTTACAGCCCCTCTCGGGGCGGTGGGGTAGCCTAGTGATTAAAGCGTTGGCTCGTCACGCCGAAGACCCGGGTTTGGTTCCCCACATGGGTACAATGTGTGAAGCCCATTTCTGGTGTCCCCCGCCGTGATATTGCTGGAATATTGCTAAAGTGGCGTAAAACTAAACTCAGTCAGTAAGTCAGTAAAGCCCCTGTCCCGTTTGCATTTCAAGACAGAACATGTTCCCTATCTTGTAGTATTGACCTCCGGTTCGGTTCGAGGAAAGGATATATTGATCCCCTTAGCCAAAATTATTCCCTGGTTGTAATGTACCCTAACACGGTTAGTAAATGGATAGATCGCCACCAAGGGTCCTTTCTAATGCTATCAGCTGTAGGTTTGATTCTAACTCCACTGGAGGCAATGGGGTACCCTTGTTAAAGCGTCACGCCGAAGACCCGGGTTTGATTTCCTACATGGGCACAATGCCTGAAGTCCATTCATGGTGTCCCCCCGCCGTGATATTACTGGAATATTGCTTGCTTAAAATCATACTCACTCACTCATTCTGTTTTGGGTGGTGCGGCTGCCTAGTGTTTGCTTCCTACTCCGCATGCCCGGGTTCTATCCCCAACATTGGTTCTGTGTGTCCCGTGATCCAACTGAAAAACGAACTCATACACGCATCATCGTCTCACGTTGACGCTGGTCATATTCATACTTCTCGCTCACCCTATCAACATTATTTCTCAAACTAGTGGCCTAGTGGTTAGGGCATTCGCCCTTCACGCCTAAATCCATGGTTCGATTCCCCACATTAGAACAAGGTGTGAAGCACATGTTTCCCGTATTGTTGGAGTACTGTTGAATGCGCGTAAAACACTACTCACTCATTGTCTGCAAGAAGTAGGGGCGGTGGGGTAGCCTAGTGGTTAAAGCGCCCGCTCCTCACGCTGAAGACCAGGGTTCGATTCCCCACCTGGGTACAATGTGTGAAGCCTATATCTTGTGTCCCCCGCCGTGATATTGCTGGAATATTGCTAAAAGCGGCGTAAAATGATACTCACTCACTGCAAGAAGACGCAATACTAATTGTCCGGAGGGAGGAAGCCGCGGAAGACGAGGAAGACGGACTTTTTTGGGGTCATGGTGTTGTTTTTGTCAACTTCCTGCTGATGAAACCATAAATTCTCGAGCCATCATTTATAATCCAATCTGGACAAGGAAGTCGTTTATGTTGTGATTCTTTGTCCGTGTAAATCACGATTACGTCAATGGAGGGTTGGACTGAAGTCATTATCTAAACATCTAACGGATGCTTTTACTTGATGATATTTATCTTGATCATCCCTCTGGCTGAGCTCTTGTGAGAGCTAAACCAACTTGAAAGAGATGTGCAAACTGCACAAGGTATTTCAACATGTTGACGCGTTACCACTTGAGAAAAAGCACTGAAAGAACGGGGAACCTCGTAGTGTCATCATTAGACGCCAGTGGCTAAGGACGTTTTAGTCCAGTTCTAATGTTGGTTCATGCCAGTAGCGTGAGGTTGGATTCCTAGGGGGTAAAGGCGTTGGCTTGTCGCACCAATGACCGGGGTTCCACAATGGTACAGTGTCTGAAGCCCGTTCCTGCAGTTGTTGGAATACTGCTGATGAAGTACAGTGGAAACTTGTTCACACTCGTACACTGTCATTTATGAATCGGTACTATTTCGATCAATGGTTTCTTTTACATAAGGTTACCCGGGAAGATCCGGGTTAGAATTGGTCTTCAGCAACCTATGCTTGTCGTAAAAGGGGATCGAGTGGTCAAGCTCCCTGACTTGTTTGACACGTGACCTCGTATCCCAATTGCGTAGATCGATGCTCATGCTGTTGATCACTGGATTGTCTGGTCCAGACTCGATTATTTACAGATAGCCGCCATATAGCTGGAATATAGCTGAGTGCGGCCTTAAGCACCAAACCAACCAACCAACCAACCAACCAACCAACCAACTTTATATATAAGGCAATACTGATAACACGTGAATACAGTAGAAGTGTGTGTGAACGGGTTTTGTTTCACTCACTCACGCTGTGTTACAACTGCAGTGGGTTAGAGGAACCAGTGTCTGCCTGTACAGCAGATGGTCGGTGATTCGGTCCCGCATCAAACGGAGTCTGTATGTGTCTGAGAAAGTTATTCATGCGACCTTGTATCTCAGCTTGCCCCGACCTGCACAGGCAGCAGAACGATGCTGAAGAAGTGCAAAAATGGGAACGTGGCACTAAATCCCATTTTCACCCGCCCATGTCAGCTACATAGATCCTGGTTGGCTTTTGTGTTCTACAAGAGGCGACTGACGGGATCGGGTGGTCAGGCTCGCTGACTTGGTTGACACATGCCATCGGTTCCTAAATGCGTAGATTGATGTTCATGCTGTTGATCCCTGGTTGTCTGGTCCAGAGACTCCAAATTACTCCACATTAGGCGCGGGTTCGAATCCTATCTAGTACATTCGTCTTGGTTATGACTGTTTGGCTCGTCAGCAAAGTGTTTTCGATTGCTTTGAGATGGTCCCCTTCATGTCATTCACTCATCCGATGCCACCCCATATGCATCGCACCATATCCAAATAGCGTAGATCGATGTTCATACTGTTGATCACTGGAATGTCTGGTCCAGACTCGATTATTTACAGACCGCCGCCATATAGCTGGAATATTGCTGAGTGCGGCGTAAAACTAAACTCGCTCGCCCATATGCATCGTTTTGAAAACAGGTTAAGGCTTTTGTAATGCTTCTGTTCCCTTGACGTGTTATGTGAAGATTTGTATGTTTTTATGTCTTCTTCCAGCCATTCGATCTCAGTGCACAAAGACCCGGGGAATGTTTCTGTGCAAGGATGGCCTTGAGTGCATGGACGGTGGGAAGGAGTGTGATGGCAAGGTTGACTGTACTGATAAGTCCGATGAAAGGAACTGCAGTAAGTGACCAGAATATCCGTTATCTTTCAGTGTAACTAACTTGCTTGTTGGGGCGGTGGGGTAGCCTAATGGTTAAAGCTTTTCGCTCGTCACACCGAAGACCCGGGTTCGATTCCCCACATGGGTACAATGTGTGAAACCCAGTTCTGGTGTCTCCCACCGTGATATTGCTGGAATATTGCTAAAAGCGGCGTAAAACTATAGTTGCTCACAAGTGCGTCTGTTATGTCGTGTGATAAAGCAGAATTATCAGATATGCGTAGCAATTAAAAGACTTCAGTGAAACAGATCCCTCTTCAAGAGGCACGGGTGGCCCTGTGGTCTCAGGCACCACAGTCCACAAGAAAACTGTGATTTAGGGTTCGAATGCATGCAGCACCATACACGTGGGTTTCACCAGAGGTAAACATCTGGTACTTTGTCAAATCATCTTGTCCAGTCACGTGAAGAAGACACGCCGTGGTACATCTGGTGTACTACTAAATCCGAAATGAGTCCTCCTTTATTCCAGAGAATTCTGGCCCGAAAAGATCCGGGGTAGAATAGGTCTTCAGCAACCCATGCTTGCCACAAAAGGCGACTATGCTTGTCGTAAGAGGCGACTAACGGGATCGGGTGGTCAGGCTCCTGACTTGGTTGACACATGTCATCGGTTCCCAATTGCGCAGTACGATCACTGGATTGTCTGGTTCAGACTCGATTATGTACAAACCGCCTCCATATAGCTGGAATATTGCTGAGTGCGGCGTAAAACTAAACTCACTCACTCCAGAGAATTCTTGTCTAAAAATTGATACTGGCGGTCAATGTTCAGCATTATGTGAAAGTGAAATCGATTCTTGCGCATCTATTTTTAACTGTTAATTCTCTCTTAGAAACATTCACAACTTAAGAACGAGAATGTAATTGCCAAAATGAAATCACGCCATTAACTTTTCTGTTTTGACCCGTATCAAAGCCTCTTTTAAATCATTTATATTCATTAACAAAGATGAATATTTACCAATATAAATGAGGCGCGGTAGGGTAGCCTAGTGGTTAAACCATTCACTCGTCACGCCGAAGACCCGGGTTCGATTCCCCACATGGGTCAGGTTTTACCGTCGTGCTTGAGACTAGTTCGCTCATATGACGACGTGCATGCGTGTGTGTGCGTATGTATGTGCTGCTTGTACTAGCCCAGACTTAAGCTGGTTTTATAGTGCTAGCCCACTGAGATACCATGCCGCAGTGAAGCATGAATACCCCACTCAGACACATTATACTACTGACTCCGAGCACGACCAGTACTTGTTGTACCCATTAATGCCGAGCGCCAGGCAGGGACCAACAAGTACCATATTTTAACGTCTTTTGGTATGACGTGGTCTGGGATCGAATCCGCAACCTCCCCTCTAACCACTACACCACGGAGGCGGTCCCCACATGGGTTACAATGTGAAGCCCATTTATGGTGTCCCCCGCCGTGATATTGCTGGAATATTACTAAAAGCGGCGTAAAACCATACTCACTCACTCACCAATATAGATGAATGATAAAGAATCTAAATTTGATCAGTTTTTAAGTATGTAAGTGTTTCTCTCAAATATATACTCAACAAAAAACGTTCAATTTCCAGTATTTAAGCATTTAACAGTTCATATTATGATCCATATAATACTGAAATATTGAATATTGGGGTGGTCCTTACATTTTTTGTTGAGTATATTTTGAAAAAAGAAAAATACACAACATAAAATGTAACCTTTGCTCGCTTGTGAAACTGCCTTTGCAGCAATTTGTTCCCAACACGAGTGTGAACACGGGTGTACAAGAACAGGAAACAACGCCACCTGTACGTGCTTGAAGGGCTATCGTCTGCTCGCTGATGGAAAGAGATGTAGAGGTAGGTTTGAATTTGTTGACGTCACCCCATCCATGACGTTGGTTTGGTTTGGTTATAATGGTTTACGTTACCGACTTTCTCCAAAGGGTCAGGGTTGCACCATGATCTCAAACACACCATGTAAACTTGTCCTTAGGCCTTTTCATCATCCACTTTCGTAAGGAGGGATCCGTAGACGGCTAATTTAACGTTAATAGTACGGACGGCGGGAGAATTTTTAACGCCTGACCCTGATATATCTTAAACTCTTCGGGTGAAGTTGCTTCACTGGTAATTAATTATCCATTGACATGCATGTATTTTCATGCAGACTTTGACGAGTGCGCAAATGAGAAACCTGGACACAGACTTTGCAGCCAGAAGTGCAAGAACGATATCGGCAGTTACAGATGCCTCTGTATTGATGGCTACAGACTGAACAAGGACGGGAGTCGCTGTGATGCCAAAGGTAGGTATACCATTTAAATGTCCATCTTCAAAATAGTCCATAAGGAAAGTGATGTGATGCCAAAGGTAGGAACACCATTTAAATGTCCATCTTCAAAATAGTCCATAAGGAAAGTGATGTGATGCCAAAGGTAGGTATACCATTTAAATGTTCGTCTTCAAAATAGTCCATAAGAAAAGTGATGTGATGCCAAAGGTAGGTATACCATTTAAATGTCCATCTTCAGAATAGTCCATAAAGAAAGTGATGTGATGCCAAAGGTAGGTAAACCATTTAAATGTCCATCTTCAGAATAGTCCATAATGAAAGTGATGTGATGCCAAAGGTAGGTATACCATTTAAATGTCCGTCTTCAAAATAGTCTTCTCAACGGACGCGGCCAGTTGGTCCCAGTTTAAATCTAGTGAAATAGCACGTCATTGATGTTAATGTCACGTTCATGCTGTCGACCTCTAGGTTACCAGACCCATTTTAGTTTATTCATTGTACCCGGGAGAATTAGAATGTGTCTCAAGTAGCCATTGCTTGTAATAATCTACCATGCTCGTCGTAAGAGGCGACCAACAGGATTGCGTACTGTCTAGTCAGGCCAGATTACGAGACATGCACCTGTCATCTGTCTGAATTGCGCAGATCGGTGATTGTGATGTCATTGGATTGTGTGGTCCAGACACAACTATTTACAAACGCCGTCACAAAGATGGATCATTTGAACAACATCAACAGTTTATACACTGTACAACTGTACACTTGAACACTGCGCATTACAAATTGATTTACATTCACCCACCGTTCAGCAGAACGCGACATGCTTTTCAATTTGCTGTAAATTTCAATTTAACTGTAGTTTTTTCATTTGACGTGACACATTCTTTACCTCCACAGATCTCTACATTCTCCCACTTGTCATCTGCGTTGTTTTGTTGTCCATAAACAACTATCATCATGTCCAATTAACTTTTCTTACGCACAGGAGGGATGAATTGTAGGTGAAGTAGTCCTTTAGAATCAGTCAGTTTTATTGACGATTGTCATTGTTGAAGGTCCCATCTAATCTTTATGGTCCTAACTCATCGTCTTTATGTAACGCTGTTAGTTCCAAGCAATTATAAATTTGAGTTTTTAAGTCTCTTCAATTTATTGCACCTGGAATGTTTTTAAGGTGATGCGTTTGAAAACGCGACCGCCCAACAAGAATGAGTCGAGAACATCTTGCGTAAGGTGGTAGGGAGTAGCCGGTGGTCTAGTGGGTGAACCTTTCACTCATCACGTCTAATAATCAGATGCGATTTCCCACATGGGTCCAATATGTGTAGCCCGCCATGATATTGCTGAATATGACGAGTGATAAGTTCGTACCTAGAGTGTCGTTACTCATGAATATGACAATGTAGAGCCGTGTAGAGGCCACTGTTTGAGTGAGGAAGCCGCCTAGTAATGACTTTTATCACATCAAGGTCTGTCAGCTATATGTGGGAGGAAATCCCGAAGTTATGTTGTTCTCACATGTTTACACATGGACTATAGTCATATGATGGATCGTGTGACCTTGAACCTCATTTCAGTAGCACGGGCGGTGAGTAGATTAGTGGTAAAGCCTTCGCTCGTCACCCGAAGACCCGGGTTCGATTCCCCACATGGGTACAATGTGTGAAGCCCATTTCTAGTGTCCCCTGCCGTGATATTGCTGGAATATTGACTTTGTGGTGGCCCCTATAGACGTTATCATCTTTCTGTATTCGAGGTACATGAGTTTGAGACTTTGTTTCCAGATGTACAGTGGTTTAATCCTAACGCTCTGCCTGCCTGTACAGACTCACATTGACGCATTGTCAAACTCAGTATTACCTACAATATAAATGACGTCAAAACGATGTTGTCTGTGAGTTTGGCCTCTGTAAAAATGGCCGAAATTACTTTGGGGGCCCGAAAAGGTGTTCTAAATCTGAAACAGCCATTCCCAGAAACAGAAATCTGGTTGAGTTTACATATACACGGGGAAGTATCACGAAGTAGCACACATACAAATGCATAGATAATAGGAACAGTCTGCACAAAACTCGGCTATAACTATAAAATATAGAAAGTATATGCAGAGAGAATATATCGAACGTTGTAAATCTTTGTGGAAACTACTCAGAGTGAGTTTAGTTTTACGCCGCTTTTAGCAATATTCCAGCAATATCACGGCGGGGGACACCAGAAATGGGCTTCACACATTGTGTCCATGTGGGGAATCGAACCCGGGTCTTCGGCGTGACGAGCGAATGCCTTAACCACTAGGCTACCCCACCGCCCCGGAAACTAATCAGAGGAGCTGTCAGTTTCCTCCAATCAGGGATTCAGACAACCACTCGGCCATGTTACAAAATTCACATTAATACAAAACTCATATGATTTTAATGATTTTCAGTTTAATGTTGAACCTGAAAACATAACAGAAGGGGAAATCTAGGATTTAGGATGACACAGCCTAAACCTGATATTAGTTAGATCAGTGGTTACAAACACTGTTGAAGCTCATAGCTAGTTTCCATCATATCAGACCATACCACCAAACAGCTACAATCTGGGTGTCAAACGTATTGCTGACGGACTAATCAATTTGCAATGGCGTTGATCACGAACTTACATATCGACACGAAAGATGTAGAAGTAACATCCACGCATGCTAGTGTACTTTACTTCACAAAGACGGATCCTATAAATATCAGGAGGCACACAAGACATGACTGATTCTGTTTTCAGGAAGAGAAGCCACTATGATTTTGGCCAGCGGGAACCAGATTCGGACGTACACTCTGAAGATGGGCCAATACAACAGTCTGCAGAATGGCCTTCAGCATGTCATTGACATAGGTAACCTGGAGGATGTATCATATAGATATTGTCAATAGCAAATGTTTGGTAACCGTCAGCCCTTCGCCTGTCAAAAAGTAAAGGAAGAGTTTTTTAAAAGATTAAAATTTTCAAGGGTTTGAGAGAATTTTAATGTTCGTCGTTGCCTTTGTGAAGGTCCCACGATCCACAGGCAAATTGTAGCGCACATAGGGTTGCGCAACCAAGAGAAAATGACCCGCTTCGCTCGCATATGGAAAGACTGGTCATTTTCTCTTGGTTGCGCAACCCTAAGTACGCTACAATTTGCCTGTGCACGATCATAATACATGTATAGATGTTCAAGCAATGGCTCTTTATGTGAGTGAACTGTATGGAGTATATTGGTTGCAGATCCAGGGAAATGTTCTAAGGCCATTAACTCATCCTGTGTTTTCCTCCGAGCAATCTTTGAGACCCAATGTAAATAACGTGTATAAATAAGCTGATTTACTGGGGCTTGTTGTTCACACCACTTGCACTGAAGTGGATGGAATGGTCAGACTCACAATTGGACGTTTGTGGGTCACCGTGACCTAAGCTTAACCTTAGCTACATGCATGCAGAACCTCCGGTCAGTTATTGTCTCCACGAACTGAAGGCCACTTTGATATAAACCTGAAATCTTGTCCACTTTGCTTTGTCCCTCAGCTGTTGACAGTCACAACCAGAGGATCTTTTGGACTGATGCCCACAGTCGCCAGGTTTTCTCCATTGACATATTGGGCAACAACCATCGGTCACTCATAGTTCACGGTCAGTAGGTAACACGCGTCCCTGAAGTACCATTTATGTGCGCAGTATGTGGAACCTATTCTGACATCAGAGGACAGTGGGTGCTCTAGTGGTTGAAGCGTTCTCTCGTCACGCTGAAGAACGGTTCCATATCCTACATAGGAGGGCGGTGGGGTAGCCTAGTGGTTAAAGCGTTGGCTCGTCACGCCGAAGACCCGGGTTCGAATCCCCATATGGGTACAATGTGTGAAGCCCATTTCTGGTGTCCCCCGCCGTGATGTTGCTGGAATATTGCTAAAAGCGGCGTAAAACCAAACTCAGTCAGTCAGTCCTACATAGGAACAATGCCTGAAGCCCATTCTGGTGTCCACACTGTAATATTGCTGTATTATCAATACAAGCGGCGCAAAACCGTAGTAACGCTGCGTCATCTGCCTTGAAATTGCTTGCATGTTGTCCATTTAAAGAGTGTCGCGATGGAGCTAGAGTGTTCACTGCGGTTGAAGCAACATTCACACTATGGGACTAACTTTAGTCAGTTTGGCTCAAAAGCGGACCGATGAATTGCAATCTAACTCGAAAACTAATAAACATATAATACTCGATGAAACGCTGATCATAATAAAAACACCAGACCAACTCTGAGTTTTTTGCAGAATTTATGTCCTGACAATAATAAAGTTGTTTCACAAACTATCATTAAAATTTTGACACAGTTCACTATTTGTTACGAGGGAGGAGTGCAAAGAGAGGAACAGCCAGGTGTACGCGGAGCACGTGCACAAGTGCCGACAAAGCTATGGATTCATTTTCCTGAGCTGTCCTGTATCCATCCTTTCTCACACCTGGCTGTTCCTTTCTCTGCACTCCTCCCTCGTACCAAATAGTGAATTATGTAAATATTTTAATTATAGTTTGTTAAACAACTTTTTTATTTTTAGGATATAAATTCTCCAAAAAAGTCACAGAGTTGGGCTGATGTTTTTATGATGATCAGCGTTTCATTGAGTAGTATATGTTTATCAGTTATCGAGTTAGATCGCAATTCATCGGTCCGCTTTTGAGCCCAACGGACTATAGCATTGTAGCGGTTGACCACTTTTGTCACTCTCACGTTGGCACATTAAGATCCGGGTTAGAATTGGTCTTCAGCAACCCAGGCTTGTTGTAAGAGGCGACCGAGGGATGTTTGATGCATGTTATCGTATCCCAATTGATGGATGCTCATGGTGTAAATTACTGGGTTTTCTGGTTCAAACTCATCCTCACTCACCCTCACGTCAGATGACGTCTTGTTCACAGGGCTGAGGGGCGGTGGTTGTAGCCTAGTGGTTAAAGCGTCCGCTCGTCACGCCGAAGACCTGGGTTCGAATCCCCACATGGGCACAATATGTGAAGCCCTTTTCTGGTGTCCCCCCGCCTTGATATTGCTGGAATATTGCTAAAAGCGGCGTAAAACCATACTCACCCACTCACTCACTCACCAGGGCTGATGTCCCCGAAAGGCGTGACGTATGACTGGCTGAACAACCTACTGTATATCGTGGACGACGGGAGGAAGTCCATCTTGGCGTGTCGGGCCGATGGAAAGTTCTGCACCTCTGTCCTTGACGGGCTAAAGGCTCCCAGTGATATTGTTGTGGATCCCATATCGAGGTGAGTACATTGACGGATACATCATAGTACAGGGGGGAATGGTATAAAGGAAATGACTGGACCCCTTGCAGTCGCCCACCAAGATGATTGGATATTCATATTTTAAATTGATCATCTTGGTGGGCGAGTACTCAAAAAGCGGCATACGTCCGAAATTAGTAAACACATACACACGCACGTTGTAAATCTTGAACATGGTGTTAAATGTCATTCAGCTCATCTTACATGATGTTCCTGAACGCAGTCTTAGACACATGCACTTTCTCGAATGGCAGGGGGGCGGTGGGGTAGCCTAGTGGTTAAAGCTTTGGCACGTCACGCCGAAGACCCGGGTTCGAATCCCCACATGGGTACAATGTGTGAAGCCCATTTCTGGTGTCCCACGCCGTGATATTGCTGGAATATTGCTAAAAGCGGCGTAAAACCAAACTGTCAGTCGAATGGCAGGTATGGATGAAAGGTGTGGCCGAGTCATTCACCATGTGACTTCACACGAGTTTTGGATCTTTTTCTTCGTCCGCGTGGGGTGACATGGTAGAATATGCCCTTCTTCAAAGTAGTTTTTTTTTGAAGCGGTAACAATCTAATTTTGTGATTGAGCGTTGTCATCGTCTACGGACGCGAATCGTTGCTCATTCTCTTGACCTCTGGTTTGATTATCAACATACTTGCTGTGATATAACTGAACATATACTGGACAAAAATAGTTACGGATATATGCAAATGTTGAAATTATACATAATGATCTATTTATTAATTGACACACTGATAAAATATGAATCATAAAAATACCAATATCCCTAACTTATTTTGTCCAGTATATATTCACTGTTACACGCCTCTATGTTGATGACTGTACAGTTACCTCTACTGGACGGACATGTCAAGCCGCCCGACAATCATGCGCAGTGACGCCGATGGCAGTAACGTCATCACTTTAGTGAGTGAGCGCGTGGGGCAGCCACGTGACTTAGTGATGGACTACACCATAAACTGCATGTACTGGATTGATGCACAGCCGCACAACAGTCGAGTGGAGAGACTATGCCCTGGGAACGACTCTGTGAAAGAGGTCAGTAAATTTCGTTTATGAAAGCGTCAAAATATACCTTCTTTAGTTCTGTGAATGTGTTAGCTCGCTTTAGTTCACATTTCATTTTCCTGTGTAAAATTGCCCGGAAACATTCTAAATTGGAACTCTGCGCATGCGTGTTCGCCCTGTTAACGAGTCAAGGCAGGAATGACATTCAGAGGGGCTTTAACTTCATGCACTCAGGAACAGGGGCATGACTCGCACTTCTTACGTACCCTCCCCAGAACAGAAAGCATACTGTCAATGGAACAGTAAATGACGTTTATTAAAAGACCGGTTTTGCTCTTGTTTTAAACATACGGGGAAAAGGGTCTGGCGCCTTCGCACCTTTGAGAATAACCTGGCCGAGACACATTTATTTCTTTGTTTTATTGTACGGCTTATCACAATGGAAACATCCAAAAGTCCTCCGCAGGAAATGGTGTTGGGGGTTTTAGGGGTGTGTTCGAGTGGCCGTCTTCTGTGGTGGCCCAGCCAGGACGCTGCCAGGTCAAGAGTTGTGCCCCTTGGAGGCGACAGATCCTTCTAATTGTGGGTTCTGGTCCCGATGTGTCCTCATTATGTCTCTGCTAGTAGGTTTGTCAGCTCCATACATGTGCTCATCCGTCTCGCCAACGGGGTGTGCTTCTGACACCTGCATTACTTCAGGATTTCCATCCACATTAAACTGCCACGTGTTATATAACTGGAACGCTTGACAAAGTATGACCAACTAACTCCCTCACCTCATTCGACACTATGCAGGATATAACATATACTAACCTGTCTGCTCCCTGATCCATTCTACCCGTGAAGATCCGGGTTAGAATTGGTCTTCAGTAACCCATGCTTCTTCTAAGAGGCGACTAACGGGATCAGGTAGTCAGGCTCGCTAACTTGGTTGACACATGTCATCGTATCCCAGTTGCGTAGATAGATGCTCATGCTGTTGATCAATGGATTGTCTGGTCCAGACTCGATTATTTACAGACAACCGCAATATAGCAGGAATATTGTTGAGTGCGGTGTTAAATAACCAACCAACATGACTCATTCAACAGACTGAAATCCACCGTCCATCCACGCAGCTTTGATAACCTTGAAACAGTGACTCGTGTTCTCTGTTTCAGATTGTACTGGCCCACGATATCCGTGATCCCAACTCTTTGTCCATCCTAGAAGATGACATCTACTGGTCCAACGAGGGACGGGTGGTCCGGGACGACAAGTTCAACGGCAGGAAGCGAGAACTGGTGCTCAGAGACATGCCAAGGGTCACCAACCTCGACATCATGCATCCTTCACTACAGCCACGACCACGAGGTGAGAGACGTTGACTCAAGTCTAGATCCCAGGGGACAGTGTTTGTAGTGTCCAACCGAACTGGGATACCGGCAGGACACGGTGGTTGCGAAAATATTGTGGTTGTATTCCGTTTGGTTCATGATGACGACAGCCATATAGCTGGAAAATAGCTGAGTGCGGCGTAAAACTCAACTCATTCATTCATGATGACGACGACAGTAAGTGTTTGGCACTTTTTGGGAAAGTGCCTTTAGCCTTGAAGACTCGTGACTTCCGGGTTACAGTTTGTTTACAGCAACCCATGCTTGTCGTAAGAGGTGACTAACAGGATCTGGTGGTCAGGCTCGCTGACTTGTTTGATGCATGTCATCATATCCCAGTTGCGTACATCGATGCTCATGCTATTGACCACTGGATTGTCTGGTCCAGGTTCGATTATTCACCGCCGCCACATAGCTGGAATATTGCCGAGTGCGGGGTTAAAAACCATCCAGCCAACCAATTTTAGCCTTAAACATGAGAACGGTGCTTGGCGGTGGTTAATGCCCGGAACTTTGTGTGGTTGACAGTGTTTGGCCATTATTGTGGACAGTGCTCGATAGGTGTGGGTAGCGTTTGGTTGGTAAACACGACAACATATAACTTTGCCGATTTAAGGTGGACTTGGACTATTCATACTATCAAGACAATGACAGTAGAAGCTGATATTACAAACAAATATATCAATCTCATGATCGGCGATAACGGATGGTTTATATAGCTATGCTATTTCACTATGCTGTGATATTGTTTGAATATTGTCTGTCAATTAATCTAGCATATGTTCTGCAGAATTCACAGCTACATGTCCCGGAACGTGCAGCCACATCTGCCTGCCAAGCCACCGGTCGTCTTACGTCTGCGCATGCCCGACTGATCTGATTCTCGGCCCAGATGAAACCCAGTGTGTGAGTGAGTATATCTTGTCACATTTTTATAAGTTAAAACTTATGGCGATAGTTTTTGGTGCAAGCGTGCATGCGTGCAGTTTCTGGAATAATGTTTGCTGACGTCTCGTCGAATGAAAATATGTCTTGGGGCGCTGACAGAAGAATCATGTCCCCAAACACCAGCCCCGACAATATACAAATCTAATCGATCTCTGTTCAGTCAAGTTAATATCGATGGATATGTTTGTATGGGGCATAGAATGGTGTTTGGGTTTAGGCCGATGTATATTCTTGATAAATACGGTTAGAAATTGAAATACTAAAGTTATTTTTTTGTCTTTTGAATAATGTTTTGTTTGAATGTAAACAAATATATTAGCATCTTTGATTGTTCACCTTGTTGGGGAAGTGATCACTAGTCCACCGTGCGAGGTGATCAGGTTGTTTAGACGCCGTACCTTGAGCCCTTCGTTGAACCTTTCGTTTAAAAGAACAAAGAGAACATGATCAACTAGTAACATGATCTCACAAAAACTGTCCGGGTTTGCATATACTCATACACTGAATGTATCTGGCATCGTGTCTTGTGTTTCAGGAGATGAAAATGCAACCTACATACTCATTGGCCAACAGACCCAGGTTCTGGAGTTTTCGGTCGGTCACCTTGGCAACGATGCCTACAAGAATGTTGATATCAACTATTTGAACAACATATACCTTGTTGACTATGATCCAGTCAACAACAGCATCGTGTTCGTGGACAAAGACAGTCGTCAGAGGCCCATCATCTGCTCGGCCCAGATTAAAAGGGGGTCACAGATAAGGTACAGACCCGCTTTGAGATTCAGACTGGGCCTTAATACACAAATAGAAAAGTTAAGGATCGCCTGATAGTTACTATGGTTAATCTGTCATGACAGAAATATTATATTTTAAACTAATCCTGCACTACTTACTTTCTGCACTTATTGCTTACGACTCGAAAACGTGGCTGTGACAGACGATTTATGTTGAAAAACGCAGAACTGCAATCACTTCCTGGTCTGGGGACCGCCTCCGTGGTGTAGTGGTTAGAGCGTCCGCCCGGACAGCGGAAGGTCGCGGGTTCGACCCCCGACTGCGTCACAACATAAGACGTTAAAATATGGTACTTGTTGGTCCCTGCCTGGCGTTCGGCATTAATGGGCACGACAAGAACTGGTCGGCTCGGAGTCAGTATAATGTGTCTGAGTGGGGTATTCATGCTTCACTGCGGCGTGGTATCTCAGTGGGCTAGCACTATAAAACCAGCTTAAGTCTGGGCTAGTACAAGCAGCCGCACATACACATACAGGCGCATGCACGTCGTCATATGAGCGAAATATCCTCAAGTACGACGTAAAACCCAATTTCACCTCACCTCCTGGTCTCGGACGAGAATCCGTCTGCGCACGCATCACCGTAACGTGATGTCAGCCACCTCAGAGTATTGTTCCATTTGTGTAAGACGCTGCAGTACGCTGTGCTGAGTTGCGTCCCTTTGGTGCACCGCAAACCTGTGATCAAGGGTTCCAAGCAGAGATCATCCAAGATGATCATTGGCTTGTCAACACTGTATTCATCGTAAACGTCTATTCCTGTATTACTCCGGGCTTTCACCCCACACAGCGTGATATAACTGCAATACTGCTTCATTGTGGTGGTAAACTAAACTTATTTACTCACTGATTAATAGTTTCGCAAATTGATAATTATTGTTGAGTAGATTCAACTGATACAGTAGGCAGCGATCTTGCTCTTTCAGGAAGGTGGTGTTGGTAGGAGAGGATATCCTCAGCGTGGAAGGGTTGGCAGTGGACTGGGTTGGCCGGAATGTGTTCTGGCTGGACCTGCGAAAGGTAGGTGTCGACAGTCTTGGACACAGCAAGATACTGTTTAATACTAACGCCTACAGTATGCCTGATAAGATCTGTAAGGACCGCCTCCGTTGTGTAGTGGTTAGAACGTCGCGAGTTCGATCCCCGACCGCGTCATATCAAAAGACGTTAATATATGGTACTTGATGGTCCCTGCCTGGCGCTCGGCATTAATGGGTACAACAAGGACTGGTTGGCTCGGAGTCAGTATAATGTGTCTGAGTGGGGTATTCATGCTTCACTGCTGCATGGAGTCTCAGTGGGCTAGCACTATAAAACCTGCTTCAGTCTGGGCTAGTACAAGCAGCCGCACATACACATACACACGCATGCACGTCGTCATATGAGCGAAATATCCTCAAGTACGACGTAAAACCCAATTTCACCTCACCTCACCTCACCTCCTGGTCTCGGACGAGAATCCGTCTGCGCACGCATCACCGTAACGTGATGTCAGCCACCTCAGAGTATTGTTCCATTTGTGTAAGACGCTGCAGTACGCTGTGCTGAGTTGCGTCCCTTTGGTGCACCGCAAACCTGTGATCAAGGGTTCCAAGCACAGATCATCCAAGAAGATCATTGGCTTGTCAGCACTGTATTCATCGAAAACCTCTATTCCTGTATTACTCCGGGCTTTCACCCCACACAGCGTGATATAACTGCAATACTGCTTCATTGTGGTGGTAAACTAAACTTATTTACTCACTGATTAATAGTTTCGCAAATTGATAATTAATGTTGAGTAGATTCAACTTATACAGTAGGCTGCGATCTTGCTCTTTCAGGAAGGTGGTGTTGGTAGGAGAGGATATCCTCAGCGTGGAAGGGTTGGCAGTGGACTGGGTTGGCCGGAATGTGTTCTGGCTGGACCTGCGAAAGGTAGGTGTCGTCAGTCTCGGACACAGCAAGATACTGTTTAATACTAACGCCTACAGTATGCCTGATAAGATCTGTAAGGGCCGCCTCCGTGGTGTAGTGGTTAGAGCGTCGCGGGTTCGATCCCCGACCGCGTCATACCAAAAGACGTTAATATATGGTACTTGTTGGTCCCTGCCTGGCGCTCGACATTAATGGGTACAACAATGACTGGTCGGCTCAGAGTCAGTATAAAGTGTCTGAGTGGGGTATTCATGCTTCACTGCTGCATGGTATCTCAGTGGACTAGCACTATAAAACCAGCTTCAGTCTGGGCTAGTACAAGCAGCCGCACATACACATACACACGCATGCACGTCGTCATATGAGCGAAATATTCTCAAGCACGACGTTAAACCCAATTTCACCTCACCTCACCTCACCTCACCTCACCTCACCTCAAGATGTGTAAGATAATTACACACACTGCCCAATGGCACACAACACGTGTCATCGTATCACGTCAGCGTACCATCTTGCCCTTTGGTTTATAGGCCAGCGATACACACTTGCCCTAAACATTATTCATTCACTGACATAGAAATTCGTATGCATATACTGTTACCAATTGTCGGTATGCAGTCCTCATCTTTTTGTCGAATCTGTATTTACGTGTAGTAGTCCAAAGAGTCTAAACATGGCATTGACTAGTATCTAATGTCTCCACAGAGGACCATAGAGGCAGCTAAACTGGATGGGTCCACACGTGTTGTTGTCACAGACCAGTCTCTGGCCGAACCGCATGGTCTGGCCTTGTACCTGAAGGCAGGGTGAGTACCCCAACACCAGCATACAGAGCAGTCTCTGGCCGAACCGCATGGTCTGGCCTTGTACCTGAAGGCAGGGTGAGTAACTCAACACCAGCATACAGAGCAGTCTCTGGCCGAACCGCATGGTCTGGCCTTGTACCTGAAGGCAGGGTGAGTACTCCAACACCAGCATACAGACCAGTCTCTGGCCGAACCGCATGGTCTGGCCTTGTACCTGAAGGCAGGGTGAGTAACCCAACACCAGCATACAGACCTTAGAGTAGGCACTCTTCATCAGACAGCATGTGTAACGTGAAGGGTGCGTTTTCATACCTTCACTTCGTGTTGGAACCCAATATCAGTACATATCGGTACTGACAAGCCGGTGAGTACCTTACATCAACGTACGCTTTTTGACTGAAGTAACTTTTAACTTAGTACCCTTTCATCGGCATGCACACTTTGAGACACGTGAGAACATACCTTGGGACAGGGTTAGCCCAATATAATTTATCACGGTTTACATCTTCCATTACTTCACCCATCTATAGAGCTGTGGGACACACAGGACTGCCTTTCATTGCTCAGACTGGTACCGAGCGAAAGAATGTGTTGTATGAAACTTGGATGTACAACTATGATAGCATGCATGCATCCATGCACAGTTATGATAGCATGCATGCATCCATGCACAGTTATGATACCATGCATGCATCCATGCACAGTTATGATACCATGCATGCATCCATGTACAGTTATGATACCATGCATGCATCCATGCACAGTTATGATACCATGCATGCATCCATGCACAGTTATGATACCATGCATGCATCCATGTACAGTTAGGATACCATGCACAGTTATGATACCATGTACAGTTGATACCATGCATGCATCCATGCACAGTTATGATACCATGCATGCATCCATGCACAGTTATGATACCATGCATGCATCCACAGTTATGATATGCATGCATGCATCCATGTACAGTACCATGATACCATGCATGCATCCATGCACAGTTATGATTCCATGCATGCATCCATGCACAGTTATGATACCATGCATGCATCCATGTACAGTTATGATACCATGCATGCATCCATGTACAGTTATGATACCATGCATGCATCCATGTACAGTTATGATACCATGCATGCATCCATGCACAGTTATGATACCATGCATGCATCCATGCACAGTTAGGATACCATGCACAGTTATGATACCACGCATGCATCCATGCACAGTTATGATTACACATGCATCCATGCACAGTTATGCATGCACATCCATCCATGCACAGTTATGATACCATGCATGCATCCATGCACAGTTATGATACCATGCATGCATCCATGCACAGTTATGATACCATGCATGCATGCATCCATGCACAGTTATGATACCATGCATGCATCATCCATGTACAGTTATGATACCATGCATGCATCCATGTACAGTTATGATACCATGCATGCATCCATCCATGTACAGTTATGATACCATGCATGCATCCATCCATGTACAGTTATGATACCATGCATGCATCTATCCATGCACAGTAATGATACCATGCATGCATCTATCCATGTACAGTTATGATACCATGCATGCATCCATCCATGTACAGTTATGATACCATGCATGCATCCATCCATGTACAGTTATACCATGCATGCGTCCATCCATGTACAGTTATGATACCATGCATGCGTCCATCCATGTACAGTTATGATACCATGCATGCGTCCATCCATGTACAGTTATGATACCATGCATGCGTCCATCCATGTACAGTTATGATACCATGCATGCGTCCATCCATGTACAGTTATGATACCATGCATGCATCCATGCACAGCTAAAGATAACACAGCTAAAGATAACACTAAGCATCCAGAATTAGTTTGTCCGTATATATGCCAAAACAGGGCAATTCCATTAGGAATGTACCGTCCGGAATAAAGAGATTCCACTATATATGAGTTTCTTCTTCAGAGTTCTGTTTTATGCTGACTGGGGGGATCGACCACATATTCAGAGATGTGACATGGACGCCACCAACTGCATCCTGATTGTGGAAGAACGGATACGACAGCCCAACTCTCTGACGGTAGACCCGGTGAAGTACCGACTGTTTTGGAGCGACATGAAACTCGAGATGATTTACTCAGTGGCCATCGACGGCTCAGACCGTGCTTCACACGTGTAAGCCTGTGTTGACATTACATTTTGCTGAGGCCCATACTCGGTTTTACACACCGCCCCATCGACTTCGACTGAATTTGGTGGTAGTGCTCTTTTCCGGAGCAGAACTTTAAGACTGTTCACTATTCCTTCACCCAACGTGGCACTAAGATAGGCCTGGTGGTGTACTGGTGCCTTTTGGTATTTTTGGAATTCTGAATAAAATATATTTTGTGTTTCCATAGCAACAAGTTTGGCTTCGACTGTAGTTGGTGGTAGTGCTCCTTCCTAGAGCAGAACTTTAAAATCTTTCAATACCCTCCTTCCACTTTGCCATATACAAACCAAAACATTTGGCATAATCATAACTAGTAGACATATTCATAAGAGTATTTTGCCATTGCGGGGGATATTGATGACTTTGTCGTCTTGTTGACATAGTGCCATGCATGATTTACTGAAAAGTAGCAATATGAACAACGATTAGTAATTATGTCAATCATTTACTGAGACTTGTATCTTGAAAAAATAAGACAATCAGCGAAATTTCTTAAGAATAGGTATCCATGGGCAAAGATTTGTGCTACCCCGCTTGATATTGCTGGAATATTGGTAAAAGCTTCGTAAAACAAGTCTCACGCACCTTTGTGTTCCGTTGGATATCATATAGGCGAGAAAGCAGGTGCTCGTCACCGTGGGATGACTTCCATTGACAAGTCGCTACACATAGTACATTCCAGGATGTTAATTTTGTCTGCGTTTCAGATTTGCAAAGAACATCAATTCCATAGTAGTGGACGGAAGCTTGATCTATTGGACTGATGGCCTGACCGATGCTGTACACATGGTCAACAGCTCGCGTCGCCATGGCGACCAGATTGACTACCACAGTGGACACACGGGACTGACAGGGATGGCACTGGTCAACATGAAGAAAACCGCACCAAGTTAGTCAAACCTGAAAGTCTCCACCAGTACCCTGTCTTCCTGTTTGACGTGTTTCCTTTCTCACTTGGTTACCTTGGGCAAGAGGCTGTATGGTCGTGTTTAAGCCACCAGTAACGGCCAATGTAACTTGAAAACATGGGGGTAGCCTAGTGGTTAAGCCACCAGTAACGGCCAATGTAACTTGAAAACATGGGGGTAGCCTAGTGGTTAAAGCGTTTGCTCGTCACGCCAAAGGCCCAGGTTAGATTCCCTACATTGTCTCTATATGGACCCTACCCCATTCAGTAATCACCTGATTGTCTGGTCCAGACTCATTAACTTACATCTATCATTACTTATTGTTAATCTATAACTTGTTTTAGGCTGAAATATTGCCAAAGTGACTTTAAATTTTAACTCACTCACTCACTCATTAACTTACAGGCCACCGTCACATAACTGTAAAACAGCTGAGTGCGGCCTTATGCAAGAAAGAAAAGAACGGTCGTTCGATAACTTCATTAATGTTATACGTACATTTGCAGTAAAGAATGGCTGCAGCCATGACAACGGCGGTTGCTCTCACATCTGCTTGACCAAGGAACATGGTGCCTTGTGCAGATGCCCTGCCAATATGACGCTTGGGGCCAATCATGTCACCTGCTACGGTATGTCAATTCTGGCTTTTTCGTCCGTTAAGCATTATTTTCCCCCTTGCCTTTTTCTTGGGTGCATTCGGTCAGTTTTAATGTTTTTCGTTGCATGTTCAGTAATTAGTAATTCAGTAATTATCCTTGTTCTAGAGAGACCTTAGTCGATGTACACATTTCCAAATCTACCTCGATCCTTTAAATGTATTGCGACAAGTGCTTATTGCCGACGTTATCAAGTGACACATGGTGTTGAAACTTGTTTGGATTCTCAGACAAACACTGCGACAACAACAAGATCCTGTGTGCTCCGCTTGGCCAGTGCCTGGACAACTCCACCAGGTGTAATGGTCAGCATGACTGTCCAGACAGTTCCGACGAAGAGGGATGTCCAGGTGAGAGTTGCATGTGTACACCTCCACAAAACCTCTCACTGGAAATCTCGTCACAAAATGCACAAAGAGGTCACACTGTAGTTTCCATGTTACCTTGAATTCACATTTTACATTACACCAGTGAATCCAAATCTTTGTCTATTTCTTACTTCACTGACAGACACAGGTGGCATCAAATATGAAAACAACAATACAAAATCGGAGTCCCTTCCGAATAAGCTTACATTCAAGATTCTTGTAATGTGGCGTTACCTGCAGAAAGGAATGGTAAGAAGAAAGAATTTAGTGATCCTTAAAGTACTACCTCATTCGTCACCTAGACTAACGCTTAGTCCCTGAATATATATAATTTTGATAGTAACAAACAAGCCATTTAAATTGAAAAGGAGCCCCAGGGCGATCAGAGATTCAGAACCTGAGGAAATCTAGACTTGCTTTATTTGGGGCTTAAGCACTGCAGATAGGGCTTGGCAGTAGGGAAAATACTGTGGTTTAGGGACTGTAAGACTATTCGTCACCCTGTGTTAAATTCTATCATTACATTAACTCCTAACGCTTGTGGATCGGTCCCCTTATACCTTGACTCATCTTGGCACTAGTTTATGTACTCATGACCTCGTGAACTTGTCGAGGGGTATGATACCATGCATGCATCCATCCATGGGTAGTTTGACAGGTCACAATGGTGCTAGACAAGAAGGGTAAGACGTGATTGGGTTTAAGGTTTGGCCTGTTCCAATTCCGTAAATGCATGGTTCCGAAGTGCCAAACCCATTTTGATCAGTCATGGTATTTCTAAAATGTTACTATGAGCGCTTCAAGACCATACTGACCGTCTCCGTGGTGTAGTGGTTAGAGCGTCCGCCCAGAGAGCGGAAGGTCGCGGGTTCGATCCCCGACTGCGTAATACCAAAAGACCTTAAAATATGGTACTTGTTGGTCCCTGCCTGGTGCTCGGCATTAATGGGTACAACAAGGACTGGTCGGCTCGGAGTCATAATACTGTGTCTGAGTGGGGTATTCATGCTTCACTGCGGCATGGTATCTCAGTGAGCTAGCACTATAAAACCAGCTTCAGTCTGGGCTAGTACAAGCAGCCGCACATACACACGCATGCCCGTCGTCATATGAGCGAAATATTCTCCAGCAGGACGTTAAACCCAATTTCACCTCATCTCACCACCTCAAGACCGTACTACTTGCAGGTGCTAGTTTTACGATACAGTGCATTGTTAGAAACACTGGGTTACACATGGAAAAAGCAGTTCCTTTGAATGCCTTTGTCTCCACACAGCGACGTGTTGGCCTGACAGCTTCCAGTGTGCGGACGGCACCTGCATCAAGGACTTGTGGAAGTGTGACGGGCATGCGGACTGTGGTGATGGAAGTGATGAGGCCGATTGCCCGGGTAGGTCACGGGTGCATTCATACTTCAATCTCCTTATGAAACACAATTAAATTTTATATCCTAACTTACCCCTGGTTGTCCAGGTTAGAAATGGTCACCAGCAACATGTTTGATGTCATTAACCGGAACGACTTGTCATTGTCAGGATCACTGGCTTGGTTGGCGTATGTCATTGTATTACCCGTGAAGATCCGGGGTAGAATAGGTCTTCAGCAACCCATGCTTGCCACAAAAGGCGACTAGGCGTTGTCGTAAGAGGCGACTAACTGGATCGGGTGGTCAGGCTCGCTGACTTGGTTGACACATGTCATCGGTTCTCAATTGTGCAGATCGATGCTCATGCTGTTGATCACTGGATTTTCTGGTCCAGACTCGATTATTTACTGACCGCCACCATATAGCTGGAGTATTGCTGAGTGCGGCGTAAAACTAAACTCAGTCACTTAATCACTGATTTGGCTGGTCCAGACTCGATTATTTACAGATCGACGTCATATGGCTTGACCATTACGACATGACCTTCAACAGCAAAAATAATTTTTATTCACATTATGGGGTAATAACAATTTGGTCCATTGCGGGTTAAAAATACATTCAGATATATCAACACTACAGGTACGGCTGTGAATTTTATCTGGATTTTACAACCGAACCCAAAATACCTAAATATGACTTTAAACATAGTCTACACATTGAGAGGGATGTATTCATTTTTTTTATCTTCGTGGATATTTTAAAACACGTTACACAAACATCATAATCATAAGTCAAATAGATTGTTGATCAGTATGAAGTATGGAACAAATACGATCGAGTGGTAACGATGTAAACTAGACCAATCTACAACTAAGGCTGTCTGCTGATGCTCGTCTTCCCTTTCAACAATCGCATATAGTCCGTTTGGCTCAAAATCGGACCGATGAATTGCAATGTAACTCGAAAACTCCTAAACATATAATACTCAATGAAACACTGATCATAATCAAAACATCAGACCAACTCTGTGATCTTTTTTGCAGAATTAATGTCCTAAACATTAAAAAGTTTTTTAACAAACGATCATTAAAATGTTGACACAGTTCACTATTTGTTACTACCGCCTCCGTGGTGTAGTGGTTAGAGCGTCCACCCGGAGTGCGGAAGGTCGCGGGTTCGATCCCCGACCGCGTCATACCAAAAGACGTTAAAATATGGTACTTGTTGGTCCCTGCCTGGCGCTCGGCATTAATGGGTACAACAAGGACTGGTCGGCTCGGAGTCAGTATAATGTGTCTGAGTCGGGTATTCATGCTTCACTGCGGCATGGTATCTCGGTGGGCTAGCACTATAAAACCAGCTTAAGTCTGGGCTAGTACAAGCAGCCGCACATACACATACACACGCATGCACGTCGTCATATGAGCGAAATATTCTCAAGCACGACGTAAAACCCAATTTCACCTCACCTCTACACGTACTTTACTGTATTATGAAACCATTCACCGGTTTGTTTGTCCCTGACTCGCTTATTACAGGCCGTTCTCGTAAAGATTGAAAAGACATTGTTCCTACGATGGCATTAAAACGGACATTAAATCTTACTACCTACACAGAACATGAATGCAAGGCACACGAGTTCCGCTGTGACGGGATCCGGTGTCTGCTGGCTTCCCGGTTTGTCTGCAATATGGAGAGAGACTGTTTGGACGGCACTGATGAGATGAATTGCCCACAGCAGTGTTCCCCAGACCAGCTGATGTGCCTGGACAACGAAACCTGCTACAGAAGGGAATGGGGGTGTGATGGCGACAACGACTGCCCTGACGGCAGTGATGAACTCGGCTGCAGTAAGTCACTTTGTGAAACATTTGAGGAAGTCTCACCTTTGTTATCCAGTCTTCATCTTGGAAATATATATTTGGGTCTTACAACATACAAAATGAGAATATACTACTTAGATGCAGTTATAAGATCACTGGTTCTTTCGTGTAATTTTACCTGGTCTGTCGTACTGACGAGGGGTCGACCTTCAGATTTTTAAACTTATTTGGTCTAGGTTTCATCCCCGAGACCAGCATTTTTCTACCGACTAGAAAACGTACTTTCGTCACCGATAGATATCTCCAACAAAAAATTGTTTTTCATATATTTTATATATTCATAAGGGCACCGTCCTACAAGATCAGGTCCATCCAACAAGCATTCAACCACTCTCAGATAGTATTGTGCCAACGGGCCCAGAGAACGAGTATTGAATGCCTCAAATCTACATCGAAACCAGTGTAATTCCACCAAAAGTGCGTATAAACATACCAAACCTTAGACACTTTACAATCCTCATCTCTTGCGCGACCAAGCTTCTTTTTAACCCCGCTACTTCTTGGTCCACCCCAGACACTTCTGATGTATTTCCTTGCAGACCACACGTGTTCACCGACGCAGTTCACATGTGCGAGTGGTCAGTGTATTGACCTGGTGAGCAAATGTGACCACTTCCCTGACTGCAATGATGGGTCTGATGAAGCAGCTGATTGTAAGATGGAGAAGTCGAACACCATTGTAACAGGTAGGCAGCCTCTTTCTGATGTCCCGTGTGGGAGACGTGTGTGTTATACATATCTTAAACCTATTTAAAGTTATGTTTAGATCTTCTACTTCTTTAGGTCTGTATTCACCCGTGAAGATTCTACTACAATTGATCTCCAGCAACCCATGCTTGTCATAAGAAACGACTAACGGGATCGTGTGTTCAGGCTCGCAGACTTGAATGACACATGTCATCGGTTTCCAATTGCGTAGATCGATGGATTGTCTGGTCCATACTCGATTATTGAGATTTCATGTGTTCTATGTCCCGTGTGTATAGCGTCCAAAGGGAGTTTTCATGTGTTCTATATTCCATGTATGTGTAGAGTGCCCTAATGGAGGTTTCATGTGTTCTATATTCCGTGTGTAGAGTGCCCTGATGGAGGTTTCATGTGTTCTATATTCCGTGTGTAGAGTGCCCTAATGGAGGTTTCATGTGTTCTATATTCCGTGTGTAGAGTGCCCTAATGGAGTTTTCATGTGTTCTATATTCCATGTATGTGTAGCGTGCCCTAATGGAGGTTTCATGTATTCTATATTCCATGTGTAGAGTGCCCTAATGGAGGTTTCATGTGTTCTATATTCCGTGTGTAGAGTGCGGAGGTTTCAAGTGTTCTATATTCCATGTGTAGCGTGCCCTAATGGAGGTTTCATGTATTGTATATTCCATGTGTAGAGTGCCCTAATGGAGGGTTCATGTGTTCTATATTCCATGTGTAGAGTGCCCTAATGGAGGGTTCATGTGTTCTATATTCCGTGTGTAGAGTGCCCTAAGGAATATTACACCTGTACCGTGTTTCTTGGAATCAACAAGTGTGTCGAAGAAGACTTAATGTGCAACGGGTACAGAGACTGTCCCCATGGTGATGACGAAACAAACTGTACATGTAAGTAAACATGTCATGTACTTTGTCGCTTCACTCAACAAAATACAGGGTGGGGCCGATTTGATTTCATCCTACATTTGATTGCATGCCCGTTTTAGTCTAATAATGCTTTGAAAGATGGGAAATGTAGGAAGAGCGGTGAGAGAGACAACAATGTTACAAATGTGTTCATACCTCAGTTCATGTGAAGTTTTGTGTTTGGCTTCGTAATGATGTGGGGCGGTGGGGTAGCTTAGTGGTTAAAGCGTTCGCTCGTCACGCTGAAGATCGGGGTTCCATTCCCTATGTAGGTAATATGTGCGAAGCATGTTTTGGGGGTTCCCTCCGTGAAATATTATGATTACAACATAAAATCTTTCTCACTCGCTGGTAAAGATGTTTCTGAAACATTTCTCTGAGAGAACTATGTGGTTATTCCAGCCCTGATTTGGTCTCCAGGAAACTATGCCTGTTATAAAATGGATGGGCTGATCGGACTAGTGACCTATTTGACGGGTCTGTGTGACCTCTTTGGTCATCCTATGCTCTAACATGAAATACAAACCTCACTCAAATCTTTCTACTGTAGTGGAGTGTGGCAGAAAAGAGTTCAAGTGCCAGTCAGGAGATCTCTGTATAGCGAAGTCCAAGGTCTGTGACGCTGTCTTGGACTGTCCAGATGGCTCCGACGAGGATGGGGATAACTGCGGTAAGACATTACATGCAACTTCAATCATCTTTTTGCGGTTAATAGGCTTGATGTAAATGAGACAACGGTTATAACGAACTGAGGGGTGGTTATCCGACTGGTTAAAGCGTTCGCTCGTCACGCCGAAGACCCGAGTTCGATTCCCCACTTGGTTACCCACTTGGTTACAATGTGTAAAGCCCATTTCTGGTGTCCTCCGCCGTGATATTGCTGGAATATTGCTAAAAAGCGGCGTAAAACCAAACTCACTTACTCTAACGAGCTGAGAGGTGACACTAATGTTTGATATAACCTTAGTTCGTTGTGAGAATGTCCACTAAAATATGCAGTGACAGTGGTCTAAAACAGTTCGTTATATCAGTCAGTTCGTCACATCCGTCAGTTCGTCACATCCGTCAGTTCGTCACATCCGTCAGTTCGTTACATCCGTTAGTTCGTTACATCCGTTAGTTCGTTACATCCGTCAGTTCGTCACATCCGTCAGTTCGTTATAAGCGTGTTCGTTATAAACGTAGTGTGCGGTTTCCGCGATAGATGGTATCATTCACTCACTCACTCTTACGTATGTATGAAATGTTCATTCTTGCTCAGTGTTTTGTATCCTTGATAAAGACCACAGTTCTCTAAGCCGCCTCTCGTCACTTGAATATATGTTGGAAGTATTGCGTTCTCAGTGTGAAACGGCTGGACGGCACGAAACAGCATGCATTTCAATTTCCCTCGCATGTGCTCGATTGTGATTGGTTCACCATGTGTTGTTCATTAACAACGAAGCAGTTGTTATAATGGCTGTGTCATCTTTCCCAGACGGGGTATTTACTCATGCTATCGGCCATCTGTTGACCGTCCCATTCTGAATATTTTCAGACACCTCTAATATAACTTTAGTATTGCGAAAACAATCGCATTTCTGTTGCAATAACTCATTTATCCAGGAATGAAAACTGTTCCTTTATTAGGCTTGTGTCCTGTCGGTACCTTCCAGTGCCTCAGCGGACAGTGTATAGAGGAGAAACTACATTGTGACCTGAAGCCTGACTGTCCGGATGGATCTGATGAGAACGAGCTGTGTGGTTGGTTGCCTCCCTCTTTCAACATTAAGGCCTTTGTGGTTAACTTATTTGCTAGTTGGTTGGTTTGTTGTTTAACGACGCACTCCGCAATAATCCATATATATGGCTATGGTCTGTACAGAATCCACCAGACAATCCAGTGATTAACAACATGACCATCGATCTACGCAACTGGGATACGATGACATGTCAACATGAGCAGTCTCGATCCCGTTACAGACTCAATTATTTAGTGTCCTATATCTGCTCCGTTAAACAACAAACATGATACCAAAAGACGTTAAAATATATTACTTGTTCGTCCCTGCCTGGCTCTCGGCAATAATGGGTACAACAAGGACTGGTCGGCCCGGAGTAAGTATAATGTGTCTGAGTGGGGTATTCATGCTTCACTGCGACATGGTATCTCAGTGGTATCTCATATGAGCGAAATATTCTCAAGCACGACGTTAAACCCAATTTCACCTCACCTCACCTCACCTCACAAACCTGATATCACTGGGACCGATTTAAATCTGCCGAAATATAACCACGTGTTTCATGTAACAATGTTTGTGAGGCATACAAAGGGCAAATGAATCTAAGTATTGTTTTGAATGATTCTTTCAGGTAAATCCTGCCAGTTTGCAAATCTTGGGTGTAGTCATAACTGCACTATAACCAACGAAGGTGCTCGATGTATCTGTCGCCATGGCTACGATCTGGGAGATGATTTAAGAAGCTGTTTGGGTAAGACACTTCTAGGGCATTCTCACTTATTATATAACCAGCATAAATATACAATGCCATTTAGAAAGTGGTCAAATGTAACACATTATATTGAGGTTTACACTTTCTCAGTCACAGTACCAAATAACACTAGTATCACCATTATTTCAGAAGTTGCGATGGCTGAGTGGGTTAGATGGCTGACTTTGTGTGCTGGCGATTAGGTGCCTGCCTCAGTGTGGGTTCGAATCCCTGATGGGACTCAACCTAAAGAAAATGATTGAGTGAACTGATATCTTTGTAACCGGTGTGGTATATTTCCAGATATCGACGAGTGTGAACACATGAATGGGACATGCGGACAAATATGTGAGAATCTCAAGGGAGGTTACTCTTGTCACTGTACAGACGGCTATAAACTGGCAATCGATAGCCACACATGCAAAGCGGTCGGTAAGTCAGCGATTCTGTTAATTTCCTTGATCAAGCAATTGACAAAATGAGTGAATACATCTTGATACTTTTTGCCGCATTTCTTCATTTCCGCTAATACTTATGTTACATTCCTTTCAACAATTGCCCGTTTCTGTTCAGTTTCCGAAGACTAGATTTCTTAACGAATGTACTTAAGTATCAGTCTCTGTCAGTGTCATATCTATGTGTTCATACCTTTTTACCCTCCCGGAATCAAGGCATCTGACAAGAGTAAGTTGTGGATCGGTTGGTCACAATGGCTTCTGCAGTCAGACACTCTTCATCTGGAGGGTAACATAAGCGTTTCTGTGTAGATGCGGTTCTTTCCCTGTGAATGTTCTCCTGAAACGTCGGGTTTCTCTCCTGCAGGTGAACGTCCGTATCTTCTGATAGCACATCTTCACGGCATCAGCAAGGTTAACATCGGCACTAAATCTAACGAATATACCATCGTTACATCATCACCACCGATGTTTATTGATGTACTTACCAAGCCTGACAGAAGAGTCATATTCTGGTCAACGGAGGAGGTAAGAGGTCACACGTGTGTTCTGCAGAAGTCGATGGTGCCGTAGGGTAGCCTAGTGGTTAAAGCGTTCAATGTCCCACATAGGTACTATGTTCGGATCCCATTTCTGATGTCGCCTGCTGTCCTATTGCTGGACTATTGCTAAAAGCGGCATAAAACCCAACTTCCTGCTTAACTGGAGCTTGTGCTAGCAAGAACAGAGTGTAGCTCAGTCCCGATCCACTTGGAATGAGTATAATTTTACGCCGCTTTTAGCAATTACACGACGGGAACACCAGAAATGGATTTCACACAGTTTACTAATGTGGGAAGTCGAACCCGGGCCTACGGTGTGACGAGCGAACGCTTTAACCACTAGGCCATCTACGATCTGTGTCATTTTGGCTTGTATGTTACATAACTGGATCAGCTGAAAGAGGGTTTGAATCCGTACTGGACAACAATTCATCCATGGAATAACCAATGAAGGATGCATTGCACTGAATTGTTCTCTCCACTGGGTCAACTGTGCCTCTATTCAAAGCAGCTTTAACCTCGTTGCACTCACTCACTTGGTATTTCTGCCTGTGAAGATCCGGGTTAGAATATTGATCTTCAGTAACCATGCTTGTCGTAAGAGACGACTAACGGGATAGGGTGGTCAGGCTCGCTGGCTTGGTTGACACATGTCATTGGTTCCCAATTGCGCAGATCGATGCTCATGCTGTTGATCACTGGATTGTCTGTTCCAGACTCGCTTATTTCCAGACCACCGCCATATAGCTGGTATATTGCTGAGTGCGGCGTAAAACTAAACTCACTCACTCACTCACTTGGTATTTCAGGTGAATAATGGCCGTAATACCTCGGTCATTAAAATGTACGCGGCAGCCCATACAACAAAAGTCCGCACCCTAGGGAAGCTGACTGGCATGGCTGTTGACTGGCTGGCCAGGAACATATACTACACCCACGACTTGAATGGCAAAGGGTTCATCACCGTCTGTAGCATTGGCAGGAGAGTCGCGTGCAGAACTCTGCTGAAAAGGAGACGAACAATACCATCATCTATTGTTCTACATCCGACTGAAGGGCAAGTGATTGTTGCTATTTTAATATTTAAACATGTTTTACATGGTTTCCAATGTTTGGTGATATGATGAAAAATCATTTTGAACTCCATTGACTCATCATCAATATTTCGGATTTTTCAGGTGATTTATATGTGCAAGAAAAAGTTCATATTAATGAATTTGTATTTAAATTGGAATTTAAGAAGTCTGTAAAACGAGTGTGCTCAGAGTGCCATAAAGAGATTTTTTATTTTGCTCTAATTTGTGTGCAAATTCAGATTAGAAAATGACGGAAAGTTTGAAAGCCCCCATTTCGTTCACTGTATGCCGAGCCCAGTAAAGTGGTACTCCGGATGTCTTCCCTCTTGCCTCAAAGCGAGTTAAGCGTCAAGACAGTTGCAGTTCATGCTCTACTGAGATAGCTTTGTGGAACCAGGCCCTGATTGACTGTGGATAATTATTCAACAACGGCGTGGGGCGTCCTTGTCAAATCGGCCACGGGTTTTTACTGGTTCAGCCTCGATTATTTAGAGGCAGCTGGCATATAGCTTGAACATTCATAATAACAAGCAGGCTGATTGACTCCGGAACTGGACTTCGGAACTTGGACTTCGGAACTTGGACTTCGGAACATGCTTGCGTCTCCCTATTTTTAACAATGTTTTTCAATTATCCAGTGATATAATTTTCACACCTCGTTGCAAAATGACGGCCCATGATGTTGATGTTTTACATTTTACAACAGTCTCATGTTCTGGCTGGCGGACAATGAGGGGCGGATGGCAATTACACGAGGCTACATGGACGGTACTCACCAGATGGACATTGTAACGTCACGTCTGCAGCGTCCAGCGGCTCTCACTCTGGACACCGTGACCAACAGGCTTTACTGGGCAGACGTTGGACTGAATGCAATCAGTACTTGTACCACTGCAGGGACGGAACAGTAAGGCACTGACATTGTATATTCGCGGTTAACCTAGCTGACACATGATTGTCAGATTCTCATTGGCCGATATGTTCCCATCTGAATTGCTGAACTGTTGGCATTACATTTGTAAAACAACTGCAATTTTGTACGTCGAATCTATTAAGACGCCATTCTCTGAATATTGACGATATTTTCTGATTATAATAGATGGGATAAGTCTAAATGATGCATTATGTCTCTATTTTGATTTGTACCGTAATATGCCCATATCTCAAGGAAGGTAGGCAAGGAAGGTAACTGAACATTGAACACCATTTTCTAGCTAAGAATTCGGAAACTAAAGCGTAGTTGGAAAAGAGGGAAACTTTGCTTCTATATTCTGCCTGTATGAGGAGTAAGTAATTATTAAGAATGTAATCATAAGAGGTGATTTCTCTATTTCTCTATTTTGCCATTTTCCAGTGCTCCGGTGCTGGAGAGATTGTCCTCCATCCCGTTTTCATTGGACTTCTTTGAGAACAGTTTGTTTCTGAGCGAACCTTATTACGTAGTTCAGTACGCCAGGTTCAAGGAGGCCAGCCACAAGAAACGGATGGCACTGCAGGAAATGCTGCAACCACGAGGGGTCAAGGTCGTCCATCCTGTCCGACAGTCGGTTACTAATGGTAAGCGCCACAGGTTACTTCTTTCAGCCTTGAGGGTAGAATGTTGTGTGGTCGAATAGGGTGGGAGATGTTGGCAAAGTGACGTGTGTTGGGGCCCGTGGGAATGTTGCAGCGAGTCAAAAAGTGTGCTTTGGCATGTAGAGTCGTCAGGAACGTGAGGAGGGGGTGGACGCTATTTCTGGGGATGGTGAATTGTTCTTTGGTAATGTGATATGGGGAACCTTCTTTGATTATTGTCCTTTTTACATCAGTTTGTGAGGGTCTTATGGCCGTCCAGTGATTTATTCATGACCATGTTCCTTATATTTGTCAGTTACTTAACTACATTTCATCATTTATTTTCACAACTACTGTTATGCTTCAGGCAAGAGCAACCCCTGTAAGGCGCTGAAGTGCGAGCACCTGTGTATTCTGGTGCCAGACAGAAAGGCACAGTGCATGTGTCCGGACGGCATGAAGTACTCCACCATTGACAAAAAGTGCGACAGTAAGTACTATTCGTACTAGGACTGCCTCAATAAATCCTTCCTCTTGAGCATGAGCGTGGCCAAAACTGCATTGTATAGTGTACAGTATAACGCCACTAGACTTTCTTCTGCTCTCTTCAGCTTGTAAGATGTAACTAACTACTGTAGTGGTCAGGCTCACTGACGCATGTCATCGTATCCCAATTGGGTAGATCGATGCTGGTGTTGATCACTGGATTGTGTCGTCCAGACTCGATTGTTTACAGACCGCCGCCATGGTACTGAACCCACGGTGCTTGAAATGAACCCAACTGTGCTTGAAACTGAACCCAAGATGTTTTAATGATTTGTATCTGTTTCACGTACCTCCCAGACCTAACGATCCCAGCTTTACATGAGGACGTGATGAGAAATCTGGAGTGTTTGAATGGTGGCATACAGAAGAAAAACGCAAGTTACGGTTCATACTGCAGGTTTGTCAACTCCATTACTCTCAGGCTGAATCTATACAATATACTTCTGACCTCTTTAAAGGTGTGTGTATTTACAAAGGATGACATATATACTTATCTGTCAAACGTTGAAGTATATATAGATTACTGGGTATTAGAATAACCAAGAACATGATCATGTCCACCCATTCGTTTGTAAGGGTATGCTGGGCCATTGAAGAGTTAAGTCTTCAACGATGCACTGTGTTCAGTATGAGTGTTTATCAAATCAGTCGTAGGATTGGCTCATCACCTGATGGAATCTGTGAGTATGCCTAATATAGAGATGAAGATAGCGACGTCACTTTCAAAACGAGACTATCTGTCGTGATATTGCTGGAATATTGCTAAATGCGGCGTAATACCATACTCACTGTGATCCAATACCTCATCCTTTACTTTCTGTGGTCTTTTGTCAGCTGCCCCCCAGGCTACGTGGGTTACCAGTGTGAAGTATCAATACCGGCACTGGAGAAGATAAAGAAGAAAAAGGTGGAGGAAGAAAGCAGCAAGGCATGGGTGGCTGGGGTGGTCCTGGCTATTATTGTCTTCACGGCGTGTGCCGCAGGGGCTATCTACTTCCTCCGCTCAAAAAGGTAACGTCGGTAGTGACACTGGGTTGTGGGCACGTTGCTGGTTGATACTGGGTTGCTGGTTGATACTGGGTTGCTGGTTGATACTGGGTTGCTGGGGTTGCTGGTTGATACTGGGTTGATGGGACATTAGTGGGTGACTGGAGGTTGTTGGCACATTACACATGTTGATTAGTGTCAATCCGGCATCTGCCCTGTGTGCCAAGGGTAACTGTTCGATCCCATGGTTGCGACATACCAAAGGACGAAATGGATGGTTCCTTTTGTTTCCATCCTACGGATCCTCACTAAGGGTATTGAACAAGTCAGTTAGAAGTCCGTATACTTAGTACGCAAAGGCACCCCTTTTAAACAGCCACATGGCATCTCGGTGTGTGCCACCTCTATAAAACATACCTTAAGTCCTTTATGATAGTCCTCCATAACATCCCTGTTATGTTTGACTTTGCCAGGAAAGGCATAGACTTGGTCAGCATCATCAAGTTCCGCAACCCAGCATTCAGGAAATCGAAGGACGAGGAGTCTGAAGAATTGGTCACAGAGATAGCATTTGGCAACCCAGGATTCCAAGACTTTGATGATGTGAGTAGTTGTGAACCTCAGTGAGTGAGTGTGTTTTGTGAATACATGTGTAGTTTAATGCTGCTTTGGACGGCATTCTAATCATGTCACAGCATGCTTATGTCAGCTTGAATTTGGAGAAAATCTCAAAGTGGTCCAGGCATTTACTTTGGTGAAACTTACGAGAACACAGGTTTGTCACTGACAACCATAAACACACAAATACACGTGCATTGGCACCTTAGAACAGGTATCCGATAGCATTTCGGAAAACCTAGTTTGATCTATTCCCGTGGTTCCTGCTACAGCAGTTACCTACCCTTGATTTGCATTACCGCATTCCCATATTACCGACCAACCAAACGTCATCAGCTAAAGTGTAAGGGACGTAATTCGTATTGACTAGAATCCATGCCACCGTCAGGGGCGGTGGGGTAGCCTAGTGGTTAAAGCGTTGGCTCGTCACGCCAAAGACCCGGGTTCGAATCCCCACATGTGTACACTGTGTCAAGCCTATTTCTGGTGTCCCCCGCCGTGACGTTGCTGAAATATTGCTAAAAGCTGCGTAAAAACCAAACTCAGTCTGTCAGTCATGCTACCGCCAGTTTTAATGGTCATAAACGCCTGGTAACAATTATGCATCGAAATCTAATTTATGATACTTAGGGTTTCTGGATTTTTCATCCATACGAACCATACGTTAATCCACTGAGGAATCGCCTGGTAACAATTATGCATCGAAATCTAATTTATGATACTTAGGGTTTCTGGATTTTTCAACCATACGAAGATCGAAATTTCTAATAGGGTGCGTGCGTGCGTGCGTGGTCAGTTTTGAGAAATGTATAACAGACACATTTACGGTTATCTCTGTTGTTCCGAGCCATTACATTTAGAACACAAGACAGTAATAGGACGTCCCATAAGTTCCCAGTTTGCCAATGGGAAAGGCCGTAATATTGTCTATTGACATTTAGTCTGTAATTCCGACTTCATTTTAATATAACCGACACCATGCTATGAACCATACCAATAAATGAATTTGGAAAGTCGGCGTTGGTTGTCAGGCGTGGTCACTTGGTGGATGGCGTAAGCGTGCCCCTTTAACGTGAAACGTTGCTCCCAGTGTCAGTCATTAGAATGTCTCGTCCGAATCTGAGTATGTACATAGCTGTAACATGTTGAGGTTGACGTAACACGGCAAACAACCTTGATAAACAGTTTTGCTATTGTTTCAGATCCCAGATCAAGACTGGTTGACTAAGCTAGTTGCGTCAACGTCCCGAATGTCGGTAGACTCCGCGTTCGCAAGCCGCCAGGGAAGTTTTGTCTCCAGTGTAGCTGGCCAAGACGGTTGTCACCGCGTCAACAACACATGAACCTCAACTGCTCTATGCATGTCGCACAAAGATGGTTTAGTTTTTCAAAGACCATATTTATACATTTTCTCTGCTGACTTGTCAATAAGCTTAAACTTGTACAGAGTGGGAATTGGTCTTTAAATCAACCATTTATTTTGTACTAAATGGAACTTTTTTTCCGAAAGACAAGATTGTTGTCCTATATGTGGTGAAAGGGGATGGTCGGGTAGCCTAGTGGTTAAAGTGTTCGCTCGTCACGAGGAAGACACGGTTCGATACCCAACATAAGTACAATGTGTGAAGCCCCTTTAGCGGGTGACCCCGCAGTAATATTGCTGGAATATTGCTAAAAGCGTCGTAAAAGTAAACTAACTCACTCACTACATGTGACAGATGTAGTATGTATAAATTCCCCAATGTGAGTATACACCTTGTCCATTGTAGTCAGTCCTTGTCTATCATTTGTGTTACTGCGTTTGATATTATCAGAATATCCATCTTTCGACATTGGATGTTTATGTGTGCCAAAGTAGCAGGAAAACTATCTTGGCACGTCATTAAGCTGTTGTCGTTGGTCTGAATCCCGGTTTGGCCCGGATACTGTTTCCAGGTTGGTCCGCCCCATACCCTATCTCACTGGTTTCACCAAAGTGGTCAACTTCTCCGACCGGCCTCACTCCGGGCTTTCCTGCTGCATGAGGCTGACAAGCTGTGATATAACTGGAATACACCCTTCAAAGCAGCGTTAAACCAAACTTAATCAAGCAAACGTAGAATTAGAGTGAGCGCCAAAAAGGGAATCGAAATCATAAATACGCTTTCGTATTCAGAGGGCGGTAGGGAGCCTAGTGGTTAAAGCGTTTGCTCGTCACGCCCACTAGGCACAATGTGTGAAGCCCATTTCTTGAGTCCTCCGCCGTGATATTGCTGGAATTGTGTTAAAGGGATGTAAAACTAAACTCGCTCACTCATTCAGAATGTTGGTAAACATGTAGTTTCTTTAATCAAAACGACCGGAGTATATAATTTGAAAGTTTTTTTTGTTTTCGAGGACTGCGCATTACATAGTGTATTTATGTATACTTTGTTGAATTGTTCATGGATGGAACATTTGTCTACCGCAGGATCACTTTTCTTTCAGTCCTATGACACACCAATCATGATCATATCTGGCCGGCTGACACAAGACCGGGTTAGCGGGGAGTATTTGTCCTCTCATATCTGAATTATCGGAACTGGGATTGAACCAACAGTGGAAATGTGATCTGGTGTTTCAGCATTCAAGCTGTATGTCTGTGATTCCTGTGTTGTATATAGATATGTTTCAGTTTTCAGATGTTTAATGTTCATACACCGTTATTGCATTGATGTTAGCGCACATTGGGTACCGGACTCTGGGCATGTTTCAATACAAACATGTTCTCAATGGTGTACCATTATATAAAGCAATGCTGTTATTTCTCTGATTAAACATTTACACCAGTATTCAGTGTGGGTCCAGTACGGATATTACAGTACAGGTACTGCTATCGCAGTAAAGTCCACCATAACATGCTTTCGGTACAGTCTCCTTTTGCTGTCGCTGAGTTTGTTCTGTCGCTGAGTTTGTTCTGGTTTGAAACTGAATAAAATCACACCAGTTGATTGTTTGTTTCTTGTTTGTGTCGGCAGCGTGTGTCCGCAGCGTGTGTCGGCAGCGTGTGTACGTACATTATTCGAAATAACTGTTGTGCCGTGAAGGAACCAATACTTTAAGTCAGAAGCGATTGACTTGTTTAACAAATGTTATCGTATTACAATTGAGTAGATCGATGCTCATGCTGTTGATCACTGGATTGTCTGGTCCAGACTCGATTATTTACAGACCGCCGTCATATAGCTGGAATATTGCTGAGTGTGGCGTTAAACAGCAAGCAATGAAACCCACAATGGCCTATTAGTAGGTGATGTTCCGATGCGTCAGTAGGATAATTCTTCCTCTGCTTTTCGTGGCTTGGACTGGCTGTTTCTATATTGGTCGATGGGCGTTTCCTTTTTGTCGATGAGTGTAATGAATGCATGACTTTTTTAAGTGGTCAAAAGGTATTGCATATTCACAGCCTCGGCAGTGCCAATTTACACTTGTCAATGCAAAGTACGTGAATTACACGTGTAACTTATCTTTGCGGAAGCTATGGTGGATGAGTGGGCAAGATCTCTGACTTTGTGTGCTGGCGATTAGGTGCCTGTCTCAGAGTGTGGATTAAAACCCCAGATTCTTGCCCCCAAATGTGCTAGGATCTGTACTAAGTGTAATCACAACTATACAATGATGTATACAATGTTTATTTTGGATGAAAAAATACGTCCTTGGTCAGCATTGAAGTTATGCATGGCATCTGTTTCTTGACGGTTATCGTAAACTCTGCAGAATAATCGTGGGCCACTGTGTGATTGACACGGGTCATCATAGTCATCAGGTCAAGGGTCTTGCCGTGCTCCTCTAGAACCTTGCACAACGCCTGTATGTACCATGATCCTTGTCGTCTGTCGCGCCATGCCAAATAACCTGTGGAAATAACACGTAAGAGAAATACCTGGCTAGAAAACACAATGTCGTTTTGAAAGGTGTCAAATGTAGCTTATGGTATATTTCCCGTTACAATTTCTCACTTAATTACAGATTCTTGTACTTTTTGGGTCGAGTCCTATCCGGGACTTCCAAGGACACCGCGGTATCTGTGTGGGTTACAGATTGAAGTCTTTTTAGTAGTGGCGATTAGGTACCCGACTCTGAGTATGTGTGTTCGAATAACGGATGGGATCTCGACCCAAAAAGTACTAGAATCTGTACATTACGGAGAAAGTGTTATCCCAAATGTAACATGCCTGTCACTGGCGAAGGAGTAATGGAGCACTTTTCATAATGACCCACTTAAGTGTTAACATGGACCGTTTAAATGTTGCAGAATCAATAATAGCGTCAATGTTAGGTGGCTGTCTCTGAAACTGAAACCGAAACCTGAGTACACAGGCTGTATGGCACCTGGACATAATAAATAATGTATCACGTCAGCACTAGATGCTTGGTCGCTCAGACTGAATACCAGGTGCGAAAGTGGGCGTGTCACATAGACTGAATACCAGGTGCGAAAGTGGGCGTGTCACAGGGACTGAATGCCGGGTACGTCAGTGGGTGTGTCACACAGGGATTGAATGCCGGGTACATTAGTGAGTGTGCCACACAGGGACTGAATTCTGGGTACATTAGTGAGTGTGTCACACAGGGATTGAATGCCGGGTACATTAGTGAGTGTGTCACACAGGGATTGAATGCCGGGTACATTAGTGAGTGTGCCACACAGGGACTGAATTCTGGGTACATTAGTGAGTGTGTCACACAGGGACTGAATGCCGGATACATTAGTGAGTGTGTCACACAAGGTTTGAATGCCGGGTACATTAGTGAGTGTGTCACACAGGGATTGAATGCCGGGTACATTAGTGAGTGTGCCACACAGGGACTGAATTCTGGGTACATTAGTGAGTGTGTCACACAGGGACTGAATGCCGGGTACATTAGTGAGTGTGCCACACAGGGATTGAATGCCGGGTACATTAGTGAGTGTGTCACACAGGGTTTGAATGCCGGGTACATTAGTGAGTGTGTCACACAGGGATTGAATGCCGGGTACATTAGTGAGTGTGCCACACAGGGATTGAATGCCGGGTACATTAGTGTGTCACACAGGGTTTGAATGCCGGGTACATTAGTGAGTGTGTCACACAGGTATTGAATGCCGGGTACATTAGTGAGTGTGCCACACAGGGACTGAATTCTGGGTACATTAGTGAGTGTGTCACACAGGGACTGAATTCTGGGTACATTAGTGAGTGTGTCACACAGGGACTGAATGCCGGGTACATTAGTGTGTGTATCACACGGACTGAATGCCGGGTACATTAGTGAGTGTGTCACACAGGGATTGAATGCCGGGTACATTAGTGGGTGTGTCACACAGGGACTGAATTTTGGGTACATTAGTGAGTGTGTCACACAGGGACTGAATGCCGGGTACATTAGTGTGTGTACCACAAAGGGACTGAATGCCGGGTACATTAGTGAGTGTGTCACACACGGATTGAATGCCGGATACATTAGTGGGTGTGTCACACATGGATTGAATGCCATATACATTAGTGGGTGTGTCACACATGGATTGAATGGCGGGTACATTAGTGGGTGTGTCAAACATGGATTGAATGCCGGGTACATTAGTGAGTGTGTCACACGGGAACTGAATTCTGGGTACATTAAAGAGTGTGTCACACAGGGACTGAATTCTGGGTACATTAGTGAATGGGTACATTAGTGGGTGTGAATTCTGGGTCACACAGGGGTGTGAAGGATGGAATTCTGGGTACATTAGCGAGTGTGTCACACAGGGATTGAATTCTGGGTACAATAGTGAGTGTGTCACACAGGGATTGAATGCCGGGTACATTAGTGAGTGTGTCACACAGGGATTGAAGGCTGGGTACAGGGACTGAATATTGGGTACACACTCAAGACATCTGATGTATGCGTGTCTGAACACATAGACCATCATACCATTTTTCACACTTGATCTTTATCAAGCAGGACATGTTGTCGGTCAATATATGAAAAAAGATGAAATCGAAACAAACTCAGACCTTTTCCAAACGATTTGTTCGGTCCTAAGCTCAACCTGAAGCAAGCAACAAATTAGCGACTGAATAAAACAAGAAACTGATAGCCTCCATTTTAGTAACTACAGTGGAACAAGTCTCTTACCGTAGACAGTTGAATATGCGACGAGGAAGTCAGCTTCTCTTGGTATCCTATAAATTGCAACTTCATCAACATCCTCGCCGTCTCCTATAACACCGAGGACATCCACGCCGTTGTCCGACTCCATCCCCCGACATGCCTGATCCAAGAGAGAAAGGGGCAAATTGCTGTTTACGCCGACTGGAGACATTTTTCAGTTGTATCGATCTACCCTATTGGTTTACGAAGACGAGTATGCACCAAATCATGCCTGACCACCCGATGCCATTAGTCGCCTCTTTTGTTTGTTTGTTGTTGATGCAGTGATCAGCAACTCGAGAATCGATCTACGCAATTGGGATACGATGACATGTGTCAGCGAGCCTGACCACCCGATGCCGTTAGTCGCCTCTTACGACAAGCATGGGTTGCTGAAGGCTAGTGACATTGTTTGAAATGAGAGTTTATCTGTTGACACTGGCGGGATGTACACGTGCTTTATTCATACTCTCATGCTGTTGATCACTGGATTGTCTGGTCCAGATTATTTACAAACAACCGCCATATAGCTGGAATATTGCTGAGTGCGGCGTAAAAATAAACTCACCCACTTATTCATACTCTGTTGCTCAAAAGTCACTATAAACACCTGAATGAAGAACAGCTTCGGTTTCCCGGCAAGAGATCCACAACGATGACCTTTGAATGGGTCCAAGAGTTTGGTGACCTCCACTGCACCATCTGTGCCGTAGATCTTTTCCTCCTCCCCGTGAGACAGAATCACGCACACGAAGCAGTCGCTGTCACTGTGGTCGTCTTTAGATGCTGCAATTGTGTCAATGTACCAGTCAATGTACTTTGGAACAACGGGGTGATAGGGTAGCCGAAGGACCAGGTTCAAAGGACTCCCCCGGGGCTGTCCATAATCAAAAGTAACCGCTGGTGCACCGCAGCTTAGAATGACCTAATTCAAATTTCCCTCCCTTTTATACCTTCCAGACCGCCCTCATACTCATAGCATTACTTCCCTTTGTTGTATCTAGGAGAAAGAAATGTCATTCTTATTTGTACCTCAAACCAGGGAGACTATATAACGCTTAAACCAGGGATAATATAGTCTCCCTGCTCAAACGAAAGAAATTATATTTCTCCGCATATAATATCTCTAGTTTTTCATCACATGTGCTCCTTTTCTTATTTTCATATAAACTGTTTATCATATCATCCTTGCATCCATACCTTTGTCTAATAGGTCTACCATTTGCGTTCTTTTCTGGTTACGAAATGACTTGACCGTGAACTGTAAGGCTGAAAACCTCTCCGTCAGTCGCTCCTCATCTACCTCACTTCCGGACCTTTCTGTCAGTTCGTCGAACTTGACATTGTTGATTATGTAGGCGAAGCCGCGATGTCGATGGTTCATGTTGTAGACGTGTTTTGTTGACGCCATGATTGCTTGTGCTATCTCAATGTGAATACCTGAACTCACCTGTAACCATAACATTTCATACGTCAGCATTTCATGACGTCATCATTCCATCTACATCACCATGGCAAGACGTCACATGCCTTCGTACCGTGAATAAGGATGACGTAATCTACCTATCTAGGTCATCAGAAGTCAAGCGCGTTCGTATCGCTATTGCAGAAGTAACACACCACCTCGAAGGGGAAAATAGTATACATGTAAACTTTACTGTAATGACAGTAGCATAGGAAGACACAATTACCGTCGTCCAAACTCTCCGATCTTTGCATCAGCATACACATTAATGAAAGAATGGCATAATACATTAGACATTTGAAAAGATTTTATTTCGAAGCTAACCGTATACATACACAAATTGTCATTTCTGAATGGTATATCATATCTATGAACATCCATTTGGGTATTCTTTTCTTTACAAAATAAAGTCATCCAACAGTGAAGTCATCTTAACAAACGTACATCCTGGGGAGTGACGTTTATGTTCCACACTTATATCGTCATTCACTTGCCTATCGCTTAAGCGTATCCCGCAACAAAAACATTCTACTTTGTCATACTGTCGGTATATAGAAATCCTTTCACAGCAAGTTCATGCGAATTCTGGTATAGTTGTCGCGGCCAATTCTTAAAGATGTCTTTCCTTGCACACGCGCTTCGACATCTTGGTGAGGTCACTTTGACTCCTAGCACAGCATTCTTATTGTCTGCATCGGGTTCCACATCATAGCCGCAATAGTCCTCGTAAACACGTCCTCCGCATGCCATGGCTTTGTCAGTATTGAACTCCCGACAATATGTTCCAATCATATATAGCCTAACAACTCGAGCGAGGGGTGAGTCTCAAAAAAAAGAAAGAAATGAAATCACCTATTGATCTTTTTGTTGTTGATGCTGTTTGTTTTGCTTTATCCTTTTCGCATTTTTAACCACCTATTATACCAAATAAATACTCGTTTATCATTTTCTTTGTAATTAAAATTTAATTGTTTCAATATTTCTTTAATCTTAAAACTTCTTACTCTATGGTACATATAATAGAGACAATAATGGCCGCATGTGGTACTAAATAACCCCTGCAACCTACGCTTATTATACACATATTCGTCATCCCCGCACCGACTAATAAAAGCTCTTATTTCATACCAGTATAAGCTGGGATTTATAGCATAAGAATCAAATATTTCCTGGCTGTATCACGATAACCACAAACCAGTGAGAACCGGGTTGATGTACCTTGTCGGTATTGCATACATAAAACCTAGGAAATGTTTTCACACTTCTAACGTGAGTCGTCATCAAGGTGTCTCTAGAAGCTATACCTCCATAATGTTTCTACAGATCCAGCATACAGAACTGTGTCATTTTCCATGCATCACCTCCATGTCCCTCTCCTTCGCTCGTCTAACCACCCATACATATCTGTCAGTCCAACAAGGGCATCTTCCATTCTCAGTGTCTGGCGGCCGACGACCTCGTCATAACGCTCTTGAATACGTAGACCCGATGGCCATTTAACTCCCGTAACGCGTTATAGTTATAGTCGATACCGGTGGTGGGAAGTTGATTACAATTAATTATTTAAGTCCAGCACACCATTCGTCTTCCTGAATATGTATAGTATCTTGTGACCTCTGCTATCCGTTACAGTGTATCAAAATAACAGGACTCATAAATCCACACAGTCCTCCTATCTTAAATCCGCCCTCAATGTGCCATGAGACAATGTACATTTAACCATTAACTATTTACACACCAAGTACATGCATGCAGGATATAATCAATATATAAGGATGAGTTGTACAAAATAACAAAACTGAATATGTACGTATAATACGCTACTCACTTTGAAAACTGTGTAAAGGGTGTCCACGCTAGTGAAAAACCACCCACGCAGGTGCGCTGTTTACGGTTCATGAAACTAGGAGAAATTCCGCTGACCTATTTATATCAGCGACCTGTACTAAGGATGTCATCTCTGTCACTGGTCACCATGACGACATGTAAACATATAGCGTCGTTGGAATATGACCGTCGGATATAACACGGTGAAACGAAGTATCCTTCCGGACACTGATCACACAGGAAGAAATAAGTGGATGGGCTATACTCAAGCTGAGTCACTGAATATATATACACATGTAGTTTGGATAGAACGAAACACTTACTTTTAAATTGAAAATGAGCCCCAGTGAGATTCAGAATCTTAGGAAATCTAGACTTGTTTAATTTAGGGCTGTAGCATTGTAGAAGGGCTGGACTGAAGGGAAATAATTGTGTGGGTCAGGGTGTGTGAGACAGGCCATATAGGTAGGTATGTGTGTGTTTGTTTGTTTTATGCCGCACTCAGCAATCTTTTAGCTATATGACGGCTGTCTGTCTGTAATTCATCAAGTCTGGACCAGACAATCCAGTGAACAACATCTCAAGGACCGATGCTGGGTAACAATTAAGGTGACAAGAGAGAGAGAGAGAGAGAGAGAGAGAGAGAGAGCTGGAGAGAGAGAGATTAGAGAGAGAGAGAGAGAGAGAGAGAGAGAGAGAGAGAGAGAGAGAGAGAGAGAGAGAGAGAGAGAGAGAGAGAGAGATTTTTGTTGTATTAACCACCCACGTGGGTTATGGGAGACCTTTTCCTTAATTTATACTTAAAACAAACATAACTAAAACAGTCAACACTTTCCCAGTACTCCCCACACCACTCACACATTATTCTAACACGCACACACACCAAATGAATGCTAAATGCACGTATCTACTACACACACCCACATCCTCCGCTCCCACCACCCAACCTCAACACCCATTACACAACACTACAGCATCCCATCCTACACCCACATCCCCCCACACACCCAGAGTTTTATCATTGTGTCACACAGATATATACTTAATATATAAAATCTTCTGTATCACATATGAAACATCTGCCCGACAGAGACACATAACATCCATAATACAATGCGTAGATAAAATATATCTCCATACACACATAGTAAAACTTAGAGAAAAGGAGGGCGGTGTAATATCATACGTTATAATAAGTTTCTTCTTTTAAACATATTAAGTAACACTGAAGCAGCTAAGGGATATACTAGGTTATCACATTCCATAATAAAGATGGTCTGGTCGACAAGAGTCATCAAGCTAAACAGAGGGTGAAAAGAGCGTGCCTTTTGCCATAAAACTGACCTGATATCGGAAAATGGACCTCGTCTTCAACTGCACTATTCTTACAATATTTACATAGAACTATTTTGGTCTTCGAAGCATTAATCTGCAAACACCATCTTCTACACCACTGATTGACACAATCTAACATAGGCTGTAAAGAATCTTCATCTCCTGCAATGAGCGCAATATCATCTGCGTAAAGAAGAACACGAAGCATGAAATTGGCGTTGATCTGAATACCACAATTCAGCTGATTGATTTCATCCACCAAATCATTTATGAACAACGAGAATAATGTTGGCGACAAAACGCAGCCCTGTTTAACAACACTGTTTACGGAGAAATCTTGTGATAAATATCCATTAACACTAACACAGGATTGGGTATTATCATACAAAGATTTCACTGCAGAAAATAATCTGACACTAATACCAAGTTTGACAAGTTTATACCAAAGACAATTTCTGTTCACACTATCGAAGGCCTTCATAGCATCAATATAGCAGACGAAAGTTGAATCTTTCTGCATTTTCCTATTGCTTATAACAGAAAACAAAGTATGAATACTGTCAACTGTACTTCTATACTTACGAAAACCGTTTTGCTCCCCTGCCAAAACCTCATTACATTCAAGCCAAGCAGAAATCCTAGCATTCAATATGTCTGAATAAGTTTTACAAGGAATACTGATTACGGAAATGGGGATGGTTGTGGAATCATTCATATTGTATATGCCTCCCAATATAATTCATCGTCAACCCCTTACCCATAAATTATGAACGGCCCCTTATAGTCGTCTCATACAAGCGTGGGTTGCTGTTGCTGATGACCAATAATATTCTCACCCGGATCTTCTAACACGGGTAGGTAGACGATAATTCGAGTATACTTGTGTTGTGTAAACTGTGTTTCATTAGTCGGACAATGTGGGCCCTTCCGTTTTACTAACTTGTATGACCTCTATGATCTGATGAGCTACCTAATTAGTTATATATGACATGAATTCCCTTCGCTGATCCATTCATATACTATCAATACACAATGCCATTTAGAAAGTGGCCAAACGTAACATATGTTGTATTTGGGATTACACTCTCAGTAAAGTACAGATTCTAGTACTTTTCTTGGGTTGAGTCCCATCCAGTATTAGAACCCACACCGTTAGAGTCAGGCACCTAATCGCCAGCAGACAAACTCAGTCGCCTAACCCGCTCACCCACCACGACTTCCACTTAAACGGCTGACTTTGTGTGCTGGCGATACATACCTCACATATAGAGTGAGTGAGTGAGTATAGTTTTCTGCCGCTTTTAGCAATATACCAGCGTTATCACGGCAGGGTCACATATAGAGAAGGTACCTAGCAAACACCTTACATTAACACATACATATCTCACATATAGAGGAGGTACCTTGCAAACACCTTACATTAACACATACATATCTCACATATAGAGGAGGTACCTTGCAAACACCTTACATTAACACATACATATCTCACATATAGAGGAGGTACCTAGCAAACAGCTTACATTAACACATACATATCTCACATATAGAGGAGGTACCTAGCAAACAGCTTACTTTAACACATACATATCTCATATATAGAGGAGGTACCTTGCAAACACCTTACATTAACACATACATATCTCACATATAGAGGAGGTACCTAGCAAACACCTAACATTAACACATACATATCTCACATATAGAGAAGGTACCTAGCAAACACCTTACATTAACACATACATATCTCACATATAGAGAAGGTACCTAGCAAACAGCTTACATTAACACATACATATCTCACATATAGAGGAGGTACCTAGCAAACACCTTACATTAGCACATACATATCGCACATATAGAGGAGGTTCCTAGCAAACAGCTTACATTAACACATACATATCTCACATATAGAGGAGGTACCTTGCAAACACCTTACATTAACACATACATGTCTCACATATAGAGGAGGTAAACAGCTTACTTTAACACATACATATCTCACATATAGAGGAGGTACCTAGCAAACAGCTTACATTAACACATACATATCTCACATATAGAGGAGGTACCTAGCAAACAGCTTACATTAACACATACATATATCACATATAGAGGAGGTACCTAGCAAACAGCTTACATTAACACATACATATATCACATATAGAGGAGGTACCTAGCAAACAGCTTACATTAACACATACATATCTCACATATAGAGGAGGTAAACAGCTTACTTTAACACATACATATCTCACATATAGAGGAGGTACCTAGCAAACAGCTTACATTAGCACATACATATCTCACATATAGAGGAGGTACCTAGCAAACAGCTTACATTAACACATACATATATCACATATAGAGGAGGTACCTAGCAAACAGCTTACATTAGCACATACATATCTCACATATAGAGGAGGTAAACAGCTTACATTAACACATACATATCTCACATATAGAGGAGGTACCTAGCAAACAGCTTACATTAACACATACATATCTCACATATAGAGGAGGTACCTAGCAAACAGCTTACATTAACACATACATATCTCACATATAGAGGAGGTACCTAGCAAACAGCTTACATTAACACATACATATCTCACATATAGAGGAGGTACCTAGCAAACAGCTTACATTAACACATACATATCTCACATATAGAGGAGGTACCTAGCAAACACCTTACATTAACACATACATATCTCACATATAGAGAAGGTACCTAGCAAACAGCTTACATTAACACATACATATCTCACATATAGAGGAGGTACCTAGCAAACAGCTTACATTAACACATACATATCTCACATATAGAGGAGGTACCTAGCAAACAGCTTACATTAGCACATACATATCGCACATATAGAGGAGGTACCTAGCAAACAGCTTACATTAACACATACATATCTCACATATAGAGGAGGTACCTTGCAAACACCTTACATTAACACATACATATCTCACATATAGAGGAGGTACCTAGCAAACAGCTTACATTAACACATACATATATCACATATAGAGGAGGTACCTAGCAAACAGCTTACATTAACACATACATATCTCACATATAGAGGAGGTACCTAGCAAACAGCTTACATTAACACATACATATATCACATATAGAGGAGGTACCTAGCAAACAGCTTACATTAACACATACATATCTCACATATAGAGGAGGTACCTAGCAAACAGCTTACATTAGCACATACATATCTCACATATAGAGGAGGTAAACAGCTTACTTTAACACATACATATCTCACATATAGAGGAGGTACCTAGCAAACAGCTTACATTAACACATACATATGTCACATATAGAGGAGGTACCTAGCAAACAGCTTACATTAACACATACATATCTCACATATAGAGGAGGTAAACAGCTTACTTTAACACATACATATCTCATATATAGAGGAGGTACCTAGCAAACACCTTACATTAACACATACATATCTCACATATAGAGGAGGTAAACAGCTTACTTTAACACATACATATCTCACATATAGAGGAGGTACCTAGCAAACAGCTTACATTAACACATACATATCGCACATATAGAGGAGGTAAACAGCTTACTTTAACACATACATATCTCATATATAGAGGAGGTACCTAGCAAACAGCTTACATTAACACATACATATATCACATATATAGAGGAGGTAAACAGCTTACTTTAACACATACATATATCACATATAGAGGAGGTACCTTGCAAACACCTTACATTAACACATACATATCTCACATATAGAGGAGGTAAACAGCTTACTTT